TTCCGGCAATCATTTGTTTTCTTGGACACATTTCACAGCTCGTATTTCTGTAAAATAACAGATGGAGATATAGATTTAAAACAACTAAAACACATCCACTTTTGCTTTTCTATGAAAACGGAGCTTTAAAACAATAACAAAATACTCATTCTTGATGTAAATATCACTTGAACTTATCAAAATTATGAATGCAATAATGTTGATGTTTTTAATTTTCTACAATATATATACATATATTATTAAAAGACAGATCTATTATATTCCATTTTAAATATAATAATTGTAAATATCGCCTTCTTAACTTTTGTACACAAAATATGTATATTTTATCAACTACCCCTTCTGCTTTATTAAATTTCTGTTTGTATATTAAAAAATCTCTATCGTTTAGTAAATGTCCCGTTATTGTACGGTTTAGTATCGTGCAAATACAATAATATACTCGTAATAAGTTTATACATAACTACAACATCTATAGGTCAGATATTCTGAAAAATTAAGTCTACAGTTCTACATAGACACTATAATTTTACTTAAAAGTATAGATTTCTATTTTATAAAAAAATAAACACGGCAAAGTTAACACACGGCAGGTGAAGGATAGCAACATGCCCTCGACAAGCGCCTAGAATCATTCCCTTTCGGCTTTTGTAAATCTTCAGTCAGCAAAACGAATTCAACACTTTACAATCGTTTAACTTACATTTTTATTGCACAGTCCATTGCGGGTATCCTATAGGTCAGTTCCAGCAGTACGTATCCTTACTTACCTATGGATGGGGCGCGAGCCAGAAGTGTCACGAGAACTGAAACATATCCTTTTGCAACAAGATTTCGGTATCTCGTGATCAATGAGCGTGACCAACGCTGACACGAATCGTACTTTTTGTAGAGCTTTTATTGCTCCTCTAAGTTAAGCACTGTAAATGCCCATTTTAACTATTTTAAGCACACATGCCAAGTGGAAGTTTATTGTTTTAGCGTGCGATGTTACATTTGAACTGTATCGTTTCAAAAAAAACATTCATATACGAAAGTTTTATTACAGTTTCATGTGCAGTCGTGTCATCATTTATTCTGTTGTAAACAGATATCTCCTGTCCAACAACTTAAATTAAGTGAATATATTTTTATGACAAATAAAATTTATCTTTCATGAAAAATTAATTTTTGTTTATAAAGTCCCCATATTGTATTGTACGCATACAAATAAGCAGAAAAATAGATGTACCGTCCTGCTTACGCCCTTTATTTAATAATGCAATCGCGTCCGCGTCCTCGAGTTCTCGAACTCGTTCCGCTATTTATCTATTTGTGACTCTTGGTAAAGGATTTGAATATTGTTGTACGAAATACCTGTCAGATATTACTTATTAGCATTTGTTATAATAATATATTATAATATTCTGTACGTAAAGCGGGGAGGTCAAATTGTGTGTTAGGCCCAATATTGGGCCGTTAAAAAGAGCTGAATAAATATATACAAATCATAATTATATTTGTTGTTATTACATTCTTGCTTTTCCTTTAAAGCTGTTACTTATCATTAAAAATTTACAACATGTACGTAGGTACATGTAACAACTCCATTCTATCTTGTACAAAATAATCTCTGGATCTACTGAACCGATTTTCAAAATTCTTTTACCAAAACAGTCGAACGACAACATTTCTTACGAACGCTGTCTTAACGATGAGAGATATATGATTATGTTCTAGAGAAAAGTTGTAAAGCTTAATAATGCCTACAAAAAAGTCAGCGACAGCATATGTCTAACTTTTATACTTAAGTCACAAAAAGTAGTTTCTTTATATTAAAAAATAATTTAAATCGGTAGGTCATGTTTATTTTTCATATTATCAACAATTCTGAATTCTTATCAAAATAAGTAAATTTATTGTCTAAAATGTTTAAAACAACAAAAAACCTCCGTTTAGTTATATTTTACATTTTAGTGCCTGAAAGTCTGTTTTTTTTAAGTTCTTATTTGTCCATTTTTAGTGTAGACGTAATAAGCAGGTAATTTGTTAGAAGAAAGTTTTTTAATAACGTGTTCGATTAAGAAATTTATTTAAAAAATATTTATTTGTTGATTTAAAAAAAAACGCTTGACTGATTTCGATAAAATTTATATGGGGCCACCTGGGAAGTATATAATACCCTTTGAAATAAAAAAAATATTTCCAAATCGGTTCAAGCGTCTTCGAGTAATCGGTGAACATACATTAAAAAAAAAGATTCCGACGAATTGAGAACCTCCTCCTTTTTGGAAATCGGTTAATAAAGAGGTAAAGTTTATGAGTTTGTGAATTGTGATTTTGTGACGTTGTAGGGGGTAATCTCTAGATCTACTAAACCGATTTAGATGAAATTTGGTAAGAAGATAGTTTGAGACCCTGGGAAGGACATAGGATACTTTTTATCGGAAATTATCCCTTAAGAGGGTGAGAATGGGATGAAAGTTTGTATGGGGAATCGACCTAGGGATAGGGATACATATATATTAAATGAGCAATTCTTGTATATATATATATATATATATATATGTATATATATATATATATATATGTATATATATATATATATGTATATATGTATATGCTCTATGCTCGTTTAAAGATATTAGATAATATCAATCGACATATCAATATAAAGCAGGTATTCTGATTTACGTACACACAACTTTATTGCCATTTATAAGCAGGTTTAGATGTGTGAAAGTTACGAGTACGTATAAATACGAAATTTCGATCCCCATATTATAACATTTGTAGTTACTTTCAGCTCGATAGCACACCGGCTATTACAGAAACGAACACCGGCCAGTAACGGTAGCATTACACGCCCGACTCTACGCACGCCCACACTAACATGTATCGAATTTAAAGGATTACCGAAAAGTAACACGAAATCGCCTCATTGCGTACATTTTATGGCTAACTCTTCGCAATATACACTCTGAAGTATGTGTGAGTCTGTGAATGCTTATTAGCGTTCCCACAAATATACCCATCTTTACACTAAGCTTTTCGATGATTGTGTGTCGCAGTAACTTTGTTGCCGACGCCGTCTTTGTTGCTGACTGCAATGGATTGTTTGGGTTCCGTTTCGAACTTGGGTAAATGTTTTCTTTTTATAAACAAAAAACCTTTACCCAAACTAACTTAGGTTATCTGTGGTAAGTTTGAAAATTACCGACATGAGCCCTAGAGCCGTGAAGCTATAAAATGTACTTCTCGAGTATATTCGGTATAAGGCTGTTAATGGTACGCAAGTACGTTAAGGCTTCAAAATGAATTCTAAACCCACGAACCGATTGAGCTTCATTATTTAAATTCGTTTATTTCGTTCCAGAAGACATGTTTGTGGGAGCGATGAACTCTAAATAACTAAGTAGGCAAGTCAAACAAATTGTATCGATATTACGCATTATCGGGGAAATTACACAGTGATATAAAAGTGGGAGCGCTGTTTGGTATTTACTCGCGCGATAATCAGTCGGTACACTAAACCTAGTTTGCTTTATTGCCTATTGATAGACGCGCCCGCAGTCCGCGCTTCCTCCCCCCTCACTCGCTTCCCCCGAACACCTTCGGACACCTCCACATGGCGCTATACTATCTGTTGATAAGATACGACAAAGTGCCGGCGTTCTTCATTTCTGTTAAATTTAATTTTAAGTATGTGTATTGTAAAATTAATGTATCAGCAATCGGAATTATAGTTAAACTGATGTACCCATAAAACTTGGTCAAAGTCGCTGGAGCCCACTGGATGCGGATGGCACAAGACCGGTTGTCATGGAAATATTTGGGGGAGGCCTATGTCCAACATTGGACGTGTATGGGCTGAGACAACAACAACAACCCATAATTGTTATATCTGTGTATCTTATAAAAAAAAAATATTACTAACAAAACTTCCTTACATCTTCATACTACATCATCTATAGGAAAAATATTTTATTAAATAACAAAAAAGTGGTAAGGTCTTGGATAAAATGTATATACAATTTATTCCAAAATGTGGCAATGGCCTCTTATCCGACGTTTCCTGATTGTACGAGTAGTATTTGCAGTGGAAAGTCACGCCGCGACGCTAGCTTGCGGATGTTTGCGGATCTCTCGACGCGCACGCCATCAGCTACGATACTTTACCAGAACTTTACCAGATTCTACTCAAATAAACAAGGCATAAAGACTGACATTTTCTAAAGTAATTGTTTGGGGCTTTTAGTGTCATACCTAAGAATAAAAATTGTATTTAGCATTTGTAACTACATATTTTTTATGTAAATAATATGGTTCTTTTTTCAATTTTAAATAGATATTTTATTTGATGGTTATATATATGTACGTACATATGTATACATCATGTATGATGTTACTACATTGTAATATATGTATGTACTTGTGTGTAAGCGTGTAGTAGCTTTGCTGCGTTATTCTCAAATGGATAATCGTAATGGAAATGGAGGAATCAATTTTTTATATTTGATTTTCATTTTATGTATCTATTAAAAGAGGAAAGTTAGTTTTATTGGTATAATATATTCAACTTCTAAGAATTTAATATTATAAGTGTAGATTGTGCATGTTCCAGAGCGATAACACACGTTGAATCAACATTTCGTCACGTTCGTAAAATGACTAACACCAGCTGAGTGGATGTTAAGAATAAGCATTAAATATCAGTAATATATTGTCTTTGTCTATACTTGGAGTACTTATAAAATACAAGTTCCGGTAATTTAATATAAAAAGGTGCCTCATATTGTAATTATTTGAAAACACCTATTCCCATAGAACTTAAAGATACATATTTATCACAGAAGTGAAATGAAAATTAACTTTATTGAATTATCATGTCATTAGACTTAAATAAGCACTTTAAAATCTTCAGTAAAACTTGTAAAAATATAAACAACTTATTCTCTCATAATTTAGCATCGGTATTAAATAAGTGTACATGGTTGTAAAAAAAATTCGATTGATTATCATGCTTTTATGGAAACTTTTATACAAACGCCTCGCAGATGCCGGAGCGGAGGCGCGGCTGCAGGAGATAATAAGGTAGGAACATCTAAAGCGCTCGCCGTGAGAACCGAGTGTCGACCCGGCATTGGCTTCGCTTTGCGTCTGCCATCTGTCCAATGTACTCGCTCGAACAGGTAGAGACCTGTCTGAACGCACTTATGTACCAGCATTCGCATCTGCCGCCTTAACCAATAACAATGCCTCTGGGATATTTTTTCGTTCCTAATTGCCTTTATTGAAACAAAATAATGCTAACTTGAATAATATCATTATAAACTAGCAACTCACCCTCGCTTCGCTCGGGTTCGTCCCTAGATTGCTTCCCTTATAGCTTTAATCCTCATTTTCATCCCCTTAAGGGATGATTTCCGGGATAAAAACTACCTTATCCTTACCAAGGTCTCAAACTATTATCTTCTTACCAAATTTCATCTAAATCGGTTTAGTAGATCCAGAGATTACCCCCTACAACGTCACAAGCTCACAAACTTTACCTCTTTATAATATTAGTATAAATTATTTAGACCGCACATAATTTTTTTTTTGCTAGTGCAAAAATATCAAGATTTTTGTGGGGTATAATAAAAGACCTTTTCCCAATAATAAAACACGAAAATTTCAAGAGGAAGATCTTAATACCGTAGAATGGAAGGGTTCGTGAAAGCAATAAATTAACTCAGCTATCTCTCTACGCTCAAGTGCGTGATAAAGGTTGGAGGAAAACGTCCGAATTCCCTCAAAACCACGGGTCGAAAGAACAATAATTTAAAATAGGTTTTAACGCGACAAGATTTAAACGGCATTGGGTACTCGTGTAGTTGTTAGTTTTAGTGGTGTCTCCTAAATAATATAGCTTACTTTGCTTCCACTTCTGTAACAAAACGTGATAAATTGATTTTCAAAATAACACATGTATTTCACGAATATTGTATTAAAGCGTAAAATACATAATATATGTATGTATATAAATGCCGAGGCTAATAACATGTATTGTACAATATAAAATGCCTGAGGGATTCGGAATATTTCATTGTCAGCAGCTCTATGAGAGGTGACGGTGAGTGGTGACGGTGGTGGCTGTGTCACCGCTGTTATTAATATTAATCATGAATCAGTCCTATTCTAGACAGCAAAGCGGTGAGCGTCGCGTCGAGTTGCGCCAGTGGAGCAGCCGTTAGAGAATACATACTAAGTTTAAAAATAAAATAAATGAAAATATATAATACATTACTAATGTCATATTTTTGTATTAACCTGTATATTTTCCACGGAAAACTCATTGTATCGGAATGAATAGCCTCAGTCACAACTCACAATGCATCTTTAGTAAAGTTGGTTGCAAGCCACACCGTGAGGCGCGGCGTCGCGGCGGACGGCACCAGTGACTCGTTGTTGCGTTGTGCTACAATGGTTGAAAGTGAACTTGCTATTGCATTAGAACATAATTAGACTCACTCCTCGTTGGTGTAGTGGCTAGGGTGTACGGCTGCAGATGCACAGATATTGGGTTCCAATTATAGGTGAAGCTAATGATATTTATTAGGTTTTTCTATTGAGGAATTCTTAGTATCCCGGGTAATACCGCCAACTTCTCAAGTTGACAGTGTTTCACACCTCGTGCCTTGGAAAGCATGTAAATCCGTTGATCCTGTACCTGTTCTCTCTGATGGTTGTCTAACTGTCATTCCAATGGGATTTGAAAACAAAGAAAGTAAAGAGTGCATACTTGTGTTTGCGTGCATACTTATGCACTATAATATTCTCCAGCACACACGGCTACTCCGATTGAGGTTGGTCGCCGTGAACATAATTAGTCAAAATACATGAGATATAATTTTAATTTTTTTTTTCTGGAAAAGTAAATACTAAATACACACAAATCTCAAAACATGGTGTCAATTTCAACGTAGTCAGCAGTTACATATCTAGAGAGTATGTTATAGAAAATGAGGTTTCCTTTGGAAATACCTACACGTATTTATCTTCCATATTGTTTAGTTAATCTAAGTGATGTCCTCAAATATAAATAATTGATGACTATCGAATTTATCCGCAGCTCATATTACATCTGCTAATGCACAAACAAAACGGAAACGCGGAGCAATGGCACATAAAACATATCAGATTAAATGGAACATTAACTATCACATCTCATTTCATGTTCGACTGGAATATTTATGATTTGTAAATAAATATCTATATCATAGACTAGCGACTCACCCTCGCTTCGCTCGGGTTCGTCCCTAGGGTATGTATACAACTTCCCTATTTGAATCGGATATTATTAATTTTTTTATTGATTTTAAATTTTTTTCATGGGACCCTATTTTTTTACAAAATAAAAGTAGCCTAAGTTACTCCTTATTACGAGTACATCATCTATCTGCCGGCATAAATATTGACAAATATTGACATTAATATTTATACGATACTAACGTCACTCAATTGTTTTGCCTTCCCGGAACCTCTCCACTATCACTTAAACTTTATAGTATGGTATTAAAGTTCAAATTGACTTTTAAGTATTATTACGAATCTTTTGTATGGGAGTATAGAAAAATGTTGTTTTTAGTCTTATTCAGGCTATTTTTTAAATTTTTATCTCTGTAAGAACCATCCCCGTACTTCAAGGAATATTCTAAGAATAGAATTAGCGAAATCGGTTCAGCTGCTCTCGAGATTTGCGCTTAGCAACACATTCAGCGATTCATTTTTATATTATAGATGTATATAGAAATAGCTGTACAATTTTTCACCTATTTTTTGGAATAAGAACTTACGTTCGCTAATATCCACCGCCTCCTCCTACTTGTGATGCTGTGTAGAGATCGGTACTCTTCAATGCTGAAAAATATAATATAGATTCATCAAAATCAAATATATAAATTGATATCACTTCCGATACTATTAATCGAATAAACCACAACAAATGTTAATTCCACTAAATAAAAAACATTGCATTTTGAATATATTATAATATAATTTAATAATGTCTTCCTCATACAAATTAATGCAATCTCATAATAAATCATAGCAATTTGACACATGCCTAGAATGACCACATGCAGTGGTGCCGTCATATTGTCCTCTCTAAATCTCAGGGATATGCCATATCATACTATCAACTTCGGGCTACTGCTATTTTTTGTCAAAATCTGTGTCATGACTTCTTTTTGCCGATAGCATTCACGCGTGATTATCAAGTCGACTGTTTACAAATTCAACATTTCGTCTATTTTACCAATCGTTTAAGCAAAACCAACCTTCTTTTTTTCTTTGAAAGTAAGAATGAGTAAGGATTCTGCAAAAAAATCCGAAGAGATAGTTATATTAAAAACCCTTCCTTGCTAATATTGAGTCCTTACTCTACATACTATATAAGTTTTAGCAATAAACTTATTTATTTACGTATTTCACGCATAAAAAATAACCTCACATTGCCCATAACTCTATTGCTGCTTAAAAGAAAGTAAATCATCAAACGAATTTTGAAATATTATTATCTGCTAAGATAAAATTAATTTAACGATATCATTTGTTGATTATAATTAAACATTTATCGTGTTACACGTATATGTATATTTAGGACGAATGGGTACACGGTCCTCTCCACGTGTACAGTTTTTTAACGTATAATGTTTATGTACATATGAAGCAGTCCCGAGGCGGATAGACGTGGTAAAGACCACAGCAACCCGCGTTTTATTAGTTGGTGGTTCACGAATCGAGCGCAGTGGGTCGGGAAAAGGCATTGAGCCGTGACGAAACTGTCCAATCTTTGTGTCCTCAAAACTGCAGTCCTTTACTTGGTTTGAAGTAGAAAATGCTACTAAAAGTAATATAATAATAATAATTATAATCTAAGCGTATATAACGAGTAAATATTTATTTATCTGACTACTCCAGTAATTGCGAAAGTTTGTGTGTTTGTGTGTATGTTTGTTACTTCTTCATGTATGATGTAATTCAGTATATAGAATACATATAGGTAGATCATGATCTGAAGTAACACTTTTAAGGACCGAGGGACGCACCCGAGCGAAACAAGGCTCAGTCACTAGTAATGAACATAATACATATTATATAATCTGTACTAGCATTGCCCGCGGCTCCGCCCGCGTTCAGATGACCAAAAACCAAATTCTTAGGTTTTACATAATATTAGTATACTCTTACATTACAGTTTTTGTATTTTTTGTCAGACATGAGATATTTTCCGGCGGTAAAAATATCCTATATGTTGACCCGGATAATCAGCTATCAACATACCAAATTTCATCAAAATCCCTCCAGTGTATTTTTGTGATGCGGTAACAGACAGACAGACAGAAAGAAAGACAGATAGACAGACAGACAGACAGACAGACAAAAATCCTTCGGCCTCTGTATCGATAATAATGTTTATTTCAATAAGATTTTCTAAAAAGTATTTAATGTACGGATTCGGCTTAGTTAGAATTTTATTATATGTATCGATTTATAATATAAAAGAATCTTACTTCTTAGCCAGAGAGTTTAATTTTATTAAAACTTTAGCGAACAAGGAGACATGTCGTAAGATCTGTTTCTCAACCCGAGCGCGCCCACTCGCGGCGACCGGCGACTGTCGCAGGTGGGAGCTGCGAGCCTGCGAGACATTGCACTGAGCAGTACCATTCAAAACCAAGCTCAATGTATTATGTCTTCATTCAGCACTCGCCTACGAAAAGCTCGTTGTGCGACACACAGAGAGAACTCACTCGACTCCACGTAGCTTATTAATAAAAAAAACGTAATTAGTAATATTACAAATTACATTTCATAATCCGTATTAATATTATAAATGTGAAAGTTTGTAAGTATGTATGGATGTTTGTTACTCTTTCACGCCACAACGGCTGAACGGATCTGGATGAAACTTGGCACAGAAATAGATTATAGTCTGGAATAACACATAGGTTACTTTTTATCCCGGAAAAAGGTGCTGTTCTCGTGGGATAGGTTTATTTTTGTTTTAGAGGCGATCCCGAGCGAAGCGAGGGTGAGCCGCTAGTATAATATAAAGAAAATATTTTGGTTTCTGTACATATAAATACATACATACACAGCATAACATTATTGCGTAAAGTGGCTTAAGCTAGAGTCGATGTTGTACAATGAACTGTATACTCTATTATTGTAAGAGCTTTGATAGCTTCGTAAGTAACTAACAATGTCAATCTATGAACAACAAGTTATGCGGGACAGCTAACTCTGTCAACACTAAGGAACAAGTTATAGAAAAGTATATAAACTTCATTGAAATGTGTGTATCGACTGCTAGCAGGACGATGCAATTTGCCTTTCACAAAACTGCATGAGGAGCCAGCCTACTCACGATACGAGAGCGGGCAAAAAGCAAGTTTATAGGGCAAGCTGCGGGGCATGTCCCCCCTCCCCTTCCCCGGGCGTCCCTCGCGCGCCCCCCTCCCCCGCGCTCGCTCACACCCCGCGTCGCCTGTGGTGCAGTCCAGTCAGCCGACGTGCGCCTCCGGAGCCACACGCGTCACCGTCCGCTCGCCCCCCGCGCCCCGCAACAAATACACGCGATCTTCTTCCCGATTATAACCACTACTTGTGAAAAACTTCCCAACTTGGAATTCTTCAATAAAGTGTCGAGTGAATCGTGGTTGAAAATAGAAGTGCGTTATTGTAAAGTGGTCTGACGGCAATACTAGCCGGTTTCGTGTAAGTGCCGGGCGGCCCTGTGCTGCTGCCTGCCACTCGCCGTGCTTTCTAAACGATCCCGAGCGACGGCTGGGCCTGAGTTCGCTATATACGGATATTTAAAGTGAATTATTAATCTGGATTCATACAGGTGAGCGCTCCAGAGAACTCAGATACGGTGTAAATACATAATCTATCATAAGCTTATGTTTACCGACGTGTCTTTGTGCCTTGTGAATGGATGTAACGGTTATTCTACACATACTATAAGTAAACTTACAGAAACGTCAACAAAATTTATAAAGTTAACATTTGATTGAGTTATTCGAAACTAGAAGAAGTAGTCTTTTATATTATTTCATTTATAAGTATTAAAGTAATATAAACACGTGGGTTCAATAAAAACTTACCTGTATAGTGTCTAATGAAGGCTCAATTCTACGAAAACTACAATGCAGGTATAAATGATACCTGCACAGTGCACACCATCGACGATGGAACGAAGTCTAAATTAATAATACTTCAAGTCAGAACACAAGAAAGAGCATAACTTGAGTTGAAATATAAAGATTTATAAATCAGGATCGTGTTTCTTTTACTAGCCTATTGGAATGATTAAGGTTTCAGGTAATATTAATTTAATTGTATGACGTGGACTTACAATCTTGAAAGTAAAACAAAAAACAAACTAAACAAAACTTTATATAAAAGTTTGTTACGTCGAACGAGCTTTTTCTTTGCCTTGAATTCCATCTATTATGTTAGTTTTATAGATTGGTTGGACAAATCAAGTGCAAACTTAAGTAAACAATATTTAAAACTGCAGTGTTGTCGTATAGTCTCTGATCATCATTGGTCGCTGCTAAGCTTGGGTGCTGTGGGCACCGTGCCTGCTACACTCATAACCTTTATGTCGGTTCACGGTTGTATTAAGGTATCCTTAGAATACAAAAAATTCCCGTTTCAACCCCTTTAACTACACAAAAACAGCCATGCTTGTTACATATTTTGAAAATCAACTTAATAATAAGAGATCATTTCGGTGATTAATTCAGGAAAAAGAAATTTAGCAGATTCTAAAGACTAATCATTCCAAAAAATAACACTAGAACAATAAGTAATTTTAAGAACCAAGAGCCATTCGCTTTGCAATTACGTAGCAGTTCAGTTGTATTTACCTTTATAAAATAAGAAAAACTTAAACGTATTCATCTGTATTTCCAAAAATAAATTTACTTTCGTTTTTTCTTCGTAAGTTGTGCACAATTCTTGTTCATATTGTATTCGCAAACTCCAGTATCTTAATTGACATTTCTAACCAGATCGACCTCTGTTAATAGAACGTGTAAACACACTATGGTGACGGCATCTTCGCAGATCTTATTTCAGCTCAATTATTGGAATAATTGTAGCTGGTAAAGGTGAAGGATGTCTTCTGTTACCCGATGATACCGATGACCTATACACAGTGGGCACTCACTGTACCATCGGCCACTGTCAGTGGGGGATCCAGGATCTTGGTTTAGGAGACTTGACCCACCCCCCCAACGTGCGTTCACCTTGTCGTGGTGGGGGGGCTCAGTAGTAGTAGCGAAGCTAAGAAACGCACAGGGAGGTTACCCACTTCGGTGGGCGGTGGGAGGTGGCCCTCTTTGGGGGGCAGTGTACCTTGCGGGTTGCTCCTGGTACTTCTCTGATAGCAGAGTGGACCTTGGAGCAACCCCATGGTTGTGGTGGTCTGCTTTGGCAGACCTGCCATCGGGGCGTCGTAGTTGAATGCGTAAGCGATCCTGCGACGCGCCATTAAGATGGGGGAAGGTTTTGTTGGGTTTTAGTGGGTAGTACTGGCTGTATTACGCCGGTGAGTCCCACACGTCGTGCGTAAATGCATTTCCCAACGTTAAAAAAAAAACTTGACCCAGCGAACGGAAGATTAATTTTCAAAATATATTTAAATCACTCGTTCGTATTATAATCAGTTCCAATGTTCCTATTTTAAAACTTTGCACATATTTTATGTATGTATGTATACTCGTAATAGACATTGGTTACTAAATACAAAGATTTGATTTCTTATCGAATTTAAAGTTGAAAATTTATCTATATCATTTTTAATATAATAGTTAAGCCTTACCTTATACCTAAGATTTCACCGCTCATTTCCTACCGCTCTCGTCGCCTTATCATACTTACAAAGTAAATAGCTATGATAAGATATTGCTTCTATTATAAATGAGGTCACTGGCTTTTTGAATTTTAGTACTTTTAGAGTGGATTAGCGAACGATTGTCACTAGAAAACAGAATTATTTAAGTTTATCGAAAAGTCCAAAAATATTATTTATTTTTAAATAATATCGAGAAAAATATAATATTTATCTACCATCTTATGTCACTTAAGCAAAGTCTCTATATTTCAAAAAAATAGCTATCGCGTGTATGACGTGAAAATAATGACTACAAACTTTTAATAACGTAACTTTTATATACTTTTCAAAGAAATATACAAACCATATTTGCAACTGTATTTAAAACTTAATCCTCTCATGTGTATAGAACTAAAGTACGAGTAAGTGCCTGGCATTTGTGTCGCTTTTATAGCCTGTGACACTTTCATATGTGGGATGGATCTTTATAACAGTATGTATATGGTTATATTTTCAAAATATCCTCATTTATTATTAGTTATAAGAAACAAAAAAAATGTTTGCTACACAACTTATTAATTACAAAACAATCCAGGAAATGGCTATTCGATAATAACTTAGAATCCCGTAGGGTGCACGGAGTGAACACGAGGGCAGCCGTACTAGTGCTGCAGGCCGCCAGCCCATAAATAACGCTCAGCAAAAAGTGCCCCTTCATTTGATGCCATATGGTATTTGAGAAGTCAAACAGCTGTAGGATTGTCGAGTTACAGACGAGCAATATCAAGTTTAATCAAAAACATTACCAACTTTAGAAATTGGAAATTATTTTTAAAATATTCGTTGTTACTTCATGTTTAATCCTACTAAAGACTACTAGAAAACTACCTCAGACTAGACATATGTAACATATTGCATTGTATGTCTGAAAAATCATACAATTTAGCAAAATATGACATTTATGCAAATTATTTAGCAAAATATAATATTAATGACTATAAGGTAATTGTGATGTGATTTAAGTGATCTTTTGACGTTGTGAGTGCCAATAATATTTAAAAATATATAAGTTATGTGGGAATCCTGAAATTCTCGTCCTAAAAGTTATGGTCCACAGTTAAATTGTCTTTGGGGTAACATTAGAGCATCATTTTTCCGCTCATTTTTTTCGTCAAAACTCACTTTATCGGGTTATTCGACATCAAAGGTAACATTTAACTATATAAGGCTGCAAAGTGCGAAAAGATCAGCTGTTTCGTTTGACAGATGACATCGTTGGCCGGTTGATTTTTTATTCTTTATTGTATTTCTTTTCTTTGTATAGTTTTTTACATTTGAATACATGCATACTACTGTTCCGATTATCGATTTAAAAAAAAGAAAATTTGTTGAATGTGTTGTCCAAAGTTACACCGCTAGTCCAATGTTACCTCAGAATTGTACCATAATCGTTAGAAATATTGGCTGCAGTTTAGTATATCAGACGCGGCCTCTGGAGGAGTGGGTGGTATTTTTAGATAGGGGAGATGATAGGGAGTCCAAATATATAAAATTTATTTTGAGGAAACGAAAGAGTCAAAAGTTATTGAGACTTAAAGTTACAATATTTCCATACTATCACTTAATCGAAAATAAATAATACACTTAGATTTAAAAAAAAAATTATCTACTTACGTTTATAAACTGCATGAGTACACTTAAAACACTAAGAATAAACACTTAAAATACACACACTAGTATACGAAAATTAACTAAAACTAAAAACTACTAGAAAATAATATGAGAAAAATAACGATGAAAAGGTGCAAAAAATATAAAAACCTAAACGCGTTTAATGAGTACAGATCGTATTCACACAAACTATCGAACTTCGTGCTATTTTGTGATCAAAAATACTAAAAAGTATTCACAGATACTTATGCATATTAAACGTGAAAATTATCATCAGATCACTAAGATTTTAAAATAGACATGTATATTATTTTTAATTCATGTATGCATTTACGAGTTTATATTTGATTTTTATAGAATATTGAGTTATAAAATTTACATTTAACAAAAAAATTTAAACCTTTATTTTATTACTTAACTCTGAACTAATTAATAAGCGATAATCTGATAAGTCCTAAAAGCGGTACATAAAACAAAAATTGACATGTTTAGATTGTTGTTTTTAGTGAAATTATCGAAATATTAATATAATAAAGCCTTAATTGTTATGATAATATGGATTTTACACGAATAAGGATGTTTACTATTCGTTAAAGGTATGTTTATTTTTTGTAATGACTTATTTAGGTATGGAAATGTCTGGAAATGTTCTAACTTTAAGTATCAATAACTTTTGACTCCTTCGTTTCCTCAAAATATTTTTTATATATTTGAGCTCCATATCCAAAAATTCAGGTCCCCTATCCAAAAATACCACCCACTCCTCCAGGGGCCGCCTATATACTAAATTTGTGCCGAAATATTATTCCCCACCAATACTTTTCTTTTCATAATCTTCAATTTTTATCATTCTTAAGCTTTTGGGTTATTCTACGATAAGAGGTTTTGCGTCCATAGAAGATGCGGCCAAGGGGAAAAATTGTTTTTTTTTTATTAAACACATATATTACGATTTAAGTCCCTTTTATATACATATTCACCTAAGGGCAAGTCAGTTTATTATTAAATATTTTTTTATTAAGTTTTATTTGCAAATATGTATTACTGGTAGCGTTCTAAAAGCATATAATGCTTAGCCATGACCTTCAAAATAATTACAGTAATCAGTGAGTATCTACTCTGATAGTTATCTTGCTAGAGGAAATACGCCAGAGGAGGGACTTTTCGCGACAAATTTAAAACTTTTAAGTGACAATTATGTTAATATTGGGTTAGTAATAACAACTATTACAGTATTGTTAACTTTAGGCAAAAATACAAATAAATTACTTAAGTGATTTTTATAAATTTTACGACTTTCCAATGGAGGGACACATGCAATATGGAATTTCAGGAAAATATATTTTAATTAGGTGTTTAATTGCAATTCGCAATGCTATTCATAAAATACATTAAGATGCTGTGATTTATTACATAAATTGACAAGACTTTAATAAAGAAGCTATTTTATATTGATTGCCGTACACATTACCTCTTATCGTAGAATCACCTTTTAATAAATCTAAGGCGTGAGTAAACCTGAATATTTGCAAGGATACGTTTTATTTTACACATAACACATTCATAGTAAACATTTAGCTTTCCATTACGCCTACTCCATATGAAAGTATACATATATATAAATATATATATATATATATAAATATATATATATATATATATAGTAAATAACATAGACATTTTATAAAATATAGAAAAAATATTAAATACATGATTTATTTTCTGAAAATCAAATTTTTAGACAATACTATATAATTGTAACTTATACGCAAATCAAATGTAGCATACTAACAAACTAAAAAAGACAATACTATTCAGGAATTTAAAATTAAATCCCAACACTAAGTATCGGTTTGGACTTGTCAAAAGGAACTAAAATAAACTCAAATTGGTTCATTGTCAGATCATCTTAACTATATTAATTTGTCGTACTTATACTGGACACTTGTGTATATTTTCAAAATATTAAGATACTAGACAATAAGAAATAGGATAAAATTGACATACTGAAATTTGACTGTTAACATATTATGAAGGTATTTATTATTTTTTTCGGATATTCTACGGTTTGCTTTATGTCAAAGATATATGGGACCACCTCGAGATTTATCTTAATAGAATATAATTTAAACTAGATCAGGTAGGCTGTGTCTAACAAATTGTTGATCTTATAAATATACTCGTCAAGGAAAGTACAGTTTTTTTAGTCGGTAAAATAGAATATCGTCATTAATTACTATTACTTTAAATAAGTTTGCCGCAAGTTTATAAAGTTATCTTCATAGTACCTCTTTGAGTTTGTTAAGTGGGTATTTGTTATATATATTTTAATGTATAGTGTAAATTTAATGTTATGAAACCGTCTCAAAAGGACATTACTCTACATGGAGTAATGTTCTTTTGAGACGAATGTCGGATGCCGACAAAGATGGGATATCTCACCCTGAAGCAACGCTATTTATTAATTATTGATGGCATTGGGCCCGAATAAAACTATGCAGCCCACTTGTTTCCAGTTACAACCACAACAACTGGCCGATGACAACTTCAACATTCACATCTTATTTTGTCAGTACAAGCAGGAGCTCGCGTTAGTAAGAGGCAATTATTAAGTATCTTCCGATACAAACGAAGTTGACGTGATTGGCGACAGTCAGCATTATTATACTTTGTGGAAATTGAATGACAATTCGATCTTCACTTACATGAATTGCGTCCTGAAGCAGAACGGAACGATTCGCATTGAATTACGTATCATGAACAGAAGTCTGTTGTTGTTTTAATAAGAACCAATTGGTATGTCGTCTGAAGTAATTTTGGATATTGCGAATGGACTCAATTGTTAAATAGATTTTACACATTATGTTGTAGTCATAACGTTATTCATTATAAAAACTGAAGTAATTCAATTCAAGTTTGCTTTCTCGGAATAAGCACGTATAAACGGTATCATGGCCATTAGCAACGAAAACTCCGCAAAGAAAATACTGGAAACATTCACATCAAAGAGAATTGCCACAAAAGCGTGCAGCCTTCACGTGAATTATTTAAGCAGCATAGACAATTGAAATTGGGCAGAATGCAGCTGTTTATTTGAATAACGAAAACCTAATTAAAAATAATAAAGATTACTAATATGTATGTATATAATATACTAAAATGAACCTGTAGTTTTTTTTATAAAAAACTATGACTAATTTATTTTTATGTTATATGTTGGTACGTTGATAAGTCAAGTGATTTAATAATTTAATAATATTTAATGAGTAGTAAAAAATCGCTACGATGCATTTTGGAAACGAAAAAAATCATAAAATCAGTCAATCGGGGGGATGTAAGAAGAGAAATAGAACAAATGCAGATTTTTTATCCGTTAATTAAAGAGTTCCTGTGGGATAGTTAAAAAACTATAGTAACTTATACAGCTTAGTACACAGCAACTTATGCACCTAATTTAGTAAAATTTGGTATGCTGATACCTTATATTGCCGGTCAAACAACAGGTTACTTTTTATCCCGATAAAATGAACGGTTCCCGTGGGATAGATCTGTTTGTACTTTTCGTGAGTCGCTAGTCTACACTTATATTTGTAGAGTTTGTGAATTGTGAGTTGTGACGTTGTGGGGGGTAATCTTTAGATCTACTAAACCGATTTAGATGAAATTTGGTAAGAAGATAGTTTGAGACCCTGGGAAGGACAAGATACTTTTTATCCCGGAAATTATCCCGTATGAGGGTGGATGGGGATGAAAGTTTGTATGGGGAAGCAAGCTAGGGACGAACCCGAGCGAGACAAGAGTGAGTCGCTAGTGTATTAATAAAAACCAAAGAAGGGCAACGCGTCTTTATACTTATAACAAAATAAAATGGATTTTAATCAAAATTTTAACGACATTGTTACCTGTATTTTTAAATAGATATCTTATGTGTTATAAATATATTGAATTTACTTAATGACATGAATGAATAATCTTTAACTATTGTATGGAGGAAAATATTGACCTTGCGTGGTTGTATCCCTTGCAGGGTTTTTGAAACACTTGATCTTCAAAACGTTACGATTGGCTCAGTTTGTAGTGGCCCTACTTGTGTGCCAGCGGTCGCGGGTTTGAGTCCCGCTGGGGGCCTTCATTTGTGTGATAAGCACGAATGTTTGTACTCCAGTCATGGGTGTTTATATTTATAATATGTATGTATTTAAAGTTATATATGTGTAGTGTATCAACTATCTGGTATCCATAACACAGGCCTCGTTGCTTACCATGGAACTAGATGGTGCTGTGTGTTAATGTCCCAACATATTTATTTAATTGTACTGTACTACTATAATAAAGAGAAATATCTTATAGATAGATACAACTACATTAATTATATAAATAAATAAAAATTCTTCATTCGTTCTTTCTACTTGTCCAAATATGTTTCTCTTCATTCGTAATATCACACTTTCATTTAAATTCTGTGAATTTCTTCATTGTGACTTAGAATCGATGTATGATAGGTCACATAATAAGAATATATTTAAATATTGTTTTAATTAATAAGCCTATAATATCTACATATGATTTAAATAAAAATATCCTGACGATAATTGTAATGACATACAAGAATTAACAAACTCCTTTTAACAATCAGTATTCCAAACAACAGATGTTCATAGCAACATACCAGTGTTCAACAGACAAGTTGATCACCCCGCACTGCCCCGCCCTCCCCGCTCTCCCCCGGCCGCAGGCGGGGCCGGCGCGGGCGCCGCGTCGTGTCGCAAGCCTGCCTGTAGCAATATACTTGTACATTATACAAACATCACCTCGTACGCTCTACACCTTCCTTTACATTTAGTTATCAGTATTTTTCTGTGTTAGGATATTATACTTGATATGAATAGGTCAATAATATGTTATTATTAGAATGACACTCGTAGCTCTGCTTATAACACAAGTGAATGCGATTATGCATTCACAGCGAAAGCGTAAGGTAATGCTTATAAATTGAGCTCAATATGGCGCCTTACGTGAAGGCATGACACATACACAAATGTTATAACTTTGAGATGAACTTTAAGAATGACTTTTTCTGGAGATCCATGACGGGCCTACTTCGAAGTGGCCGGTTGGAGGTTATCATTGGCCTATAAGATATCGCTTCGTATAATGCATGTCCGATCGGCCGCGGGCTACCATCTAGTGCCGCCTTGCTCTCTACTCGCAATAATAACAGTGAGTTATCGAGAGATGTAACGGTTGTGGAGTTTATCTCTGCTACATGAATCAGTGGGCTACTTAGCGCGTATCTTTATAGGCGGCGCGAAGGTTAGGCCGATGACCGGCGCCCGGCTCGGCCGACCGTCGGCTGCTGACATCATCAAATAACCCTCATTTTGCTTAATAAGCCACTATTAATATTATAAGTCTTACCTGTATAATTTAATTAAGCCAATTAGAAAATGAAAATCTCTTGTCGACTTTATTTGACTTACTAGGTATTTATATATTTTTTATGTCGTTATATTTAAACTTTTAACAGCCTCGGTGGTGTAGTGGCTAGCATGGACGGCTGCACACCCGGAGGTCCTGGGTTCGAGGCCCGGGTCGGGCCAAATTTAGTTATCGAGTCTTTCTGTATAGTAAGCCTCAGTAACAGCCCGGATTTGGGAAGTTGGCGGTGTTGTACCCCCGTGCCTCGGAGAGCACGTAAAGCCATCGGTCCTGCGCCTTAACTCTCACCGGTCGTGTCGAGTAGTCGTCCCACCGGAGTATGAGGGTGACAGGAATAGAGTGTGCACGTTGTGTCTGCGCGTACACTTGTGTACTATAATATCTCCTGCGCAGTTGGCTAGTTTCAATGAGATTGGCCGCCGTGGCCGGAATCAGTCAGGAGAACATCATCATCATCATACTTAAAACTTAGTAATCATTCATAGGCATTTATTTATTAGTTTGATACAAAACTACATACCTACCTACTACTATAATGAAAATAAAATTATCATAATAACTTAAGAATGTCATATTCTTTCTTTACATGATACTTGGATCTGACGAGGCTTTACAGAGTGTTCAAGATAAAAACTGCACGAATATTTTGTTAATATGCGAAAGTTACCTACTTGGTGTAGTTATTACTTATTAGTTATTGTATTAATTCCGTAACATTTGGGTCACCATTTGAGGTACCTGATGCCCTCAGTCCTGGAAACCAGGCAAACAATATAAAGTATTAAAGTAAAATTGTAATATGAAGATATTCTATGTCTCAAGGAATAAAAGAGTGTAACTACCTACTTTTGTATTTTCTCTAAAAATAGCGATGAAGAAGCGATTTTAACTAGTCCTGCTCTACATACTAAATACTATTTTTTGGAGAGTTTACTTATTTACACACACTTTTTCCCCTTTTTCATTTATAATCAGCGTTACAAATGTATTCTTAGTTCAACTTAAGTTATTAAAATAAAACTTGTTGTAGGAAATCATTTATATTATTATTGCTTAATTCTAATTAGATTGCGATAATAATATGCATGCACATATTTGACCCGGTATATTACTTTAAGGGTGAAATAATAACGATTTATTTATTCAGATCAAAGTTTTCATTTTCATAGAACACGCTCCGATGAAAATATTGTTATTTGTTATAATAAATGTACCATAAAAAGGCAAGATGATTTTTATCTCTATTAACAATCTGAAGGCTAAAATGCTAAGTGTCTACTTATCTCATAACCTGAGATATTTCTTGGCAAGGAATACTACTAGCTGGAGTCCGCCTAACCCTGATACTACATTAGAGTGCGCCTTCTTTATTTCTTAAAGTGCATTGTGTCGTTAAAAATCAAGAACATCATTTAATCATTAAGTACATGTATTCAAATTAAACACGAGGGATAGTTATCATCTATACTCGTAGTATATGTATGTCCCTTCGAGGCAAATTAAATTTCTGTGGCAATAAAGCACGTGGTCCTGTTGTAGCCACTGTAATTACAACTCATGCTACTACAGCTATTCGATTATATTACACTTGTTACCTACGTTTTGATTAGATATAGATTATGCTTGCACCTTATTACCAAACTACTAATAGGAGGCTTCGTTTTGGGGGTATCCTTTTTTGTGCGTAGTACATATTATATTACGGAGCATCTTCACGTAGTAAACCGATTTTCATGATTAGTTTATAAAGGTCGCTTCAATAAAGGTAATTCGTGCAATACGAGTACTCTTCGACATTACGCCATCGGTTAGTACGAACGCACGTCGCTCGCCGCAACAATAGCGCGCGCGCCTAACTTCTCATTTTGCTATCAATCGGCATTATGTCCGATTTGTTATTACTCTCGTCCTTGTATTCGTAAACATACATTTTGAAAGGTCTCTCCTGGCTTCTGAAAGTCTTTACTTACATAACTCTACTTTTTATATCTATATATACTAATATTATAAAGAGGATAGATTTTTTGTTTGTTAGTACCGAATAGGCTCCGAAACTACTGAGCCGATTTAGATTAAATTTGGTAAGATGATAGTTTGAGATCATGGGAAGGAAATACGATAGTTTTTATTCCGGAAATCATCCCTTAAGGGAGTGAAAGTTTATATGGGGAAGCAACCTAGGAACGAACCCGAGCGAAGCGAGGGTGAGTCGCTCGTTTATGATAAATGAAATATTCTTTTACTCTTGATATAATTAACGATACTGAAGAGACATTTGTTTCGGAATAAACATCTCAGTGGCCAAAACGATATAATTAATTTTATTTGCGTTCGCTTACCACGACCACAATACGTGGAACTTTCATTTATCTATTATTGGTATTCCACTAAAAGTTTTTTATTGGCAAAGCTTGTATGATGATATCCTTAGATTATTTATTAATAATTTAAGATGATATCTATCAGATACAAGATAAAAATATAATTTATATAGTAATTGTCTTTTGTAAAATATAAAGGCCTCTATATAATATATAATTCGTCATATTATGAAAGTAATACGAAATTGTCCACGTTAGAGCAATTCTGAACAGTAAACACTAAACACTCACCGGCGTGATCTTTGAAGCGTGGACGCCAACAACAGCGCCGCGTGCGCATGACTCACCGCTCAGCGATGACGTCACGCTCCGCGCCTTCGCTACAAAAACCGTGTATTCTCTCAGATGTGATCGATGCTTTGTTTAAGTCTGTGTTAACTAACGCTCTCGACGGTCGCAATCGGTCACTAAGTCAAGATTACTGATTACGATGATTAATTACAGACAGACATATTTTACGTACAGTTCACTGAAGAAAAATAACATAGTAAACAAGTAATCACATTTATTCCATACTAATTGAGTATATCGCTCACGTTTTATGGTATGACTTAATTTTAATTAATGACAGACATTGCTCTATGCTCAATTTATTGATTTTCAAACACATTGTCATTTGTCTCATGAGGAAGGCATATCTGCAAACGTCACGAGGCACTCTTTTGGCAACGAATAAATTCCACATAATATGAGATTACCGTACAAGACGGAGTGATATGAGCATAATTAATATTTTCGTTTTGTTGTGTTATACACATTCACTTTTCATTATCTAAAGCTGGCGCGAGCTCCAAGTGACCAATGATATCAATTTGAATAAGATCAAATTTTTTTAGCTACGATCAGTTTTTTTTCTTGCGGTTTCTGAAGCTAACATTTAGTAAAAAGGATGAATGCATTTTCTGTGGTAATTTAATATGCAGATATATTAAAGCTTAAAAACTGGGTCTATACCTAATACGCAACTTAAAAAAATTAAGGTAGTCTATTTCCGTCCCTAGGATGTTATTTATGTCCTTGCCAAATTTTATCGAAATCTGCTCAACAGTTGCATGCATGACAATTAACGGACAAAGTTACACATTTATAATATTAATAGTAAATAGTATGGAAGTATGGATAAAGTAGGTACCTGCTCCATAACCCATATTATACACTTCAACGGATTCCAATGAACGTTGAGTTCCTTTCAATAAATTACTATAGGTATTATTTCTATAGAAAAACTAAAATATTTAAATAACTCGAAACATTGGATTACTTAGTGTTTTATTTTTGTTAAAAAATATCATCTGTGTAACGTAAGTAATAAGTCTACTTCTAGTGTACGAAAAGAAGCTTGATAACAATGCAAGACTACCTGCTATTAAAATGCTAGGCCTACGCCGCGCGCTGACACTAACAAGCGCTCTCGAGCCGTCCCGCCCGCATTACGTTTAATCCTGCGAATAAAAAGAGATGTACAATGAAAAGACTTCCTTTCTTTACAAATGAAGACGAGAGCGGCGCGCCGCGCTGGGCACAGGGCCGGCAGCAGACGCACGCATTGTTGGTACCCCGCAATACCCTTCGAGCTCACTTTTAAATAAAGTTATATTTTCAGGCAGACGTATAATTTACATCTGCCTCAGAGTAATATTTGTGATGTAGCCGTAACAGTCGACGCAATATAAATGGTGAAAGTAGCCTCCGCTGGAAAATAATCGTGTATAGAAAAGAAGTTTACTATTTGGAATGAACACGAACAAAAAGTATCAGTTGTGTATAGAAAAAAATAAAAACAGACTTCAAACAAAAGCACTAAAAAGTAAAAAATAACTAATTGGTAGTTTTCATTTACTATTCATACCTAATCAAATATTTTCGAAGTCGGTGTGCTTTGCTTTGTATGGGCTGGCACCGATTTCGAAAATATTTGATTAGGTGTGTATTTAATAGGTAGACTTTAATTACTTAGCCAAAGCACACCGACTTCGAAAATATTTGATTAGGTATGTATAGTAAATGAAAGCTACCAATTAGTTATTTTTTACTTTTTAGTGCTTTTGTTTGAAGTCGGTTTTTATTTTTTTGTTAAAAAGTTTTTATTTTTCCCTTTTTAGTGTAGATAGTAGTAGCAAAGTAAGAATTCTAACGTGTTAGGCTTGTCAAATCAAACAAAATAAGCCGGAACTCAAAGTATCTACTATTAGCCGTTGAAGAGTTTCACCTAGTCACCTTCTGGCCTGACCATCAGATCAGGTCAACAATACCAAACCACTGTACTATCAACGGAAATAGAAACACTTGCAAAGTTTCAAGTCAATATGACAAATAGAAGTAGGTTAAATTCATCATTAGCTATTTTTCCACCCTTAGGGGTAGTATTTTTTTTTGAAATTTAAATGGGACCAATCTGGAAGTATATACTTTCAAACAACACAAAAATTGTCCAAATCGGTTAATAAATGACGGAGTTCTGAGGTAACAAACATAGAAAAAACATACAGTCGAATTGAGAACCTCCTCCTTTTTGAAGTCGGTTGAAAAGTTATCCTGCGTTATATTTTAGCAAATTTGCAAAGGCAGTAATACACTTTGGTATGTATAATATCAAAAAGTATTTTCAGATTTGAATTGGTACGGGATATTGGGAGCGACCAATCAGTCAATACCCTGTAGACCACATGATGTATTGAGTCGAGCGCATGGCTAGTGTTCTTAGGGCTAAATAAGAAAGCCCGCTAAATAAAGAGTCAATGAAGTAAATCATGAATATCTTTGCGTGCAACGATCCTGAAACAGGTTGGCATTCATAATAATAATATGGATGCTTTCGGTCTAACCCTGAGTTTCAATGAGAACTATATATAAATAAAATCCTATACGGTTTGTATTAGTACTTATATTTTATTAACTGCCTTGGTGATGTAGCGGCTAGCATATACGGCTGCACCCCTGGAGAACCTGGGTTCGAGTCCCGAGTCGGGGCAAGTTTAGTTATTGAGTCTTTCTTTTTAGTAAGCCTCAGTAACAGACCGGAGTTAGGAAGTTGGAGGTGTTTCACAAATGGGGGTGCTTTACGTGCTCTTTGAGGCACGGGCTTCGAAGAGAAAGCACGTAAAGCCGTCGGTCCTGCGTTTCAACTCTCACTGGTCGTGTATTGTAGTCGTCTCACCCGAGTATGAGAGTGACACGAATAGAGAGTGCACGTTGTGTCTGCGCGAACACTTGTGCACTATAATATCTCGGCGCAGCTAGTTTCAATGAGATTGGCCGCCGAGGTCAAAATCGGTCGGGAAGACATTATTATTATTTAATATAACCCTTGTAATGCTTTTCTTTACAAAAAAGTTATTTATCTTACTACAAAAATTACACGTGTCGGAGCCGCCACACGTTTAACAATGATGGACTATAATTACAAAAACCAAGGCATTTTAATCATAATAAAAATTATTAATCTTTAAAATAATATAAATATTACTATAAACAAATTATAATTTTATTTAATACGAAACTGCAATTTCACAAAAATTCTATCGATAATCACACATTACCTTATCGCATTAAAATGGGTAAAATGTACTAATTATTTAGTTTTCACCCGGAGGATTATCATTTCAGCAAACTATCTATGTACATAATATGTATATATAATCATAATAATAACAGCAAAAAATTAAATAAATAATATGTTATTCAATTATAAAACTAATTAAAATTATAAAAATGTTTAAAGTTAAAAAATATTGTAAGGTAACTGGTGCAATTTTTATTTTGATATTAGTGGGTAGGCTGTTTGTAACAACTATACCTTCGAGACATCTAATACCTCAGTCTTTCAAGTGACCATGATTGCTGTAAAGCATTCGAAACGTCGGGAACCAAAAATCAAAATAAATACGCGAAAAAATTCGAAAAGATAGTTTTATTTATAATATATACCTATTAGGTATAGTATATATTAGAATAATCTTAAATAAAATAGCCTCTACTTTCGCATTTTGCTCGCGTTTAAGACATGTAATTTGATTCTTTGACCGTTGCTCCATTCATGTCATTAGGTAGCGACTATGAGATACAAATTATAAGCAACTTAAGAAAGTTTTTTTTTCGTAGAGTTTTGGAGGAGAGGACAGTGCTCCGCACCCGCGGCCTGGCCAGCGCCTTCACGTCTCACACATGAGGTAGGTTTTATTTTACTTATTTGGAAATAATTGGTTTTATTTTACGTAAAGATGTCTTAGTTTAAGTTCATGCTAGCTAAATACATCATGATAAATGAGGGTTAACCTCCTTAACTGATAAGCGCGTATCATCAAACCTGATGTAATTCATTAGGTCCTTGAACCACTTCTCACGATAAATCAATATTAGTAAGAATTAGTATTTGGGATAAATTCATTGTTTTACATTCAATTTAATTTAATGTAAAAATCGAGAAGTAGGTAAGCTTATAATTTAGTTATTGTATAAAGTACATCTTTTTTCTACTTGTACTTTTCTAAAGCATGTCTTGTTTTAGACATGGGTATGACAGTTATGTATACCTATTGGGTACATTTGCAAAAAACTACTGTTTGGTGGTTGTTGAGCGACAACAAAACACAAATAAAAGATTACGTCACTAATAAAATTATAATGAAAATGTCAACACACACGTAAAAACAATGCAGAACGAAAGTTTAGGGAAATACACAATGACACAAAAAAACACATAAAAAGTCCACATACAATATCTCACAAAAAACGATTAAATTATAATAATATTAAAACAAGTAATTAGCGTCAAACGGCAAAGCATAGACTGTTCGTTAGTAAAAATTATAAGGCCGGTAGGAGTAAAACAAATTCCGATCCGCCATATACTACCGGTTTCGCACGGCTATGCTTGTGGATTTAATATATATGAATAAATATTATTTAATAAATATAATTATGTGCGTGTGTAGTATGTACGTATGTAGGTGCGTATATAGTATAAATACGTAAATTAAATATTAAATAAAATATATATATTATTAAATAAAAAGTTGATTATGTATATGAATATGATAAATTAAATATATTATAGAAGTCACCTACAGACTGTAATTTTTTATGAAATGCTTTAATTGGTTTAATATTCACTATTATTACATACGGTGTGGTGTTTTGAGGTTATCAATAACACGTGGCGGAAGCGTTTACTTATGGATAGGTAAAGGTAGAGGAGAGTGAAATATATAAGGGGCAAAAGGGGAGGAATAAAGATTAGGTTAAGTGTGGGTGTTTGGGTTCAATGAATACCTAACGAGAAGGCTAAACTTTGAGCCCTTACCACTCACAGGTAACCTGTTTTTAATTACATTAATTTTATAAAATGTGTAGCTATAATAAATATCTATAGAGAATGTGGATAACAATAATAACTAAAAACATTACGTATTACAGAACGCAACAGTGGCGATGGAAAGCGCGCGCGCGCTGCTGGTGCTGGCGGTGCTGTGCGGCGCGCGCGGCGCCGGGCCCGGCCCGCCGGCGGCCGCACAGCCTGCGCTGCAGTTTCGGCACGCACTCTACAACGTGAGCATCCCCGAGAACAGTCCGCCGCGCAGCTACGCAGCGCAGCCGCCCGCCGCCGACCCGCTGGGGCTGCGCTTGCCGGCGCCGGACACTCGCATCCGTTACCGCATCAAGCACGGCGACCGTGATAAATTTTTTAAAGCAGAGGAGCGTGTCATTGGTGACTTTTGTTTCCTTTCAATACGTACGCGAGCAGGGCACTCTGATGTTCTTAATAGGGAGCGAAAAGACAACTTTCGATTAGAGATTAGGGCGACAGCGCAGCTTCCCAATGGACGGACACTAGAGGCGGATACAGTAGTAGCTGTTGAGGTTACAGACGAAAACGATCTTAGTCCGCTTTTTTATCCTACAGAATACGAAGCTGTAGTACAAGAAGACGCGCCTTTACATTCAAGTATAGCGCGGGTCTCCGCGGAGGACGCTGACCTTGGTATAAATGGAGAAATTTATTATAGCTTGGCAGAAGCAACAGATCGATTTGCCGTTCACCCAACCAGTGGCGTAGTCACAGTTACCCGTGCCTTATCAGTAGCAGAGAGTTCTCGCTATGTAATAATAATACTGGCACATGATCGCGCATCTTTAATTACTCGAGGAGATAATGCACCCGCAGCACGGGCATCGTTAGTAATTCGAATTATCCAGGCGAATCTCCATGCGCCTGAGCTAAAAGTAAGACACTTACCTGAACTGATAGAAAATTCAACGGCTGAAATATATGCAATTGTGAAAGTAACAGATCGGGATTCTGGAGAGCATGGTCGTATTGCCGGGCTTGAAATTGTTGATGGTGATCCTGATGGACATTTTCGGGTTCGGAATTCCATACAACCAGGAGAATATGATATATTGGTACATGCCCTTCTTGATAGAGAGACTGCACCTCGTGGCTATAATCTAACTTTGCGTGCCACAGATGCAGGAAAACCTCCTCGCTCATCCTATTTAACGTTACCAGTGTTGTTAACAGATACTAATGATAATGCGCCGATATTTAGCCGCGAAATTTACGAAGCGAGTATTCCAGAGACCGCTCCACCTAACACTCCAGTTATTCGTCTTAAAGTTAGCGATCGAGATGAGGGTAGAAATGCTCGAGTGTATATTGAAATAGTAGGCGGCAATGAAGGTGGAGAATTTATCGTTAATCCTGACACTGGCGTTCTTTACACTGCTGTTGAATTGGATGCAGAGGAAAAGTCTTTGTATACACTTACTGTATCAGCTATTGATCAAGGAAATGCAGGAACGCGTAAACAATCGTCAGCGAAAGTAAAAATTTCTATAGTAGATGCTAATGATAACGATCCTGTATTTGAGCGAGAGCAAATAGAAGTAACGCTACAGGAAAATGGCCCTACAGGTGCTGTCGTAGCTCGGGTCGTGGCACGTGATTCCGACTCTGGAGAGAACGCTTACATATCATATAGCATTGCCAATTTACAACCAGTGCCGTTTGATGTTGATCATTTTTCAGGTGCAGTACGAACTACACGGTTATTGGATTACGAGAGTATGCGTAGGGAATATGTCCTACAAATACGTGCTAGTGACTGGGGTTTACCTTATCGACGTCAAGCAGAGATGCGACTTACAGTGCGGCTTGAAGATGTTAATGATAATCGGCCACAATTTGAACGTGTTGATTGCGTTGGGTACTTATCACGTCGCTTGATCATTGGATCTGAAATTGTGACGCTTTCAGCTATCGATTTTGATGCTGGAGACGTAGTTTCATATCGTATTATCGGTGGCAATGAAGATAATTGTTTTTCTCTCGACTCTAGCACAGGTGTGCTGGTTCTATCATGCGATCTTGGTGATGTACGAACAGAAACACGTGTGTTAAATGTTACAGCTACTGATGGAACACATTTTGCTGACGCTGCTACATTAACTTTACATCTTGTGAGTGGCAGTGGAAGTGGTGGTGAATCAAACTCGCTAGAATGTCGCGAGACAGCCGTAGCTCGACGTCTAACTGAGCTTTTAGCTGCTGCTGAGCGAAGCAATGCACCTATTGACTTCGCAGAAGATTTCCCTCTTGCGCCTTCCCGTTACGGTGAAAATTTGCACTATCCAGAGTTTGTTGATTTTCCTATCGAAGTGAAAGTCAATGAATCTGTGGCATTAGGAACTTCTCTCGTTCGCTTACGTGCCCGAGATCGAGATCTAGGATACAACGGCCTGCTAGTATATGCAATTTCTGGTGGAGATACTGATTCTGCATTTCGCATAGATCCAGATACTGGAGAACTTAAAGTTATTGGTTATTTAGATAGAGAACGTGAAAATGAATATTATTTAAACGTGACGGTTTACGATCTTGGTCATCCACAACGTACAGCTTCTCGCCTGTTACCAATCACTGTACTTGACGTGAATGATAATGCACCCCGATTTGAAAAGACACTCGCAAGTTTTAGAGTAACAGAAAATGCTATTAATGGAACAGCTATCTTTCACGCAAATGCAACAGATCGTGACCTCGGTGAATTTGGTTATGTTACCTATAGCCTAAGTGGAGGAGGTGAAGGCGAGTTTTGTATTGACAAAACCACAGGTGTTGTATCAGTCTGTGCACCACTGGATCGCGAACGACGTGCTCTTTATGAGCTAACAGTGCGCGCTACAGATGGCGGCGGGCTACGTGCAGAAGCTCTGGTGCGTGTCGCTGTCGATGATGTAAACGACAATGCTCCGCGCTTTGCTTTGCCAGCTTACAGTGCTCGCATTCGTGAAGACGTGCCAAACGGTACTCTTGTCGCTGTGCTCGAAGCGTTCGATCCAGATTTGGGTACAGGTGGAATTGTCACTTATTCACTGCCCGATCAATCACCTGATGATATTGTTTTTACAGTAGACGTTACTTCAGGCACGCTGCGAACCGCTAAGCGTTTAGACTTCGAGGAAAGACAGGTAATTTAAGATTATGTTATAATTATAAATATTATGTTTACTTGATCATGAAATATGTAATTCAAATTTTTATGACATGGTTCATAGGTGTATGGCGTGACAGTGCGTGCTACAGATGGCGGTCAACCGGCACTTTTCGCCGAGGCAACCCTCATCGTGGAAGTAGTCGATGTGGACGAGAACGCACACACGCCAGTGTTCGCGGAGCGCCAGGCGTTCGCGGCGAGCGTGCGCGAGGACGCGGTGCCGGGCGCGGCCGTGCTCACGGCGGCCGCCAGCGACGCCGACGCGCCCGGCCGCGACTCGCGCCTCGCGTACTACATTGTTGGGGGCTCCGGCATGGCCTTGTTCTCTATCGATGACACGGGTACTTCTTTTCTATTTATAATATAAAAATAAAATTAATGAACTGACTTTCATTAACACTAGTGTATAAAAAAATGATAACATTTAAATTAGAAATTAAAAACCATTACAAAAAAAAAAATTCTTTCATCATCTGTACCATCCTCATTGTGTATCTTTAATATCTATCATTATCGCCTTAACTGGGCAATGGCCATTGACCCAATTATCTCACAAAGTTCCTTCTGTTCTTTATGGCAGGTACCTATATTAAAAATATATTTTCCTGATATATGATTTTCTTATCGAAATACGTCCAATAAATGGATATACTTCACACATAATTTCAAAGTATTATACCTATATTTATTTTCATAAATATAATAACATTATATGTATTGAATACAGGTGTGATAAGAACGCAGACGCCGCTGGACCGAGAGACGACCCCGCATTACTGGCTCACAGTGTGCGCTCAGGACCATGGGCTGGTTCCACGCCACTCTTGTGTTGAGGTTACTACGATTATATCTTTGTACTAGCGACTTACCCTCGCTTCGCTCGGGTTCGTCCTAGCTTGCTTCCCCATACAAACTTTCATCCCCATTTTCACCCCCTTAAGGGATAATTTCCGGGATAAAAAGTCCTTCCCAGGGTCTCAAACTATCTTCTTACCAAATTTCAACTAAATCGGTTTAGTAGATCTAGAGATTACCCCCCACAACGTCACAAACTCACAATTTACAAACTCATAAACTTTACCTCTTCATAATATTAGTATAGACTATAGATAGATTGACGTATTATATATGAAAAAAACAATCTTATAAAAATATCACTCAATAGATTACGACACGGTCGCGGTTCCATACCTACGAATATGTTGTATTATCTCGTTTATTAACCATTTGTCCAAATTATATGCAGTAAAAGAGAAAAGTCTTTTGTTTTAAACATTTTAGACGATAAATTTACTTATTTTGATAAGAATTCAGAATTGTTGATAATATGACCAATAAACATGACCTACCTGTTTAACTAATGTATTAGAATTACGCTCTTATATCTACATATTGTAAATATATTTTATGAGTTAGTTGCAAATTAAACGCAGTACGATACACACGCTTGTTTCCTTTCACTCGCATCGCTAAGTCTATTCAAGCAATAATACACCTTAACGCAATATACACTACCGATTTAAACTCTATTTTAATATAAAAAAATACTTTTTGTGACTTAAATATAAAAGTTAGAAATATGCTGTCTCTGACTTTTTTGTAGGCATTATTAAGCTCTACAACTTTTCTTTAGAACGTTTTCGTTCGACCGTTTTTTCTCCGACTTACTTTGCAAATCCGACTACCATGAAAAAGTCTTTTCATTCTTCGGGTTAATATATAGCCTATGACACTCAGAAAGAACGTGGCTTTTTATTGGTAAAAGAATTTTGAAAATCGGTTTAGTAGAGATCCAGAGATTACACCCTACAACGTCACAAACTCGCAAACCCACAAACTCACAATATCACAAGCTTTACCTCTTTATAATATTAGTATAGATTAAAAATAGTGAAAAAAATTACTTTGTAAAGTCGCTTTTAAAATCATACCTCAGTGGCCGCAAACTTATTTCTCAGCCTCACAGAATACGCATACGAAAACATATGAATTAATAAGGTAGTGTCCACGGTGGTCCAGGTGTACATCGAGGTGGAGGACGTGAACGACATGGCGCCGTGGCCGGAGCAGGCGGAGTACGCGGCGGCGGTGCCCGAGCATTGCGCGGCCGGCACGCGCGTGGCGCGCGTGTCCGCCACCGACGCCGACGCCGCGCCCGCGCCCGCCGCGCTGCGCTACTCCATCGTGGCCGGCAACCCGGACGGGCTCTTCTCCATCGACGAACATACAGGTTCGCATATTCATTATTGTTGTATGTACTATAAAGAACTAAGTTATCCTTATTCTTCCGTCCTACTTGCATTGTTAAAATTTGGTTCATAGGTACTTAACAAATATATATAAAAAGTTTATATCAACCGCTAGGCGATTCTGTTGTCAAATTAAAAAATAACAGGAATGGCACTCCATACGTGTAACTTAGGGCTAAAATATATTTTAAGTCATATAAGAGCTCGAATAACATTTTAAAATTCATATGGTTGTTTCTAAGCCACTATTTTAAATTAGTCGGTTGGCGAGTTTAGCTTATATGCCATAACTTTGATGTATGTACCTATGGGGTAAAAAGTCTTAATAGATAGTAGAGCTTCTAAAATACGATTAACAAATAGTCTCAGTGTACGAATGAGACTCGTACTTGCCCAATTTATATCATTTAAAAGGTAAAGTATTAAAAATAGTCCTGTTCTCGCACGACCGGTCAGGCGAGATCACGACAACGGGGCGCGCGCTGGACCGCGAGGCGGCGGCGACGCACGCGCTGGAGGTGGCGGTGTGGGACGGCGCGCTGGCGGGCGCGGCGCGCGTGCGCGTGACGCTGCTCGACCTCAACGACCACGCGCCCGCCTTCACGCAGCGCTTCTACGACGTGCGCGTCCCCGCCCCGCAGGTTGCTCCCCTCACACTTACACGATCTACACTCTACACCACTGTCACTGTGCTGGACGAGCGCCTCCCTTCGATGTGGGGGATCGACATAGTCCACCACGCTGGACAAATGCCGGTTGATGGTATCCACATGTCTTAAGAATATTTGTTAGATTATCTCACCGACGCATTTTTCCGTTACCGTAAGACAATTGGTTCAATCATCTTGAAAATAATTTACTTATGAAAACATCAGAAATGTAACTCTTTGCACCCGTTTTTTTTTTACCTTGGTTTCACCAACAAACGTACTACCACTGGGCTATTACTATGACTCTATAGTACTGAAACTTATACACATGACACAGGACGATGAGGCAGTTCTGGCGGAAGACGAAGAAAGCAGCTCGGAGGCCGAGAGTGAGGCCGAGGCTGAGGACGACGAGGAGGGCTCCGGCTCGCGCCTGGCGTGGGACCTGTGGGACGAGCCCGAGCCTGTGGGAACATATATCGCCACTGTATGTTTGAAATTGTCGTATAATTGTAGTCCTCATGTATTGTATGTACATATTATGTAAACGAACTGGCATCAATAATGTCGCGAGGGTTCCCCGCGCGCAGGTGGCGGCGCTGGACAGCGACGCGGGCGAGAACGGCACGGTGACGTACAGCGCGCGCGCGCGGGGGCCGGCGCGCGGCCTGCTGCGCGTGCACGCGCGCTCCGGCCGCCTCTACGCCGCGCCGCGCCTGCCGCTCGCCGCACGCCGCGCCTACGACCTCACGGTAACAACCCCCATTATGGTCACGATATCATAAGACATGATATGTGCGATGTAAAACTACGTTCCCTACTTATTTTAAAAGAAATATTGTTTTTATTATTTTAATCGAATTAATATTATATGAAAACGAACGTTCGTCTCGTATGTGTACGTTTGTTACTCGTTCACGCTTAAGTGGCTTAACGGATTTAGACGCTTAGTACATAAATAAACTACGATCTGAAACTGAAAAAATATTTATGAACGAGAAGGCACTACGATCTACAATTGTTATTAGAAACTGCACATGCATATGTCGAGACAATGTTAATGTGCATGCGTGTATGGCGGGCAGGTGCGCGCGTGCGACGGCGGGGCGCCGGCGCGCTGCAGCGTGGCGCGCGCGCGCGCGTGCGGGCGGCGCGCGCGGGCGGCGGCGCGGCGCCGCGCGTGCGCGCTGTGGCGCCGCTGCAGGCCGCCGAGCTGGACGCGCCCGGCTTCCTGCTGGCGCTGCTGCAGGCCTCCGACCCCGACGGGGATGCGCTATACTATGATATAGTTGGTGGGTCACTATCGATCGTTCGTCCGAAATTCATATTGTGTCTATTAAAAAAAGATAAAATTAAAAAAAATGCGTAAATGTAACTGAAATAAATCTATATTATGGAAAAAAGTAGTAACAACTCAGTCGATGCTGCTTAATTTTAAATCTCGAATACAATTTCAATTTTGTAGGATTTTGAGTGGAAGTGAGGAACAAAATCTATACAATTCAATAAACACAACTTTTTTCAAAAAATCATTAAAAACAATTGTTATTGGCGTCTCTGATGCTAGGTGGTGACCCCCGGCATCAGTTCTATATAGGGCGAGAGGACGGCAGCCTGGTGCTGGCGCGCCGCCTGCTGTGGGAGGAGCAGGCGCAGTACGCGCTCAACGTGTCCGTCACCGATGGACTCAACACGGTTTACACATTAGTACGTGCAGCATATTTATCATTACATAATGAGACATTCATGAGTACACATGAACATAATTTTGAAATTATTTCACCTCATACCTATAATTGATATGTCACAAACTGAAAAGGTTCACTGATAATTCCGCACAGGTGAACATAACAGTGATCAACGACGCCAACGAGGGCGGCGTGACGTTCTCACGCAGCGAGTACGTCGCTGAGGTGTCGGAGGCGGCGCGCGCGGGCGAGGCGCTGCTGACGCTGACGGCGCGCGCGGGCGCCCCGGGCCTCGCGGCGCCGCGCCTGCTGTACGGGCTGGCGGCCGCGCGCGCGCCGCGCGACCTCGCGCTCTTCCGCCTGCACGAGCTGTCCGGCGTGCTCGAGCTGGCGCGCCCGCTCGACAGGTACGATCGACGTCCCGCATGGCGGTATATACGTCTATATACTATAATCATGGGGTCTTACTACGAACGAAATAAAAACAAGTTTAAAAATATTATAACAGATGGCGTAATATGTATCGATTTGTTTTCAATGTTCACCTAAAATTCCAAATATAAAAAAAAATATGAAAAAAGTGCTTAACCTAATTTTAAAGAATTATTTAAAGCAAGGGAAAATTAAATAATGGAAAAATATATAGTATTTTAAAAAATATATAAAATTCGATGATATTCTTGTATTTCTGGCGGCAATAATAGGTACTACGTTGTGATGGAACGATCTTTGATAATAATTATGTGTACTCTGTTCATAGATGACGCCCAATATAATAAAAAAGTTGATAAATGTAATTAAATTATTTTATTTTACTTTGATACCGATATATTTTATAGGTTAATTTTTATTTAACGTTTCAATATTTTTTGCGTTAAAAAATCATATTTATATATATAAATAAGTCTATACAATATATGAAACATGAAATGAAGTATAATAATAAAACAAGAAAATAATGTTTCAAATGGGACTCGGTAGATTTTGATTTTAAAGATACACGCGCTTAAATAAAAAAAAAATCGCTTTCTATGTTAGATAACTATATATTTATTAAACCTTAATAGTAGTTACGGTAATGTTTATGCATAACATTACCGTGTAGTTGACCATACTTTTTACTTTTCCTATATTTTTCAATTAAATAATAACACGGATATTTAATGTAATAGAATTTTTAATGTGTGAATGTCAACCTTATACTTAATGAAATTGATTTCATGATTGCGTGAATTGAAGATCACCGCAATCTTTGTTACATTACAAAATTTCATAATTACTTAGTACAAAATAGCAAAATAAATCTTATATAGAGTGGAAAAAGGTAAATTTTTAATCATAGCATCTTGATTTTGTTAACGCATTTCTATATCTGCTCGGTCGGATAATCGCTGTGATGGAGTTGCTTTCATCCAATCAGAAACCTCAGAAGATTTATTTTTAAAGTCCTTAAATTTCTAAAACTATCGATAATTTCAATGTTAGGTAATTCTGAACTGAAAGGTAATAACATTATAAATTGTTTATTGAAAAACGTGCTAGCAAAATTTCTAGCGAATATGCAAATATATACAAGTTTCAAATTTTCTGTTGGGTCTCTTAGATTATCTTCTTCATAGATCGACATCTTAGTTAATATGCATAATTATTATATTTTTATATATTATATATATAATTATGTAAATATAAATGTAACAATTGTATTAAAGTAAATAGTAATAAAAAAATTAGTTAGAATAGGCTCTCAGTACCTACTTTTTGTGTAAATCGCACACTTTAATATGATAAATGATTAGATATATTATTAAGATTTTGTTATATTATTAAATTATTTGATTATCTCAATCCTATAAATGTATTTGACTTAATGCTTATAAATATGTGATAATAAATATTGTAAATATGTAGGTACCTTTGTTACTCAAACTTTCATAAAAAGTAGAGATTTTCAGTAAATTAAGGAAGACAACTAATAGTATTTAAATGAAATACTATATAAATAAATAAAATATATACAATAATAATAGTAGACTCAAGTGAATTAATAATTATATTTAACTTAAAATTTTGTTATCAAAATATTGACAAACTATATAAAGTTAATAGCTGTTACTACAATCTAAATCACTTTACTTAATTACTTAGGGAAAAAAACATTAAAAATTTATGATTATTGTAAAACGCATAAAAATCATTACAATCGACGATTGTTCAAAATGAGTAACCTTATATACTTATGTAGTTACGAAATATAAAATAGAACAACTATGTAATAATTATATAATTATGTAGGTACCTACTATTAATCTTAGGTAAGTATAAATTTAAATAACTTATATATTTTGATAAGTTTTTTTACGAGATACAAAAAAAATCGGTTAAAGAGTTAAACTTATATTTAAAACATAAATAAAAAAAAGAGTTCCATCAGTAATAATACTATATAATAAGGCAGCAATTTTCTTTGGAAACAATACCAATGCCGGCCGGCCGTTATACAAAGATAAAGCGCCTAGCTATACATATTTTTATAGCACTCAAGTCTCTAAAGCCTAGTTCGCATTAAGCTAGTATTTTAGTCTAGTAGCGAGTAATTTAGTAGCTAAATTACTCGCTACTCACCAAAAATCGTTCGCACTTTGGTCGAGTACAGTTTACAAGTGAGTGGTGTTTTGCAAGATGAACAGCCTACAACGCAATAAAGTAAATAAACTGATTAAGCTGATCGTAACGGCTATTTTAGAAGAGGTGGATGAAAAGTAACCTGATGTTTTTAATTTTCATTTTAATTTCTTTTTCGCCAAATCCGGGTATATTCATTATTTTTTCCAAATCTAAGTATGCGGAATGTTTCATATGCTTGTTTTTATAATGCAAGGACCTAATATTCCACAAGCATTCGTGTTCAACATATTTCGAAACAAATTTAAAAGTCATTTCTTCGCTCCAGCGAAACGACATTATGGCGGCAACTAATGAACTCGACTAATTCGACAGGTTCGTACTTGTTTAGCCGGTGAACCAGTGAGCTCGGACGCATGGTGGGGGCTGATACTCGCCCAAAAAAATAGAATAAAATGGATTGACTCGACTAAATTACTTACTAAACTAATCGACTAAATTTTTAGTGTTCAGACACGCTTAGTTACTAAATTACTCGCTACTATACTAAAATATTAGCTTAATGCGTACTAGGCTTAAGACAATATTCTAAAAATATAATTTGTAATTGCCATAGTGACCTTGAGAGGCCTTACATAGAGGTACCTACAACATTGCGCAGCGGCAGCTCGGAGATAGCTTTTATCGCCATCTATCATTTAAAGCATTTACATTTACAACTAGAGCTGCTAGATGTCGCCTTTTTTAATTCTCACTTGCGCCATCTATTATCCATTTCAGGACAAAAAAATAGCGCGCTGTGTGAGCGTGGATTAGCAAAGTCAAATATGTGTATGGACTATGATCTGTGCTATAATATAGTATCTGCACGCACAGAGAGACGGCGTCCGTCCACGAGCTGACCGTGTGGGCGCGCGACCAGGCACCGCGCGCGTCCGTGGCGTACGCGCGCGTGACGGTGCGCGTGCACGACGCGGACGAGCACGCGCCGGAGTGGGGCCGGCGCCTGTGGGAGGCGCGGCTGGCGCGCGGCGCGGCGCCGGGCGCGCTGGTGGCGCCTCTGCGCGCGGCCGACCGCGACGCGGGCGACGCGGCGCGCGTGCAGTACGCGCTGGCGGGCGGCGCGGGGCTGTTCGCGGTGGACGCGCTGGGCGACGTGCGCCTGGCGCGCGCGCTGCCCGCCGCCGGCCCGCGCGACTACACGCTGCACGTGCGCGCCTCCAACCCGCCGCCCAGCACGCGCTCCTCAACGCTGCCGCTGCACATCCTGATCGTCGAACCGGATGACGCACCGCCTAGGTACTAATATTTTTTTATACTATAATCATTTATGGTTGACCGCTCACGGCATGTGTACGTCACTTTATAAATTTATTTATTTTTATATCTTGTATAAGACATATCCCATCAAAAACATACTGTAAAAAAATTGCAAGTCTCGCAACGCATTTCTTCTATCGCAAAAAGCTATGAGATATAATGTAAAACCAAGTCGGTTAATTTATTCATTGCCTATCTATGGAAGCATCTATCGGACAACTTTGTCATAAATCGTTACCGAATGAGTTAAGTTACAACATTTTATAGTGACCGTATTAATATTAGATATATTTCTTTCTTTTATTAATAGAATGACTTGTCCATCGCACGGAAACATAATCACATAAGAGTCTACTACTTTGAATAGTCCTAATTAAACATACCATGACCAAGGTGGACGGACGACTTGGTCAAAGTCGCTGGAGCCCACTGGGTGTGGATGGCAAAAGACTGGTTGTCGTGGAAATTTTTGAGGGAGGCCTATATCCAGCTGTGGACGTGTTTGGGCTGAGATGAACTGAACATAGCACTAGCGGATCAAATTTATGCATACACTTACACTAACATAAATAATGCACTCAGAATTCTAATATTAGGTAAATTTTGTTATTTGTAGGTTCTATTATCAAGTGCGATGGCCAAGTCATTCTATATAGTTCTTAAACTTATAGTTCTTAAACTAGTTATATAGTTCTTAAACTACAGGTTCAAATTGAATGTAATTTGGAAATATGCCTAGTTTTATTATGTACTTTTAATCACAGAAAATTCAGGCTTCTAGCTTTATCCATAACGAAGTTATGGGGGGGTGGAAAATGCTCTGAATCGTTTCGAGAAAAAGATGGTACTGCTGTGCCCCCCGATGTATTTTTGTTTCTTTTTTAGTAGCTTTAATTTAGTTTTATTTAATATTTTTATTCATTTAGTTTCACTTGTTATTTTTGTAAAACATACTTATTTAGCATCCGTCACTTTTGATGACAAATCAGTTCATTTGAAAGAATTTAGGGTAATACGTGTCTAATTGTATTCTTACTGTTTTAGATTTTTAGTATACGACTGTTTTCACCTGTATAAATAAATAAATAAATACAAATCACTTAAGATAATACGTTAGTTCGCTTCGCTTGGTGTAACCTCGACCGAACTTAACCACCAGGTTCACGTCGGACGACGTGGTGTGCGAGGTTTACGAGAACGAGCCGGCGGGCACGGTGCTGGCGGCGCTGGAGGCGCGCAGCGCGTCGGCGGTGTGGTACTCGCTGCGCGGCGGCGCCGGCCTATTCGCGCTCAACCCCGCGGCCGGCGTGCTGTCGCTGGCGGCGCCGCTCGACTACGAGGCCGGGGACCTGTACAATGTCACCGTCACAGCACTCAACATGGTAACATTTATTAACTGACTAGAAGTACCCCGCGGTTTCGCCCGCTTTCAATTGCAGGCACCGACTTCGAAAATATCTGATTAGGTATCTATTCTAAATCAAAGCCTCCGTTTAGTTATTTTTTACATTTTGTTTTTTTTTGTTTTATTTTTAAGGAATGTATGTTGTGGGCGCTAGCCCAAAAATTGTAAGGGGCTGGGACACCTCACATAGACGATGAGCTGAAACGGGGGTTGGAGTTGTAAGGGAGAGAGATGTAAGGTTGTGCACTTACTTGGAATGTAGATGGGCGGATGATAGATGGATGGCGCTGGGTGAGTGGCACGCTCCTGAGCTGAATATACCTTTGCACGTACAGGTACACGTGCAACAAAGTTTTATATTATCCGCTATATTCACTATCGCTGTTCAATTGTCTGTATAGTTCACTTTAATAGGAGCCGGCCGGCAATATACTTATAATAATTCACACACGAGCAGATGAGCTGAAGGGTTTTACTTTTACATATATTTTCAATTTAACGACCCTTCTCGAACCGTGGACGACGCGTGACCATTTTCGAGTGGCGCGAATGCGACGCTCGCGCCGAATCAATGAGTAAGAGTGAGAAAGCAAATCAGGGAACCAATCGTCGCGCCCGAGTGGCGCGAACATCCTGGGGGGCCCGAGAGAGCACCTCTTCTTGAGCTGAATCTAACGGCAGCCTTGCTATCTTGAGCACAGGTCTGCGCAGATGTCCGTGGGCTGTGTCCAGATCCACAACTCGGATCACTCCATCCTTGCCAGGTATTGTGCGGGTAATTCTTCCCAGTTTCCATTGGAGCGGGGGCAGGTTATCTTCTTTGACGAGTACCAGTTCGCCAACTTGAGGAGGTGAGGAAGGGGAAAGCCATTTGGAGCGGGTCTGAAGGGTATGGAGGTAGGATCTGGTCCACAGTGTCCAAAAGCGTTGAGAAAGAGCTTGTATGAGTTGAAAACGTTTAAGAGCAGATAATGGCCTGTCATCAAAGGACGGCTCGGGCAGAGCTGTGAGCGGACGGCCTATAATAAAATGGCCAGCGGTTAAGGGCTGAAAGTCCGACGGGTCGGATGAAAGTGGGCAGAGAGGTCTGGAGTTAAGTACAGCCTCAATTCGTGTCAGAAGTGTAGAAAATTCCTCAAATGTAAGGTGTTGTTCACCAATTACGCGATAAAGTAATTGTTTCGTAGATTTAATGTTAATTTCATGTAACGCGCCGAACCAGGGGCCCTTTGGGGGGTTCAACAACCAGGTTACGTGCTGGTTAGCTAGTTTGTGTGTGATTGCATCATTATTAGCAGTGAGAAAATTTTGGACTTCTATGAGGTGATTTCTGGAGCCTACATAATTGGTGCCGCAATCTGATCTAATTAGTACTGGCGTACCGCGCCGTGAGATAAATCTTTGTAACGCCGCGAGAAAGGCTTCTGTGGTAAGAGCAGAGACGGCCTCTAAATGAACCGCCTTAGTTGAGAGACACACGAATATGCAAAAGTACGCTTTTAAGAGCTTAGCGTTCCGTAATGTGCTAGATTTAATGAGAAACGGGCCGGCAAAGTCAGTCGTGACTTGGCTAAATACAGGTTGAGGGTTAACCCTGTCCGCGGGAAGGTCTCCCATGAACGGGGCTTCGGGTTGAGCGCGACATCGGAAGCATCTTATACATTTAAACACCCGGCGTCTGATCACGCGGCGAGCGGATAGTATCCAGAATTGCTGGCGGAGAATGGCGTGTAGAGTGTCAGAGCCAGGATGGCAGTGTATTTTGTGGTAATGGTCAATGATGAGGTCTACGAGTGGGCTAGAGCTGGGCAGAATGAGTGGATGTTGAGCATCATACCTAATTGGAGCATGAGAAAGACGACCACCGACTCTCAGGAGACCGTCTTTGATAAATGGCGAGAGACGCTGCAGTCGAGCAGTAAAAATTTTATCTTTTTGAAGACGGTGAAAGTCCTCTGCGAACTCATTTTGTTGAACGGAGCGGACCCAAAATAACAGAGCGTCCCTACGTTCGCCAACAGTCAGCGGACCCGCGCGTCGTGCATCTGGGCTATGCTTACAATTGAAAATGAAACGCATGATACAAGCCGTCACCCCGACGAGCTTGTCAAGTGAGCTGAAGCGAGTGAGCAGATCATGGTCAATATCCGGAACCGCTATATGTGCTGGTAATTTTCTCGGTTTAAGGCCTGGTAGAGCACGGTGGCCTAAAGCGACTGGCATCTTGGGCCAGGTACTAGGGGGCTCCTTGAGCCAACTGGGAGACCACCAGAGATCATGAGCTGAAAGAGATTGTGCTGACATGCCCCTGCTTGCACAGTCTGCAGGGTTGAGGTTCGTGGGAACATGTCTCCATATAATGCTAGTCGGACTAGAGGTTATTTTTGCCACTCGGTTGGCCTCGAATGTCTGGAGCCGATGAGGGGGCGTGTTTAGCCACGCTATAACTATTGTGCTATCCGACCAACAGATATGCTGGTCTATAGCAATATGAGCTGATAATTTAGTGGACACACGAGTCATGAGTTGCGATAATAGAGCTGCGGCTGATAGTTCCAATTTAGGAATTGTGAGGCGATTCTTAATAGGCGCGACCTTAGACTTGGCAAGGACCAGGTGTACATTGACCTGTCCATTAGCATTGAGCTCATGAAGGTAAATAACAGACGCAAATCCAGCTTCTGATGCGTCTGCGAACCCGTGGAGCGAGTAAGTAGATGTCGGCTTATATTTGCAAATGTGACGAGGTACCCGGATATTCGAAAGTTGAGGAAGATCTTGTGAAATGTGCTGCCACTCTGTGCAAGCGTCAATGCTAGGGGGTTCGTCCCATCCCAGTTTCAGGAGCCATAACTTCTGTAAAAGGCACTTTGCGCGGAAAATGACCGGTGTGACCCAACCGTTGGGGTCATAGAGTGATGCTACTGTGCTGAGAATGGAGCGCTTTGTGATTTGGGTTATTGGAGGGAGACAGATGCGATAAGTGAACTCATCCGATTGAGGAATCCATTGTATCCCTAGCACTTTAATGGTGTTTGATTCTGGGCTGATGTCAAAGTCCTTAGGCATGTCACATTGGTCATCAGGAAACCGATCCAGGAGCTGGGGACAGTTTGAAGTCCATTTACTGAGCTGAAAGCCACCCAGGCCAAGCAAATCAATCAACTCGGTTTGTAGTACCTGTGCAGACTCCACAGAGTCATGGCCACAAAGTATATCGTCAACGAAGATCGAATTGCGTAGGATCTGTGCAGCTTGTGGGTAACGATGACCTTCGTCATCAGCCAATTGGAGCAGTGTGCGGATGGCATGGTACGGGCTGGACCGTAAACCATACGTGACTGTATTTAGCGCATATGTGAGCAGAGGCTGGTCAGGTGACGACCGCCAGAGAATAAGTTGATACTGTCTATGATCTGGATGGATGAGTATATTTCTGAACATCTTTCTGATGTCAGTACTGAAGACTACAGGGTGTGTTCTAAATGACATAATAATGTCAACAATATCCTGTTGGAGAGCTGGACCTGTGTGCAGGCAATCATTTAGACTTACGCCATTTGAGCTTTTACTGCTACCATCAAATACAGTGCGTAGCTTATCTGATCCCGTCTTGAAGATAGCATGATGCGGAATATAGAAGTGCGGCCTACCTGCAAAGGTACTTGGGTGACAGGGTGACATGTGTCCCAAATTGAGATACTCATTCATAAAGTCAACATATTGAGAGCGGAGGGGCGGATTTGCTTGTAACTTCTTTTCGAGATTGAGAAATCTACGTAGTGCAATAGCATGAGTGTTGCCTAAGGTCGGCGCATTTGGTAAAAAAGGCAATGTTACCATATATTTGCCTGATGGTTCTCGAGTTGTTGTGGTGCGGTAAATTTCTTCGCATTGCTCCTGCAAAGGACTGGTCGCTATATGAGGTTGTGGTTCTTCCGAGTCCCAGAACCTCTCAATGCGCTTGCAAATTTCGCGTGTAGATACGTCGGATTCTGAGTGTGAGCTGATAACGTGAGCTGAGATGGACTGGTTTGCAGACGTTGAATGTAAATCCGCAATAGGTCCTATCAATGCATAATCGAAAATCGTGCCGAAGGCTATAGGCTTCCCCCGGCCTAACGACACCTTAGTCCCGTCCAGAACTTGGCCGAGAACGTCAGAACCCAATAAGAGATCGATCGGAGCTGGTGTATGGTAATCTTGATCTGCCAAGGGAATCGGAGGCTCTGCATCTGCTATGCGCGGAACTTTTTGTATTGGTAAGTAACCTGTAAGATTTTTTAAAATATGCGCTGTAGCCGTAATCGTAGGTGTGTCATGGTGTGTAGGTCTACATACTATTGTGATTGATTCCTTTGAGTCCTGTGTGTGGTGGTTGCCCACTCCTGCGATTTTTAGTGATGTTTGATTTAGCGGTAAATTCAAAATTCGAGCCATGCGCTGAGTTATAAGTGTTATCATGCTACCACAATCCAACAAGGCTCGAGCTGTGTGAAAGTGGCCATGTACGTCTGCTATTTTTAGCGAGACGGTTGGCAATAAAATTGGTAAATTAGTAACGTGCTCTTCACGTTGAGCGAAATTGCAAAAATAATTATTCATGGTTGGAGCTGATATCGCAGAGTGAGCTTGTGAGGTCTGTGTGTGAGCTGAGTTTGAGTGAGTGTGCTGATTAGTTTCTTGTTTGTAGTGTTCGTTTATTGTAGATAGTCATTGTTGACCACCTACCCGAGACCTACTAGGCGAGCGCGAATGATTGGGTTGATTGTTGTGCGGCCTGGGGTTCACATGTGCGGCGTGTGCCGAATAATGTTGGTGCTCATCTGCTGAGCGCTGTCTGGGTTGCTCTCTCATATGCGTAGGTAGAAGATGAGCGTTCGAGTGAGTCGGAGAAGAAGCACCGGGCCGATGCAGTGATGTGTGGTGTCTTGTATTTCCACACTCTTTGCAAGCCCTCGTGGACTTGCACTCATTCTCATAATGAGGGCCTAAGCAGCGTCGACAGCGGTTGCGAGCGTTGATAAAGTCCCATCGGCCCTGGATCGGTTGGTCATTGTACCGCGGGCAGGCGATGAGCTTGTGCCCTCTATGTCTGCAGTATGGGCAGGGCATATTATCTGCAATGGGAGCGACAGGAGCTGATGGTTGAGCCGAGTAAACCGGCCTAAGCGGAGCTGGCTGCGGGGTGCTATATTCGTGTCGACTTCTTGCCTGGTTAATTGGCCGAAATTGATGATGAGCGGGCTGACGAGGCGAAACTCGTGGAGAAGCAGGGGGGGTCCGCCTGCGGTATTGGTTATTCTGTGGGGAGTGCCGACTAACTTGTGAAGAGAGTGGGCTGGATCGCTCGGTCTCCACACAACGCGCGTGCTCTTCCAAGAAGGTGATTAAATTATTGAGAGTTGGCAGAGTCTGACGTGATCCATATTTACGCTCAAAGAGGGTCCGAAGCTCACCCTTAAGCTTTCGTACTACTATAGATACGAAAACGTAGTCACTATCCTTCATGGGCAAATCGAGGTTATTCAGGGCGCATTGCGCAGAAATGAGCGGAGTCAAGAAGAGTGTGCGGATATCAGAGCGCGTATGGATGTGTGGTAGCCCTAGTATGATGTCCACAAACCGGTCGATCAGGACGCGACGGTTTTCATATCGCCTGGTTAGAATATCCATGGCCACGGCGAAGTTCTCGTTGGTAAGCTGAAGATGAGATACCATACTGCGTGCCTCGCCTGAGAGGCACGAGAGCAGATAATGAAGCTTCACAGAATCCGAAATGGTTGTCATGTCATCAGTAAGACTCCTAAAGATGGCTATGAAGGAAGGCCAGTCTTCAATTTTAGAGCTGAACTTCGGCAGAGCAATTTTGGGCAGAACGTTAGCAGGTGTGGCTGACGTGGACGGATGAGCAGTCTCCGGAAGAGCTGAGGCCACACTTAATTTCTCAAACGCAACTAGGATATCATTGTATTCTGAAATCGCCTTTTCATAATTCTTAGTATATGTGGCCTCGATGTCATCGGTGAGGTCCTCGTCATCCAGGATCTCGTAGAAGACGTTTTCCAATTTGCGCTTGTGTTCCTCTAGCTTGGCGTACCTAGCAGTAAAATCCGTTATACTATACTTTTTCGTTTCCTTAGCTGTCACCGCCAAGGCAATTTCCTTGAGCTGGTTGATTGCCTTTATCGCCTCACGAAAAATAGCTGCTTGAGATTTGGACGGCATTGTATGTAAATTACTATATAATTAAATAAGTGAGAAAAAAAAAAAGACGAGCAAAAAAATCGAATTGTGAACCTCCTCCTTTTTTGAAAGTCGGTTAAAAAATAAATGAATGTGAGATTGTGGTATAAATGTTATAATATAATGTTATTGAGCCGAGCAACGGATAAGTGCGGAGCGAAGACTAAAGTGAGCAGAATATCTATATACACTATCTATGTAAAAGTAATTTAAAAGTTAACACTAAAAAATTTATAAGCTAAAACAATAATAATGCCTATTGAGAAGAAATAATACGGTACAATTAATATATATCTATCAACGCTGCACCAATTATAATACAATCTATAACATTGTACAAATACAAAACTATAACTTCGCTAATTATTACCTTTTAAATTAAAAAATAAAATATGTTAACACTTGCTTCTTTCTTACTAATGATCGAGACCCACGCCGTGTCCTTGACCTAGCTACGACTCAGCTGATCTAACTATAAAGCGCAGTATTGAGCCGATTGTTAATACTTTTCTATGAACTTTTATTTATTTATTTATATTATTATGTTATTAGTTATATGTTTAAAAATGATGCAATCAAACACTTGTTGAAATACGAGACGTTTATTATGTTCGAAAGCGTTAGCTTATTACCTACGTAGCAATAGGAACAATGTATTGAGATGTGAAATATTTATATTTAAATGTTAATAATAAATGTTATGTATTAGTGAATTTCAATAGTTGGGCTGAGATTATATGATTATACACAAGAAGTTTTTATCTATTTATGAGATTTAAATATTTAGTTGAAAAAGAAATAAATAAATGTGGGTAACTTTATTCTTAAAACTGGGTGTGGTTGGGCTTATTTCCCGGGTTCAGGACACTGTTTATCCACAGGGGGGTGGTTCAGAGGCCGAAGGACCAAAAGAATATGTGGGCGCTAGCCCAAAAATTGTAAGGGGCTGGGACACCTCACATAGACGATGAGCTGAAACGGGGGTTGGAGTTGTAAGGGAGAGAGATGTAAGGTTGTGCACTTACTTGGAATGTAGATGGGCGGATGATAGATGGATGGCGCTGGGTGAGTGGCACGCTCCTGAGCTGAATATACCTTTGCACGTACAGGTACACGTGCAACAAAGTTTTATATTATCCGCTATATTCACTATCGCTGTTCAATTGTCTGTATAGTTCACTTTAATAGGAGCCGGCCGGCAATATACTTATAATAATTCACACACGAGCAGATGAGCTGAAGGGTTTTACTTTTACATATATTTTCAATTTAACGACCCTTCTCGAACCGTGGACGACGCGTGACCATTTTCGAGTGGCGCGAATGCGACGCTCGCGCCGAATCAATGAGTAAGAGTGAGAAAGCAAATCAGGGAACCAATCGTCGCGCCCGAGTGGCGCGAACATATGTTTTAAAATGTAAGAAATTCCTGTGCACTCTGCGCAGGCCTTTTTCCGATGAACTTCAACTTGTACAATGCATGTTACTTGCGAGAGGAACTTGGTTTTTACCGTTTGTATCACGACACCGTCCGACTTTTTTTATTGATAAAATCGTTTATGCTTCATAGGGCGGTGGCAGCGCCGAAGCACACGTCACCATACATGTCCTAGATCGTAACGAATTTCCGCCGATTCTACTTCGTCGAGAGTATCACGGACGAATTTCAGAGGTCTGTAAACGATACTGCATACTTATTGTGAACTTATCGTTGTGGATAACTATAAACTCAATTGACGTACGTGCAGGCGGCAGCCGTGGGCGCGCTGGTGCAGGACGCGGGGCGCGAGGCGGGCGCGCCGCTGGTGCTGCAGGTTGCGGACGGGGACTCGCCCGCCAATGCGCAGCGCGCCTTCGAGATTCTCGACCCCGGCGCCGCCGCGCTGTTCCGCCTCGACGCCACCACCGGCGCGCTGCAGCTCTCCGCCGCTTTGGACTACGAGACCGCCCAGATACATCGCTTTACCGTCAAAGTACTCATTCGATTCCTAGTTCGATACCTTTTATAGTGTCACAAAAATAAAATCAAATATTTCTTATTTAAACTTTTGTAACACTCGATATGTTTTTAATTATAGACAAAGCAAAGGTAAAAATAAATCATAAATCTATTGCAGGTCGTAGACATGGGAAATCCAAAGTTGCCTTCGGACAGTATCGCAAAAGTAACCGTCGAAGTGATCAACGTCAACGACTGCCCCCCGACGTTCGAGCAGGCGTCGTACGAGGCCACGGTGCTGCTGCCCACGGCGGCCGGCGTGCGCGTGCTGGCGCTGCGCGCGCGCGACCGCGACGGCGACGCGCTCAAGTACGATATCATGGAGGGCGACGCGCGCGGCGCCTTCGCGCTGTCGGCGGGCGGCGAGCTGCGCGTGGCGGCGCCGACCGCGCTGGCCGCGCTGGGCGCCGCGCCGCGCCTGCGCGTGCGCGTGTCCGACGGCCTGTACTCCGGCACGGCGCGCGTCGACGTGCACGTGCGCGAGCCCGACAACTCCGGCCTGGCTTTCCAGAAAGCGGACTACTACGGATCCGTCGTCGAGAATTCGACTAAGCCTGCCACCGTTGCCGTTCTGAACGTACTCGGGGCGGCGCTCAACGAGCACGTCGAGTTTCGCATACTAAATCCTATTGAAGGTTTCGAGGTATGCGACCGACGATTTTTTAAGAAAAAACGCTTTTATTCGTGTTTACTGTGTTATAATTATTATTTCACCACAGGTGGGTACGACATCGGGAGCAGTGCGTAGCACCGGCGTGGCGCTGGACCGCGAACAGCGTGACTCGTACACACTGCTGCTGCAGGCGCGCAGCGCGGCGGGCGCGGGCGGCGGCGGCGGGCGGGTGGCGCACGCGCGCCTGCACGTCACCGTCACGGACGTCAATGACAACTGCCCCGTGTTCACGGAGCGGCCCTACGTGGCGGCGGTGCTGGCCGGCGCGGACCCCGGCGAGCCGGTCATCCGAGTGCACGCCGTCGACCTCGACGCCAATGATAACGGAGAGGTCTGTAATATTGCTCAATAAAATAATAATAAAATGGTCATACCGCGTAAAATATTATTTATATATAATTTATATTGTCAGGTTCGGTATGAAATGAAACGAGGACACGGCGAATTGTTCCGCGTGGATCGCCGCACCGGTCAGATAACATTAAAGCAGACCTTGGACGCACATAATCAGCTATATACGTTGGTCATCGCGGCTTTCGACGGCGGTAAGAATATGTAATTGTGTGTTTTTGTCAAAATACGTTGTGTAAAGAATGGTCATGTAATGAAGGTGTTGTCATGTGGCGGCGGCAGGCACGCCGGCGTGCGGCGCAGAGGCGGAGGTGGCGGTGCGCGTGTGGGGCGGCGGCGCGGCGCCGGCGTGGCACGCGGCGCACGAGGCGCGCTCCGTGCGCGAGGACGCGGCGCCGGGCAGCGCGCTGGGAGCGCCGCTGCAGGCGCACTCGCCGCTCGGCCGCCAGCTCATCTACACGCTGCACGACGGCGCCACCGACCTCTTCGAGATACACTTCGATACAGGTAAAATATCGCTCGCATTTCACTCCCAGCTGGCTAAATTCCTGTCCATACTAACGTATTGATTTTGTCCCGCAGCGCCCGACAGAGGGAGTGGTCCGTGTGAGTATTCGCCGCGTTATGTCGTTTTTGTGTTGGACGTCGCCGGGCAATTATGTGCTTTGTAGAGTGCTAGCGTCCGACGACGTGCGCTCGTCGCAAGCCACTATCCCTCGAATTTCCCCGCTGTTGTACATTTCCACGCCTCATTAAATCAAATCGTGCAATTAGTTGTTTTGCATGTTCGATCATGTTTTGTTGCGTTGTTACTAAATAATGGATAAGATAACAATTTTGTTGTGTCTTTCGAGCAGAATCGTTTTATACGTCGATTCGTTATTATTTTTTGGCTTTCGTGTAACATTGATCTCGCTAGCTTATGTCACTAATATCCGGTTCGTTACGTTAACATTTATGCACTCGCTGTATATTTAGCAACACTCATTGTCGTCTCCCGAGCACTCCCTCACAAAAATCGTATCCTATGTGCCTAGGCAATCGGCTTACCGAGTAAAGCGCCTCGAGTATTCAATTTGTAACCAGATTGATGATATGAGACCGAGTCGATCAAAAAAAGAGACAGTGAATACTATGGGCGGGCGCTCTACTCGGGGCAGCGGGTAGTCTGATGGGCGACGTGACTAACGCGCGATGTGGCCGCCAGGCTCGCTGGTGGCGCGCGCGGCGCTGGACCACGAGGCGGCGCCGCGCCACGCGCTGACGGTGCGCGCCACGGACGGCGTCACCGGCGCCTACGCCGACCTCGCGCTCACGCTCACCGTGCTCGACGTCAACGACTGCGCGCCCGAGTTCGACCACGACGAGTACCGCGCCAACGTGTCCGAGGCCGCGGCCGTCGGTGACCTCGTGCTGCAGGTGCATGCGGACGACGCAGACAGCGGTAAATAATACCTATAATACTTAATTTTTTCAGCTAAACCTATTGTAGTTAGAAGAACATTTAGTACAGTACAATTTGAAATACTCCATCCATCCAGACCGAGATACAAAAAAAATGATTTCAATTTTTATTTCATACAATTAACGCGAATTTTTTACCAAATTAATCTTTGTCACTATATCCAATTAATTTTAGGCGCAAACGGTGAAGTGACTTATTCCTTATCGTCGTGGGGCCCCGCGGATGCGGGTGACGAGGCGGAGGCGTCGTTCGCGGTGGACGCGGCGACGGGCGCGGTGCGCGTGGCGGCACCGCTGGACCGCGAGCGCCGCGCCGCGCACCACCTGCTGCTCACGGCCAGTGACGCCGGCCGCCCCCAGCTACTTACTACCGCGCATCTCTTCATAATCGGTAAAATAGGATACTCATGAATTGTAATAATTTAAGATCCAGATATAGATCGATTACATATTAATTGAAGAGTACTGAAAAAATTAAATCGACAATGTCCATAAATAATACAAATATTAAATATTATTGCGCATTTCAGTGGAAGACGTGAACGACTGCGCGCCGCGCATGGAGCGCGGCGTGGTGGCGGCGCTGGTGTCGGAGGAGGCGGCGCGCGGCACGGCGCTGGCGCGCGTGGCGGCGTGGGACGCGGACGCGCGCGACGCGGGCGCGCTGCGCTACGCGCTGGCCGGGCCCGGCGCGCGCGCGCTGGCCGTGCACGCGCGCACCGGCGTTCTGTCACTGCTGGACGCGCGCCTCGCCGCCGCGCGCTCGCTCAACGTGTCGGTGTCGGACGGCGCGCACGCCGCCTTCGCGCGCGTCAAGCTCTCGCTCGCGCCCGCCAACCGCGCGGCGCCGCACTTCCCGCACCTGGTGCACGAGGCGCGCGCGCTCGAGAACCAGCCGCCGCCGCTCCTCCTCACCACGGTTGGTGCCAACCTAAGCCGTTTTATATTATAATTAATACTTAGATATAGAACAAAAACTACTACCTCGAAATTATTAGTACCTGGTGTAAGTCATTTGGTTTGTGTGTTATTCCGAGCAAGTCTCGAGTAGCAGTCTTTGGCCATTCTAAACAACTTTCTAAAATACATATTCCTCTCCTCCCTCCCATTTCATTTTATAATGTCCATTTGATGACACGTTTGACGTATGACGACACGTTTGGCTCAGTTTGTAGTGACCCTACTTGCTCTGCCTGCTACTGTAATTTGCACGCACGGGCATAAGCATTGTGGTCAAGCGGCCAAGATGCAAGATCAACAATCACAGGTGTCCAGGTTCGAATCTCGGTTTCAAACAAAGTTTTTACTTTATTTATTTTATATTTATTCAAGTTTTTAGTTCTTTAAAAAAAAAGAAAATTGTACTTTAGGCCAAGAACTCCGAGCGAAGCTCAGTAGCCCAGGTACTATAAATAATATAAGAACGACTGCCGTAATAGGTGAAGGCGTACGACGACGACCTGGGCGAGTACGGAACCATCACGTACTCCATCCCGTCGGCGAAGTTGCGGGAGACGTTCGCCATCGACGCGCAGAGCGGCGCGCTGACTACGCGCGTGCCGCTGGACCGCGAGCGGCGTGCCGAGTGGGAGGTGCCGGTGACGGCCAGCGACGGCGGCGGGCGGCTGCGCCACACGGCTGTGCGCGTGCGCGTGGCCGACCTCAACGACCACGCGCCCGAGTTCCCGCTGCGCGAGTACCGCGCCGCCGTGCGCGCCGACCGCGCGCCGCGCGCGCCATTCCTCACGCTGGCGGCGGCCGACGCCGACGCCGGCGACAACGCGCGCCTCACCTACTCGCTGTACGAGGGTGAGCTGGACTCCGACGCCGCCGGCCTCTTCGCCGTGGACGCGCTCACCGGCGCGCTCTCCTTCGCGCGCAACGCCTCCGCCTTCGGTGAGACACCCGACGACGCGATATGTATCTACTCCCCCTTTTAACTTTACCAGTATGGATTAAATTTTGAAGTATATACACACTTTTTGGATTAAGGCAGTGGTAGCCCAGTAGTAACGGGCTCGCTTGAGAAACCGAGTGATGCGGACTCAAATCCCGAGTCTCGCACCTCTGATATTTTCATGTGCGAATTATTTCTTCTCTCTTCTTCGTCTAAACCGTTAGACGAAGGAAATTATCGAGAGGAAACCTGCATGTCGGAGAGAACCTAACAAGTTTTAGAAAGACATGTGAACCCGCACTTAGCCAGCGTGGTGAGCTATGGCCTGATCCCTATCGTATTGAAGGGAGGTCTGTGCCCAGCATTGGGACGTTAAACAGGGCTGAATACATACATAAATGTGATGGTCAATTAAATATTTTATGAAAAATCATTATTATTATTGAAATAGTCATTATTATCGATACAGAGGCCGAATTTATAGTTTTTACATTCAAATTCTGAAAGCGACGTGATGAAATTAGCTGCATTACTTTTACAAACAGAGAGTTGTGACATACAGGGTGAAATCTTTAGCTATTTTTGTCCTGTTACCCCAAAAGAAGTATAACTTCGTACGTGCGTATGTACACACACACACGTTTTTTATCTATACTAAACGATAAGAGTGGTCAATATAAAAATGAGTAGAGGTAAGTGTAGTAAGTACGTCGGTTGCAGGCGGGCGCACGGTGCAGGTGTGGGTGCGCGCGCGCGACGGCGGCGGGCTGGCGGGCGAGGCGGGCGTGGCCGTGAGCGTGCTGGCGCCGGCGCAGCGCGCGCCGCGCCTGGCGCCGCCGCCGCCCGACGTGTTCCTGCCCGAGGACGCGGCGCCCGGCACGCTGGTGGCGCAGCTGCGGCCGGCCGGCGCGCCCGCGCTGCCCGCGCTGCGCCTGGCGCCGCCCGCGCGCGCCACTGACCTGTTCGCGCTGGACGCCGCCGGCCGCCTCGTGCTCGCTGCGCCGCTCGACCGGGAGACCGCGCAGGAACATGTTATCGGTATTATATATCATTTACTCATATTTTTATTATTTATTAGAAATTTCTTTACAGGAAATAAAAATACATCGAAATTACAAACATACTTAATTATGTATACATATATACAAAGCAAATGTGCACATACTGTACATATTATTTGTCCAATGAAAATAAGCACTGGGTGTGCTTTTTGATTTGTAATAACAGAAATAAAAGAAACGTGATTGAGTTTTATTATTTAAGTATCTTTAAATCAGTAAAGCAGTGATTTCGTAATAGTGTTTGATGATCTATACCTACTAAAAGCCTTAAATCACTATGTGTGCACGCAGGTATCATAGCAGAAGGGCCGGGCAGCCCCGCGCCCGCCACCATGGTCATCACGCGCCTGCACGTGCTGGACGTCAACGAGCACGCGCCCGTCTTTCACTCGCAGCCCTACGTGGTGCAGCTCGCCGAGAACACGCCGCCGCACTCCAGCGTGCTACAGTGTAAAGCTCCATATTGATGTTTTAAATATGGTCATTGTATTACAACTGAACACTACTATACGAAAGATACAAACATTTCCCACCATTTATGTACATGTCCACAATTTATATATAAATATTTGTAGATAAACAAATGTATTCGAAATTTTAATTGAAACTCAACCTCGCTTCGCTCGGGTTCTTCCCTAGGTACATTTTATTTTTTTTGAGCGGAACCCTAATTCCTTTACTGAAGTAAAAGTAGCCTAAATTACTCCTCATAACATGTACTACCTGCCAGTGAAAGTCCCATCAAAATCGGCCCAGCCGTTTTGGAGATTAGCCGGAACAAACAGACAGACAAACAAAAATTTTAAAAATTGTTTTTCTTATAAATTATACATATAATAAAATTCTGAGTCAAATCTGTACATTAAATATTTTTTGGAAAATCTTATTGAAACAGACATTATTATCGATACAGAGGCCGAATCTATATTTTTTAGAATATTTGTCTGTCTGTCAGTCTGTCTGTCTGTTACCGCATCACAGAAAAACCACTGGAGGGATTTTGATGAAACTTGGTATGGTGATAGCTGGTTCTCCGGGTCAACATATAGGAGGATATTTTTACCGCGGGAAAATGTCTCATTGCTGAGAAAAAATACAAAAACTGAAATGTAGGAATAGTAAGAGGAAGAGTAAGAGTATACTAATATGTTAAACCTAAGAATTTGGTTTTTGGTCATTAGAACGCGGGCGGAGCCGCGGGCAGTGCTAGTACCGTATATAATTCCATATGCATTTAGTAAAAACCTGTTATTTTGACATTACAAACTTTTATTTATCTGTAGATAGTTAGATTATCTTTTCGGATATTTCTTTAAAAATGAAAATAAACCGCGAGAAAATCTGAAAAGATAGTTTTATTTAAAACTTGCGGCTCACCCTCGCTTCGCTTAGGTTCTTCCCTATGTACGTTTTTACGCTTAGTATGGAACAATTTTTTTTGCATTTTTTTCCGATATTTTAATAGTTATTCTTATATTAAAATTGTAGCTATTCGGGGAAGACAAATCCAGCAAAACACAGATCATAAAAATCGGTCCAGCAGTTCTCGAGTTATAAGTATTGTAACAAACCCGACTTTGTTTTATATATGTATATAGATGTCAAATATTCGCTTAAATCTAAGAAAGTATTTATACATTTAAATTAATTTCTAGTTCTGAATCATTTCCCTTCCAACATTTTATACCTACTGCACTGACATGTAATCAGTACGTATGTCATCAGTGATGGCGGACGACCCGGACTCGGGGTCTAACGGCGAAGTGAAGTTCTCGCTGGGCGAGACGGAGGAGGCGGTGCCGTTCGCGGTGGACGCGGACAGCGGCTGGGTGACGACGACGGCGGCGCTGGACCGCGAGGCGCGCGCCGAGTACCGCCTACCGCTGCTGGCCACCGACGCCGGCGCGCGGCGCCGCTCCGCGCGCGGCGCGCTCGTCGTGCGCCTCGTCGACTACAACGACTGCCCGCCACAGTTCACGCAGGACACCTACACGGCCGAGGTGGCTACACTAAATTATATTGCAGCTCGACATTTTAATAGTGACTGTCACCTTTCTCACATGAGAATATTCTTTTTCTGCTCATTTATGCGAGCTATTTCTTCTTTATTAGGGAATTTTCCATATTCATTTTCTCGATATGTTGAATGATTTCCGGAGTGGTCGCCTGGATAGACCGTGGGCCGTCTTTAAGTGAGTCACTGCCTTGCTTATAGAAGGTATGCCAGTTGTAAAGTTGTGAAAGTTTTACCCGGGCAAGAGTTCCCGTAAAGGGATGTCATCTCCTCTAATATGGTATGAACTGATTGTCCTCGCTCGGTAGGGAACTTTATAAGTGTGTGTTCAGACTTATACTAGGTTCTCAGAATAAGATCTAATTTGAAGGCTTGCATCCCAGAAGCATATGACAATTACATTAGGCGCGCTGAAAGTAATATCAAAGCCAATCCTTTAGGTTTTTGGGATTACATCAGTAGTTTGCGGGTTAAAGGGGGATTTGAGCCTAACGTTACTTTAAATGGTTGCATGCACTCCGGAGTAGATGCAGTCGAAGCCTTTGCAAATTTCTTTGCAGACGTGTTCTTATCTGAGGTGCCAAAGCTAACTGTGGATGAGGTATGTCTAAATGATGATAAGTTAAATGGTACTGTCATCTCCATTCCAAAGTTTTCAGTAGCTGACATAACACATAGTATTGATAAACTCAAGATAAACTGTTCAACTGGTCCAGACAACTTGCCAGCAGGTGTTATGAAAATGTGTAAGAAATATCTCAGCCTCCCTCTTTGTCATATATTTAATTTAATTTTAAAGACGGGACAATATCCTTCTCAATGGAAACTGACACGAGTCACCCCGATACCTAAGAAAACTGGTACATCTGTCGAGGAATTTCGGCCCATAGCTATTCTCTCAACGCCGGCCAAGGTATTCGAAAGAATCGTGCATAGAGAAATTAGTAGGCAAATCAATAATTTACTATGTGACGAACAGCGTGGTTTCCGGACTAAAAAATCTGTCAACTCAAACTTATTAACAGCTGCTGATTACATATCCACCTGTCTGGATAGAGTTCATCAAGTGGATGCACTTTATTTTGATTACCGCAAAGCTTTTGACAGGGTAAATAATGATATTCTTCTCAGCAAGCTCAATGCAATAGGTTTGTCTCCCCAGCTTAAAGAAGCTGGGGAGACAAACCGACTGGGGAGAAAAGTAAAGACTTAATCTCTGACTATCTCTGTGATCGTCAGCAATTCGTTCGTTATGGAATGTATGAGTCAAAACCATATCATAAGAGATCCGGTGTAAGTCTGGGCTCCATCTTAGGACCATTACTATTCTTAATTATGATAAATGATCTTCCGAAATGTATAAAACATGCGAAATGCCTATTATATGCTGATATCTCAAACTCATACTCGAAATTACTTCTGACGAAGATTGCCTCAAGTTACAACGCGATCTAACATCTGTATGTAACTGGAGTGAAGCCAACAGAATGGAGCTCAATTATGACATATGTTTAGTGATGACCTTTGGTAGAGTTCGGTAGCCCTTAATACATGAGTACCAAATGGATGGCATTTCTGTCCCCAGAGTGCAAAATATGAGAGATCTGGGCGTAAATTTTGACACCAAATTAACCTTCCGAGGTCATATTAGCTCAATAGCAGCCGATTCATTTCAAAGATTAGGGTTCGTATTGCGCAACTCTCGGGAGTTCAGTAGTCCTGTAGTAATACGGTTACTATATTTCGCTCTAGTCCGAAGCAAACTGGAAATAAGCGCCTGCGTCTGGCACCCATACGAGAAAAAGTATGGGCTTATATTGGAAAAAGTACAAAAGGCCTTCCTGAGATACGTATTCAAACGATGCTATGGATATTACCCATTTCTATACCCAACCAAATTTCCTTTAGGTTGCTTAGGTTTCAACTCCTTGGAAGTCAGACGGACTTGCGACCAACTAAAGACTATGTGCCGAATTTTGCGAGGAGACGTTGATGCTCCGGATCTTCATGCCCAACTGTGTCGCATTCATGCCCCAATTATTAACAATCTCCGCCCCCGAAAAAATAAGTTTTTCGTTGTCCCATATTGTCGCACTATTGCTCGAACCATGGCACTTATACCGCGTTCATTGGCATCGTTCAACGCGCTCTTGAACAACAATGCTCACCCATTCAATGACAAGTGGTCAACTTTGGTCTTTGAGTTGCTGAGGTATGCTGAGAATGTTGAATAACCCTGTTATTAAACGGGGCTATTCGATATTCTCAGCATGCTCTCAGAACCCAAGTAATATTTACTTATGTATTGTTTGTGTATTTTATGTTTGTAATAATTTATAATGTATAATCTAGTTAGTGTAAGTGGCGCCGCCGTTCTAATTGGATGTCAAAATAAATAAACAAATAGATAAAATAAATAAATAAGAGCGCGGTACTCGATTTGTTCCAACTTTCATATTTTAATTCCGATTGACTCGTTTTGTCAACGATAGCTCAAACACAAACGACCAAATTAAAAATAATGTAACCGTCATGTGTTTGCGTGTGTGCTCGCTGCGCCAGGTGCGCGAGGACGCGGCGGCGGGCACGGTGGTGGCGCGGCTGGCGGTGCGCGACGCGGACGCGGCGGGCGCGCCGCTCAGCTACTTCGTGGCGGCGGGCGACGCGCGCGCGCGCTTCCAGCTGCGCGCCTCGGGCGAGCTGTACGTGGCGCGCGCGCTGGACCGCGAGGCCGCGCCCGCCTACGCGCTGTCCGTGGCCGCCACCGACGGCAAGTTCACCGCCTACACCACCGTGCACATCACCGTGCTCGACGTCAACGGTACATATTATGTTTTATTATTCTTATTAATTACTAATTATTATTTACCGATTCATATACCAGAGCTGTAGTGGTCCTAAGGTTTTTGAATAAATATCAACCTTTGAAATGAATTACAGAAATAATGGTACGAAAACACTATAATATTTAAAAATAATGTAAATGTGAACCGGCAGACAACCCCCCGTACTGCGTGCGGCACCGCTACCGCGTGCGGCTGGCGGAGGACGCGGCGCGCGGCACGCGGCTGCTCACGCTGCTCACGCGCGACGACGACGAGCCGCACAACGCGCGCCTGCGCTACTTCCTCACCGGCGACCACGCCGACCACTTCACCATAGACAAGGTTAATAACTAATCTACTCGATTCCTCCCTTTTATGTCGGCGAAAACAATCGTGACAGACCTGACGACTGAGACAAACTACATACGAATACAATAAATAATAATAAATACATATAATAAGACTTAAGTTTCAGCATGGGATCTCAATACGAACAAAATAGAAATTAGTTAAAAAATATTATATCAGATGCCGTAATATGAATCGATTTGTTTTTAATGTTCACCTAAAGGTCCAAATATAAAAAAAATATGAAAAAAGTGTTTAACCTAATTTTTAAGAATAATTGAAAGTAAGGGATAATTAAATAATGGTTAAATATAGAGTATTTTAATATATATATATATATATATATATATATATATATATATATATAAATTAAATTAATTAAAATTCAACGTTATGCTCGTATTTCTGGCGGCAATAATAGGTACTTCGTTGTGATGGCACGATCTTTGATAATAATTATGTATACTCTGTTCATAGATAGCGCTCAATATAATAAAAAAGTTGATAAATGTAATTAAATTATTTTATTTTACTTTGATATCGATATATTTTATAGGTTAATTTCGTTATTTCTCGTGTTAATTTTTTGCGTTAAAAATCATATTTATATAAATAAGTATATAAAACATGAAATGAAATATATAAAACAAGAAAATAATGTTTCAAATTGGACTCAGTAGATTTAGATTTTAGAGATACACGCGCTTAAATAAAAAAAAACATAATACCGTACCATAATTACCGTGCTTATACCTACTTAATGAAATTGATTTCATAATTGCGTTGCACAGAATACCAAAATAAATCTTATTTAGAGTGGAAAAAGATAAATTTTTAATCATAGCATCTTGATTTCGTTAACGCATTTTTATATCTGCTCGGCAGTGGTCTCGAACGTCAATGAGCGAAATCGGTATAGTTGCCTAAAAAAATCGGTATATTTAGATCCATAATCGGTAGATGAAAAAAAAAACAATATTCATTCAAATAAAGTTTATTTATTATTATTTTATATATGACCGTAAAGATACCAAAATAATTTACAAATACTAAACACAAAAACTAAGTACCATTCAAAGTTTCAAGCCTGAAACGCGCTAGAACAATTTCTAGCGAATATGCACTTATATACAAGATTCAAACTTTGTACGTTGGTTCTCTTAAAGGCTTCTTCATAGATACTATAATAATAGTAGACTCAAGTCAACTAATAATAATATTTAACTAGAAATTTTGTTATCAAAATATTGTAAAACTATATAAAGCTAACGTAATAGCTGTTACTAAAATCTAAATCACTTTAATTACTTAGTAAAAAATATAGTGTTGTGTGTTAAGGTCCCAACAAATATATATATATATATATATACACACAACACCATCTAGTTCCATGGTAAGCTATGAGGCTTGTGTTATGGATACCAGATAGTTGATACACTACACATATATAATTTTAAATACATACATATAATAAATATAAACACCCATGACTGGATACTAACATTCGTGCTCATCACACAAACGAATGCCCCCAGCGGGACTGGAACCCGCGACCGCTGGCACAGCAAGTAGGGTCACTACACACTGAGCCAAACGTGTCGTCAAAATTAAAAGTTAACATTCATGATTATTGTACCTAAAACGCATAAAAATCATTACAATCTGTAATTGTTAAAAACGAGTAACCTTATATACTTATGTAGTTACGAAGATAAATTTAATATAAAATACAACAACTATGTAATAATTATATAATTTTGTAGGTAAAATAACTATATCAAGGTTAAATAACTTGTATATTTTAATAAGTTTCTTTACGAGCTACAAAAAAATCGGTGAAAAAATTAAACGTATATCTAAAACATTATTAAAAAAAGAGTTCCCTTAGTAATAAATTATAATGATAATAAGGCAACAATTTTTTTTGGAAACAATACCAATATCGGCCGGCCGTTATACAAAGATAAAGCGCGTTGTAGCACTCAAGTCTCTAAGATAAAGACAATATTCTAAACATATAATTTGTAATTGCCATAGTGACCTTGAGAGGCCTTACATAGAGGTACCTAAAACATTGCGCAGCTGCAGCTCGGGGATAGCTTATATCGCCATCTATCATTTAAATCATTTATATTTACAACTAGAGCTGCTAGATGTCGCCTTTTTTTAATTCTCACTTGCGCCATCTATTATCCATTTTAGAACAAAAAATAGCGCGCTGTGTGAGCGTGGATTAGCAAAGTCAAATATTTTGTATGGACTGCACTATCTGTACTAGTATAGTATTATATGATAGGTGGTTTCAGTTACCTAGAGCTCGTGCGTTTCTACGATTGATTAATGTTCTCGGCCTTAGTGATGGAAAGAGCTATGGCTATGTCATTGGTAAAGGTGGTAGTCATCAAGGTATCATTGGGAAGGGTGGTGGTGGTAGCTTTCGTCGTCTAATATGTTCGTACCTTTTATATTTATTATTTATTTATTAATTTTTAGGAAACAAACAGTGACATAATTCTTAAAAATAATTAAAAACTAAAAAGTCCACACACCAGCAAAGTTTCCACCTATAAATATGTCACAGGTAGAGTAAACATAATTAATATAAACATTAAAACAATATAATAAAATTTTAACAAAAGTTACTGCAAAAAACACTACAAAGGACAACAATAAAAATGACTAAGTTAGAATTACAAAAATAAAATAAAAAACAAATTATAAAATAAAAATAAAACACAAAAAGCAAAACTTAAACTCTAAAGGAACATAATAAAACAATAATATGAATAGGCAATTTTAAAAATGACTAAGGTTATGATAGAGATTTTAAAGATTTTAAAAACACTTTCTTAATAATGTAAACATCTTTATAATTAAATAAATCTATGTCACTAAATTTATCATTATAATTATAACATGCTCGATTAATAAACGAATTTTGAGCAGATTTCGTACGTATTAATTGTGGATCAAAAAACAACTTATTTCGAGAACATAATCTAGGACATCTAAAATTAATTTGACTCAATAGGTAAGGGGAATCACTAATATTATTGACTAATTTAAACAAAAATAACTGTTCTCTCAGTAATCGACGGTTGGCCAATGATAGATATTTATACTCAAAATGTGTCTGACTGTTGGCTAATGAATAGCACCTATAGTTTAAGTATTTTAAGAATTTCTTTTGAACTCTCTCAAGGTTTTCACTATGGACCTTGTAATGGGGGTTCCACACTAATGACCCGTAGTCAAGTATGGGAAGTACAAATGAGTTATAAAGAAGAACTAGCGTAGCGGGACTTTTAAAATCTTTCCCGATTCGCATGATGAAGCCAAGCATCTTATAAGCCTTAGCTACAGATCGGTTCATATGGGGTACAAAAGTCAACTTACTGTCCAAGTAAATACCCAAATCTCTAACTTCAGTAACGGTAAGTTCGGGAAACAGTATCGCCACCCAAATGGTATTCATAAAGGACGCTATGGGTTTTTCTAGTGAAAGACATAACACTGCATTTTTCCACATTCAACTGTAGAGTGTTATCCTTACAATATTCACAGAGTCGATCTAGGAGAAGAAATTTTACTGCATAGTTTCATATCATCTGCAAATAAAAGAACCGTAGAATGCCTTATAACTTCACAAATATCATTGATGTACAAGTTAAATAAGACGGGACCAAGATGGGAGCATTGAGGCACACCTGATGAAACGGGGAGAAAAGTTGAACAGTGCCCCTTTACAGTAACTTCCTGACTTCGATTATGCAGATATGAACTAAGCCAGCGGAGCAGATCGCCATGTATACCAAAGACTTCCAGCTTACGAAGTAGAATCTTGTGAGATATTTTATCGAACGCTTTCGAATAATCGGTATAAATAACGTCTACCTGATATCCTGCATCCATAAACGAAGAAACACGATGAATCAGTTCACATACATTGGTTTCAGTGGATCTTTTACTAATAAAGCCATGCTGATTATCAATTATAATTGGTCTAACTAGAGGGAATAGCTGATCATAAATATTTTTTTCAAAAACTTTGGCCAAGGTACATAATTTGGAAATAGGTCTGTAATTCCGTACATCACATTTATTGCCAGATTTTAATACAAGGACAACGTAAGAACGTTTCCATATCGAAGGTAAAATACCTGACTTAAGGGACTCGTTAAATAGAATGTAAATAGGGTAGGACAAGGACTCCCAACAAGATTTAAAAAATATGGGAGGTAAATTATCAGGACCAGAACCTTTATCAACTTTAAGCGTTTTCAGATATTTTTTACTTTACCAATGGATATATTGATGGACTCAATACTTACATGATTTACCGAAGTAGTCTTCAATCTGACAGGTGTGTATGAAGTGGCAGGCTCATAAACGGAATTAAAATGATCATTAAAAAGACGATATATATCTTTGCCTGTGTGAGAAATTTGATCAGAAAGAAAAATTGTATCGGGAATCATATTGGAATAATGATTGGATTTAACAAAAGTCCAGAAAAACTTACTATTATTTTTAATTTTGAGTTCAGCATGGTAAATATAGTTATCATAGCATTCGGCCTGGGCGATCTTTTGCCGTTCACTAAGTAAATTAAAATTATTATAGTCAATTTGTCTATTATAGGTTTTCCACTATTATATATTATAAATGCGAGACGAATATAAAATTCGTTATACCTTTTCTAAATTCTGTCTTTTATCTAAATCCAGGAGACGGGCGTGGTGAGCGTGGCGGCGGCGCTAGACCGCGAGGCGCTGGGCGCGTACCAGCTTACGGCGCACGCGCAGGACCGCGAGCGCGCGGACTGGGAGTGCAGCTCGCAGCTGGAGGTGGCGCTGGACGACGTCAACGACAACGCGCCGCGCTTCTCCGCGCCGCTCTACAGCGTCACGCTGCCCGAGGACGCCGAGCTCGGCACGCTCGTAGCTAAGGTAGGCGTGGCCTTCTTAATAAACACGTAATTCTACCAATTCTACAAAGTCTATTTTTAAAATTAATTATGTATCTTTTATATCAAAAATATTAGTTTTACTATATATGTATAAGACTATAAGTCGGGATTTTTAAGAACCGGCAAAAATTAAACTTATGTGTTGCTCTGAAATACAAAGGTTTATTGTAAGCGTAAGTTTACAACAAGAAAGAACCTATTATACACTATAAATAAGTTTTGAAACAGAAATTACTATCTTACCTGAAATACAAAGAAACGACATTAAAAGTTATTGCCAGGTTTTGTCGAATCCTTTTTACAAATAAAATTATTAATTTTTTACAATTTCACATTTAAAAATGTTTACACTATGACACTCATCCCTGACACTCATCACTGACAGTGCCTCAATTCAAATTTAATATAAAGAATTTAGAATAGTAACATATTAAAGAGATCTTATTTCTTTACATCCCCCCCCCCCCCCCCCCCCCCCCCCCCCTAGGCCAGAAAATTTCTTCCGAAATTTTCGCTAAATTATAATTTCATATTAGGAGTTACATATCGAATTTCTTCTTATGTCGGAACAGGAATGAGTTGCGTAATGTGGAAGAGATTCGACTCCAATTTCTTATGACCTGTATTAATTTTGTATATTGAATGTGATATTTTTTCTTCAATTTTAAAAGGACCAATCCTCAGGTCGTCTAATTTTTTCCTATTTAGTTTGTGCCCATTTTCAATGTATACCATATCACCTGTATTAAAATTATGATGTGTTCTATTTTTATCAACTATCATTTTGTTATATTCATGTGACTTAATGGATTTTTCAAATGCTATCTTCCTATTTTTTATCCATTCATCTGCTTCTTTTTTAAGTTTTAGTTCATTTGGTATAAATGACACATCTGTACCATCCATCAGATATCTTGGTGCGAAGCCAGTAGTTGTATGTTCAGTGTCATTATATCTATCCACGCAGTTATGGGCAATAGTTGTCCATGCTGTTGTATTTGGTTTCTCATTTCTTTTGCATCTAATTTTATTTATAAGTGTTTGGTTCAGTCTTTCATTTAGACCATTTGAAAATGGCGAATTTACTGCAGTGAAAACTAGCGTAATTGATTTTTCATTTAAAAAGTCTTTAAATTCTTTTGAGTTTATTCCTGGATATTGGTCAGTAAGAATCATGCCAATTTCATTACAATTTGTTACATTATTTATTAGTTTTATAAAGCCCTTTGCACTTTGTGTCTTCGAAGTTATTATATATGCATATCGGGTGAAATGATCCACTAAAAGGTGTAGATATCTTTTTGTTGATCGAGAGCCTCCAAAACCTCCAATCGTATCTATTGAAACAATTTCTAATGGTTTCGAGGCGGGACCTAAGTGTGACATTAAACTACACTTAACTTGTCCTCTTGTCTTATTCTTTATACATATTTCACACTTTTTGCAAAGGTCATTAATGCTTCTTGTTAAATTCTTTGCTGTATAAAATTTTCCTATTTTATTGCATTTGTTTTATACCTATGTGACACATGTTTTCATGTATTTGCTTTATAAGTTTTATACTGAATTCTTCTGTCAGTATGATTTTTTCCTGTTTTTTTACTCTCTTATAATAAATTTTGTGTCTATGTATTAAATTATTCTTATATTTTTGTATATCCTCATTTTTTTCTTGATCTGTTACTATGTCATCCAATGTTATTAAATTAACTATTTTTAATTGTTCATCTATATCTTTATTTGCTTCCAATACTGGATTTCTGCTTAAACAATCTGCCTCTAAATTTTCCCTTCCTGGAGCATATTTAATTTTAAAGTCATATTGTGATAGATAGGTATACTAATTCTCCCAATTCTTCATCTGTTCAAGACTTAATATTTAAATTCTCCAATGGTTTGTGGTCTGAATATACTGTGAAAGATTTACCTATTAGCCAATATTGCCAGTATCTTATTTCTTCTTTAATGGCTAATCATTCTAAGTATATAGCCTTTTTTTTCTTTTGGACTTCATTTAGTTTTTTTGAGAAATATGCTACTGGCTTTTCTTTTCCGTTCGGCTGTATTTGCTTTAACACCGCTCCAATACCTTCTAATGATGCATCTGTGTATATATTTATAGGCAAGTCTTGATCAAAAATTTCTGAGATTGGTTGTGAGCATAGTAGTTTTTTAATCTTTTCAAAAGAATCTTGACATTCAGTTGACCAAATGAATTTTTGATTTTTTCTAAGTAAATTATGAAGTGGTTCTAACATAATTGAGCTTTTCGGTATGTATTCACGGTAGAAATTTATTTTTCCCAGAAGTTGCCTGATATTTTTCTGAGATTTTGGTATTGGGAAATCTCTTATTGAAATTAAATTATCCCTCACTGGTCGAACTGTATTATTCTGTATTATATGCCCGAGATATTTTACAGAATCTGAAGCAAATGTATATTTTGTGAACTTTAGTCTGAAACCTTCTTTTTTAATCGCCTCCAGCAGCTGGGATAAGTGGTTTATGTGTTCGGTATAAGACTTGGAGAATACCAGAATGTCATCTATGAAATTAACGGTAAAATCAGTTAGTTTATACTTTCTTAGTATGTTACTCAATATCCTTTGGAATATTGCTGGAGAGGTCTTCAAACCAAATGGTAAGCATGTCCATTGGAAATGTCCTTCCTGTGTCACAAAAGCAGTTTTCTTTCTATCTTCGATTCGCAGTGGAATAGACCAGAATGCAGAGTTTATATCTAACGTTGAAAAATACTTACAGTTTCTTGTTTTTGTCACCAAGTCTCCAATCAACGGAAATGGTTGAGCCTGCGGTACCACTATTTTATTTAAATCTCTTAAATCAATACACAATCTTGTTTTCCTATTATCTTCTTTTTTTTTAAAGCTAGGGTTACCGGTGCAGCAAATGGACTGTATGATTCCTCTATAAGGTTTCTTTCAAGTAATCTTCCTACTTGCTTTTCTATTTCTATCTTATCTTCTATGGAACATCTGTAAGGTCTTTTACAACAATATTTGTCTACGAACAGATCAATGTGTGCTTCATAGTCCCTTACTGTTCCAATATCATATTTATCCTTTGCAAAGCTTGATTTATATTTATCAATCAATTTATTTATTTCAGATTTTTGCTGACAATTAAAATTACTCAGATCCATTATAAATTCTTTTTCTTTTATGTGTTCATTAAAATTTATAAAATTCAAGTTTTTTTTATTTTCAACTTCATTCGAGTTGTTTTCCTGTAATAGTTTCTGGTTTCTAGAGTTTTCTTCTATTTTTTGTGTGATTTTCAGATGTTCGTCCTGAATCAAATTAAACTCTTTTATCATATCAAGTCCAATTAGAAAATCATATTTAAATTCTTCTCCATCTACAATATAAACATCTATTTTTTTTTTCTATATCAAACATTTTTATTTGCATTGTTGTCAAACCTCTTGTCCTTTTAACACCATTAATTGTTATTAAATTTGCGTTGTTATAATCATTTTTTTCTTTTTCTTTTAGTCTTAATAATTTAGAATTGATCAATGAAACATTAGAACCTGAATCGTAAATACCGAATATGTCTAATTTTCTTTCCAATGTTAGTTTGACTTTAATTAATGGTGTTATTATTCGTTTTTTTGTTCGTCATTGTTTAATTCAACATCTAATACGGAATTGTTTACATTCTTATTGTGGTTTCTCTTGCTCTCATAATCTCCAGTTTGCTTAAACCAGCACTTTTCCTCCGAGTGGAAACGGTTACCTTTATTAATTTTTCACAAATTTTGCAAGCTTGAATTTTATCAAATTTTCCTTTATTATCAAATGTGTTTGTTTTTTTGAATTTATTATAATTATTTTTATTTATTGTATGCTCATGCTTACCAATTTCATGGTAAAGGTTTGCGGTGGAAGTTATTGATCCCTTATCCACCTTGTGTATTATATAATCTGGTAGACCCATTACAATAAGATTTATCATTGTTTGTGTGTCAATTTCTTTATTTACCTCTAGTAACAGTCTTTCCTTTTTCGTGGCGTATTCCAGTAATGAACCTCCCTGGAATTTAAATGTAAATGCATATCTAACTTGTGACCAACCTTTATTTCCGTATGTTTCGCAAAAAATATTTTTCCATGTTGTCCATTCTGAGTTTACGGTAAATTTTATTAACATACTAGTGTACCAATCTAAGCAATGATTTTCTAGTAAATGCTTTAAAATCTCAATTTTTTCTGCATCCATTAGTATCTCGAAACGTGTACACTCATTCTCAAATTCATTAATCCATTGGTCAACATTTGATGTTTTTCCTGAAAATTTCTCTAGTAAAAATCTTTCTGCTATTTTTCCTAGGTTCATCTTTCCAGTTTCTGTGCTATTATTATTATTCTAACGTTTGCTTTCATCTGTAACTTCTTCTAGATATTGATTGCCGAATTGTAAATTTTCACCTTCATCTAAGTAGATTTGTCTCAATTCCTGAGTTAATGGGATCCATAGTTTTCGTGTCTGATGTCTTTTTTTAGCGAATTTTTGATTTTCGTAAAAACGTCTGAAGTCGTTATCTTAGTGTGCTTACTAGCAGGTTTTAGAACATCCGGAATATCAAATACACATCCATCGGGTGTCTCGATTGAAGTTATACAGATCACATTTGTTTTTCCATCAGTTGCTGCTAACACAGCAAATGTAAATCTTAATTTTTCCATATTATTTTTTTGACTATTAATGTCGTTTTATAAGACTATAAGTCGGGATTTTTAAGAACCGGCAAAAATTAAACTTATGTGTTGCTCTGAAATACAAAGGTTTATTGTAAGCGTAAGTTTACAACAAGTAACAACCTATTATACACTATAAATAAGTTTTGAAACACAAATTACTATCTTACCTGAAATACAAAGAAACGACATTAAAAGTTATTGCCAGGTTTTGTCGAATCCTTTTTACAAATAAAATTATTAATTTTTTACAATTTCACATTTAAAAATGTTTACACTATGACACTCATCTGTCTGACAGCGCCTCAATTCAAATTTAATATAAAGAATTTAGAATAGTAACATATTAAAGAGATCTTATTTCTTTACATATGTATTTTAATAAAATGATAATTTTTAATAAGTCATTTTGATTCGAGTTCGGTGTATCACAAATCGACTTCGACCGCCATGATGATCTTGTAGCTACACTAGACGTCTCGTGAAACACAGAAAAGTTTGCTCTGGAAAGAGCTGTTGGTGTCGTAGGAAACATGAATAATCAGCTCTGAAAAGAGCTATTTTATTGTCTGTATGAAACAAGAAGTAGTTCTGAAAAGAACCGTTTTACGTGTGGAGTACTACGCGTAGCCAGACTGAAGATCCGTTCGTTGCGAGCGCCGCGAGGCAAATGCCCGCGCATCGACTGCCTAGTTATATTTATAACTTCAGCGTCCCGCGCGAGATCACGCGACCGCGCGTATTCCCAGAATCCATGAGAGCAGAAGATTCGCGCTATTTTTATCTCATTCTTATTTTACGATAATCATATGCTAAATAAAACTAAGATTTTTATTGGTTAGCATAGTTTTCTAATTGTAATTATTTTAATGTACATATTCTTATTGGTCAATTATTTTGTAAATTTTTTATAATTTTTGTATCTAAGGAGTCACATTTTTGACAATAAATATTCTACTCAATTCTTCACTTCTACTGATTACAAGTTTCATTTACTTAACCCCCAACTTGTAAAATCTAATAGTTGGCATGTACGACCGCAGAGCCGGAGGTCCTGGGTTCGAATCCCGGATCGGACCAAATTCAGTTATTGAATATTTCTGTCAAAGAAATTCTCAGTAACAGCCCAGAATCGTAAATTTTGGCAGTGTTTCGCCTAACTCTTACTGGTCGTGTCGAACTCTGTCCTTTTTGACTTCCTGAGGATGAAGAAGGGTTGAAGACTCCATCCAACGGGGAGGATATTCACTCGTCTAACGCTCAGATGGGGTGATAGGTCTATCCGCGGGTGGCAGAGTGGACCCCCGGCAGCCGTTATTAAAAGAAATTTTGGAGTTCTCCTTATTGGTTTTTTATTGTGGAATAGAGAGTTCACTTGTTTTTGCGCGTATAATTGTTCACTATATGTCTACTGCGCAGCTCCAGATCAGTCTCGGCGAGATTGACCGCCGTCGCCGAAATCGGTGAAGAGGGCATTATTTAATATTACTATTTTTACAAATCATTTCATTGTGACTATAAAATATAAAAAACAACTACTTCTGAAAATCATTTTTCTCGACAGTATGTAACATTTTTATTACCTTGTATTTCTCGATTTCATAACGTCAGCCTTTACTTTGTCTCTAAAGGTACATGCCACGGATGATGATTTGGGAGAAAACAGACTGATTCGCTACTCGTTCGCCGAAGAAGTTAATGACGCATTCGAGCTCGCGGCCGACAGCGGCATCATCACCCTGCGCGCGCCGCTGGACCGCGAGACGCAGGCCGAGCACCGCCTCGTGTTGCGCGCCGTCGACGCCGGCCGCCCGCCGCGCTCCGCCACCGCCACCGTGCGCCTCACCGTCGCCGACGTGAACGACAACCCGCCCGAGTTCGAGTTCCGGCAGTACCGCGCCGCCGTGCCCGAGCTGCACGCGCCCGGCGCCGAGCTGCTGCGAGTGCGCGCCACCTCGCGCGACACCGGCGTCAACGCCGACGTCTACTACTCGCTCGTCGGCGGCGACGACCGCGACGACTTCGCCGTGCATCGCTCCACGGGCGTCCTCACTATAGCCAAACCGCTCGACTACGAACGCCGCAAAGAGTACTTCCTGACGGTGCAGGCGGTCGACGGGGGCTCGCCTCCTCTCAGTGATCACGCGACTATCAACATCACCGTGACGGACAGCAACGACAACGCGCCCGTGTTCTCGCAGGCGTCATACGGCGCGAGGGTGCGCGAAGATGCCGCGATGGGGACCCGCATCGTGCAAGTGATCGCGGACGATGCCGACGCGGGGGCTAACGGCCGCGTGTCGTACTCCATAGCGCGCGGAGACCGCGCCGGCCGCTTCGCCGTGGACGCGGACACCGGCTACGTGTGGGTGGCGGCGCCGCTGGACCGCGAGGCCGACCCCGCCTACGTGCTGGAGGTGCGCGCGCGCGACCGCGGCGTGCCCGCGCTGGAGGCCACAGCGCTGGTCAACGTCGAAGTACTCGATGCCAACGATAACCCTCCAGTATTCGAACATAATAATTATACGGCCGTCGTGCAAGAAGATAAACCCCTGGGACACACCATTCTCAAATTCGTCGTCGAAGATGCGGACTCTCCTCCTAACGCAGCACCATATACATTCGATTTTCAGTCTGGCAATGAAATGGGTGCTTTTCGCTTGGAGCAAGATGGTTACTTGCGTTCGGCGACACGTTTCAACCATCGCATCAAAGATCGATATATTTTACAAGTGCGTGTATTTGATAACGGAACACCGCCACTATTTTCTGACGCGTGGGTATATATAAAAGTCATCGAAGAATCACAATATCCACCGGTGGTGACTCCTCTCGAGATCGTTGTTAATTCATACCTCGACGAATTTCCAGGCGGTGTTATCGGACGCGTCTTTTCATCAGACCGTGACGCTTACGACTCCGTTTCCTATGCGCTAGTTCCTGTGGATGGCGCTCCGTATCCAGCTAACGACTTATTTGAAATCGACCCTCAAGATGGCACACTACGTGCCGCACCTCGCCTCGACGTGGGAGACTATCGTCTGAATGTAACCGTTAATGATGGAAAATTCATCGGTTTCGCGATCGTTCGTATAGCAGTCGTCTTAATATCCGACGAGATGCTCTCTCAAGCTGTTGTAGTGCGGTTCCGAGCAGTTACGGATAGGGATTTCGTTTTAAGCCATAGAAAGGGATTTGTACGCGCAGTGAGCGAGGCAACTGACTGTGAACTGAATGATGTAATTATAATTAGTGTACAGCAGTCGGGAGAAGATACAGAGACGGAACCTGCAAGAGTGAAACGTCAAGTCGCTCAAGACTTAGACGTAGCCTTCGCAGTTCGCTCGCCCGGAGCCGACGGATTCTTGCTCGCCGACGCGCTGCGGCGCCGGCTGCACGCGCACGTCGAGCGCCTGGAAGAGCGCACGCGCCTCGTGGTGGAGGAGCTGGTGCGCGCGGCGTGCGGCGGCTGCGTGCACGGCGCCTGCGCCGAGCGCGTGCAGCTGCGCGCCGGCGCCGCGCGCGCCGTCGCCGCCGACGTGTTCGCGCTCGTGGCGCCGCCGCACCGCCTGCGCAGCGAGTGCGCCTGCGCGCGGGGCTACACCGGCGACCGCTGCGAACGCGCCTACAACGAAATCGATGGAAGCTCGAGTGGAACTTGCGAATGCGATGCCACTAACTGTGACCCTGCGCTAGTACCTCCCGGGTATCGTTGCTGCGAAGAAGACTGTCGACCGCCAGCCTCTGTAGCACACCTGGCCGGTGACGGCTACCTCGTCTATCGGTTGGAACGCGGAGTCGTGGAAGGCTCCCGTCTTCTCGACGATGAGCTCGTCGTGTCACTGCGGTTCCGCACGCGAAGCCCCCGCGGCACGTTGCTGTACGCGGCGGGGCGCGTGGACTACGCGGTGCTGGAAGTGGTGGAGGGACACGTGCAGTTCCGCATGGAGCTGGGTGGCGGCGAGGCGCGGCTGCGCGCAGGCGGGCCGGTGACGGACGGCGCGTGGCACGAGCTGCGCCTGGAGCGGCGCGGCGCGGGCGCGCGCCTGGCCGTGGACCGGCGCGCGGCGCAGGCGCAGGCGCCGCCGCCCGCCGCCGTGCTAGACGCGCGCGCCGACCGCCTGCTGCTCGGCGCTATGCTGCAGCGACACGCGCACGCCCTGGCACCGGAACAGGTTATATCACTTTGTTATTTATTTTGCTAAAATCATATTATGTTGCTTAATATTTTCTTAGATTTACGCCAATAATTAATTTCTCTTCCATGACGTTGTAAAGTGTAAAGCCGAAAGAAAAATTCCGAAAACATAGTTTTATTTAAATTTACATTTTGCTTTTACGTCAATTACTATGATTACTAAACGAACGGCTGAAAAATTTGTATCAATTGATTTCATCATTCCCGGCGACTAACTTGACGGCGCTTTATGTATACGAATAATGAAAAAGTAAAATCGATTTTTCAGGTAACTTACGGATTCCACGGCTGCATTTCGGATATAAAGCTCGGAGGAGCGACCTTACCTCTCGACGAGGGCGGCACGTCGAACGACGGGCGCGCGCAGCTGGTGCGGCGCGTGCGCGTGCGCGTGGCGGCCGCGTGTCCCGCGCTGCCGCCGCCCGGGCCCTGCGCCGCGCAGCCCTGCCTCAACGGCGGCTCGTGCCGCGAGGACGCGGGCGGCGTCGAGTACGAGTGCGCCTGCCACGACCGCTTCCGGGGCCGCCACTGCGAGGTGGACTCAGACCCGTGCGCATCGCAGCCCTGCCTGCACGGCGCGCTGTGCTCGGCCGAGGACGGCGCGTTCCGCTGCGCGTGCGCCGCGGGGCTGTCGGGCGCGCGCTGCGAGCGCGGGCGCTGGTGCGCGGCCGGCGTGTGCGCGCACGGCGGCGCGTGCGAGGAGGGCGAATGGGGCCCGTCGTGCCGGTGCCGCGGGTACTACGGCCCGCGCTGCCAGTACGACGTCGACGAGTGCGTCGGCGAGCCCTGTCTCAACGGAGCCACGTGTCTCAATGAGCCAGGCTCCTTCCGTTGTCTATGTCCGCCTGATAAAACTGGTAACTAATGTTTTTATTTTTTTATTTTTGATAATGGCTTTTGCATGTTCTTCAAATCTTTTAACCTCTTCATAATATTGTGAATATTAGAAATACTCCGTACTTCGGTAAGCAATTTTGCCCAACTTTGTTAATACTTTACAACTTTGTTAATAACAGTGAATGAAGTGGTATATATGGTGAAAACGAAACTGTTGTCTCGAAAACTAGCTCAAGAATTGTTATGATAGAAAATTTCGAAAAATGCGTAGTTTACCTGATTGGCATTATATAATTCCATACATGACCCTATTATATAGTATATCCATGGACGAATTAGAGACTGGACCTGACATAAAATACAAATGTATGAAAACTAGTTCAACCAAGTGACGCATAACGCACACAAAGATTTTATTACATTATTATAAACACTGATACACAATACAATATTTCTAGTGTTTGAACGTAATCGATAAAATACATATATCGATGAACCAATGAATGACATTTTAGACATTGGTTAGCATAGTCATCATATTTTACATCTTTTAATTTAAAATATCTGTATTTATTATAATAAATTAAAATAAATGAATTAAAGAGGCAATAATAATGTGTCAAATAATAATTATTATTTAATTTATATAAATACGATGGCATTGATGGCAACATTCTGTTGGCCTATAATAATGTTAATAAACAAATGAATATCGGGTGTATATTCCATTAATATATAATAAATATTATTTTGTAAAGATTAAAATAATATTAAGCTAATTTAATTAAATAAAGTGATTTTGTTGATTCTGTTATTGAACTATTTTAATTGGCAATTGATTGTCTCGGGTAGTTATAAAAATGTGACAGTGTCCTAATATTGCTCAGTTATTAATAAACATTTGTAAAATTAGGAAAAAGAAAAAGTGATTGCAAATTGTGAAAAAGTGAGTGTTGGATCGTGAAAGTAAAATAATTAGTGCAAGTGGTAAAGTGTTTTATTACAAATCGCCAACCCAGAAGTTTAGTGCTAAAACATTATTGTTTGATTTTGTGTAATTTATGTGTTGAAATAAAATGATCTTTATTATTATTACAATGGAATAATATTCCAAAGTATATAAATGTGGTATAAAATAAAATAAAAAATTAAGTACACATACTAATTATAATTTTTGCATTTATTATTTATTTATTATTTGATTTAGAAAATATTTTTATAAATTTATTGTCATCAGATTGTAGGATACTGTGATAAAAGTATTTTATGTTATTGTACTGTACAAATAACACAATTCGTTCAGTTATTTCGTCAAATATCGATATATTTTTCGACATTGTCAAGCACTAGTCGATGTCAAATGGACTCACTCGACAGTTTTGTCATTTGTTCTAAATGGTATAATCCAGCCCGTTTATGATGGTTGTCAGATGTCAACAATACATAGAAATATCGACTATATTTAACATAGTTGGATAATATGACATTTTATTTTACATTTAATTAAATTTTGTGATAAATAACAATAAATGTAATAAAATAATGTATTTACAAGTGAAAAGAAATAGTGCTGCTTCCGCCGTTATAGTTTTTACACCATTTAACAGAACATTTAGTCATTTTTGGGAGATGTTTTGTTGACAAGTAAGTGCTTGAGACTGACACAAAAAACAAACGACCTAGGCTAAAATTCCCTGGTTACTGACATGACCGTTAAAGGTACGTCCGCTTATATGTCTGGTCCAGTGGTTAATTCGTTCATGAGTATATCCTATGACACATACAAAATTAAAATTTCCACGAACAAACCTTTTTTCTAAAATACGAGTAAATAACACATTACAACTATTAAAAATTAGTTTACACTTTGGGCGCTCTTACAGTTAATACACTCACGTGCAACTGAATCGGCTCAAGCCGTATATTGGTATAAAAGTTCGATTTTTAGGAAAATGGCTTATCCAATTTTCTTGTTTTTTTTTTGTTTGAAAGCCTAATCTTTTCTCCTAAAAAATGCTATCCTAATGAGAAAAATCGGTTAAGTATTTATTGATAAAATTTAATTTGACAGAAATGCATAAAAAATGAAGAAAAATAAAAACAACAACATAATGAATAAAAAAAATATTTTTGATAAAAGTAAAGAAAATTAAAATTTTCAATACTTTGTATTGCCTCCCCTAGCTTTTATAACGGCTTGCATGCGATTTTTCATTGATTTTATCAATTTTTTGATAAAATCTTGAGGTATCGTATTCCATTCTTCCTCTAGCGCAGTTTTGAGCTCGACGATGCTTGATGGAGCCGTATCTCTAGCTCGCACACTCCATTTGAGCTCGTCCCATAAATGCTCAATGCAATCCAGATCAGGACTGAGGGCTGGCCACATCATCGTCTTAATTTGCACCTCTTGAAGAAACTGGCGAGTAACACTTTCTGTATGGCACCGAGCATTATCATGCAGCAATAGAAAATCTTCTCCAATGTACCCTGCATAAGGAACAACATAATAGAGGAGAATGATTTCCACGTACTTTTGAGCTGTTAGACCACCTTTCCGACCACCACCAGGCACGAAAACAAGCTCGGTCTTCCCTTCATATGATATTCCAGCCCACATCATGACTGAACCACTGCCATATGATACTGTTTCAGCGAAACAGCATTGCGAGAACCGTATACTGGACGCCTGTATACTCGGTCTCTTCTGTCGTTGCCATGGAGACACATGCTGCTCTCGTCAGTGTCTCACAGGATGGAGCTCCATTGCTCAATAGTCCAATTGAGGTGTTCACGAGCAAATTGAAGTCGGTCTTGACGGTGAGCTGCGCTCAGTTTCGGGCCTCTGGCTGGCCGTTTAGGAGTTAAATTGGCTTTCTTCAGGCGTCTTCTAATTGTCCACTGACTGACAGCCACTCCTCGAACCCTTCTGAGCTCCTGTTGCACATCAACGCCCGTGAGATGACGATTTCTCAACGAAGTTGAGACAATGAAGCGGTCGTCCGTCTCGGATGTGCTCAGGTGTCTATTGGTTTGTGGTCTCCGAACGAAGCTACTAGTCTCTTGAAACCTTCTGTATACTCATGAAACAGCTGATTGGCTCATGTTAAGTTCACGAGCGACTTGAAGTTGATTATGGCCCGCTTGCAACAAATCTACAACTTGGGCCGCTGCTTCTGAGGTAGTGTCCATTGGATCGCGATTAAAATACTGGGAGCTTAAGGAGATGTGTACCTGTCATGTTTATTATTGTTTATTGTAAAATTACTATATTTATGAAAAAAAAAATATGTCTTTCGAATAAAAAAACTTTTACAAAAATCGGATAAGCCATTTTCCGAAAAATCAAACTTACTCGTATATACCAATATACGGCTTGAGTCGATTCAGTTGCATGCGAGTGTATATTATTTTATTTCTTAATTTTACTAAGGTATGAACTGTGGCAACCCATTGTACTCGGACGCTGTGGTGGCGGGCGAGGCGGCGGGCGGCGGGCGCGTGCTGCGCGAGCTGTGGGCCTGGGCGCTGGACGCGCGCTGGCCGCTGGGCGCGGCGGCGGGCGCGCTGCTGCTGCTGCTGCTGCTGGCGCTGCTGCCGGCGGCGCGGCGCTGCCGGCGCGCGCGGCCGCCGCCGGCGCCGCTCAACAGCGCCATGGACAAGCTGCCGCCGCGCGCCTCCAAGCTGTCCAACCTGGAGGCGGTGCGGCGCGGCCGACCCGCCTCCTGCGCCGACCCACCGCCGCTCAACAACATCGACACGCTGCGCTCCTACGGCTCCGCCGGCGACGAACTGGAAGGCATCCCCCCAGACTATCTGCGTAATTTAAACATCGAACCAGTCGACCGAAAACCCTGGTCCGAGCAAATGCATCTGCAGACGTTTGTAGATAATAAAATTTACAACGGTAAGTAAACTCAAATAGTATCCTTCGTATATTTTATAAAATGCATGAAAAATAAAATATTGTTGTCTACTTCAATACTAATTCATATAATTTTTAGTAAAATTTAGTAGACCAAAGTGCATACAAAAGTATTGTTTTGTATTAAAATATTGTCATCAGATTTGAAAAGCTGCAACACACGTGTGCGCGTGCCGTCGCCGGCGAGCGCGCGGCGGCCGGGCGGCGGCGCAGGCGCGGGCGAGCCGCACCTCGTGGGCGGCTACCACTGGGACTGCTCGGACTGGTGCGGCGGCGGCGGCGCGCTGCCCGGCATCAGCGAGGTGGCGGGCTCCGAGCGCCCGGACTCCTCCTCGCCGCCCTCCCCGCCCTCGCCGCGCTCCCCGCGTCCGCCGCGCCTCTCGCCGCGACGCACTCTCCCTCTCGCCTTCGATACAGACTCGGCGACTGACGATCACGATCCTTTACGTTTTACTGATGGTCAGTATCCCCTCGACATAAATACGATTAGGTTAGAGCAGCAGAACTTAAAGAACTTTTCTTCATTACAGCATCGTCATATCTTCTCAATGTTGAAGAATACTCTCCTGCCGGCGACGACGGTACGCTACGAGCCCGCGTCGTCCGCGAGCCCGACGCGCACAGCCTCATTACGATGCTCGGTAAGTGTGTTTCACTAGTTTTGTGCTACCTAAGAAGATTGTCAGTCATCGGTTGCATCATAGATCCTTACTATTTTTCGGCAATTACAGAAGAGCGGCATTCGCTGCTGGGCGACGGCGGGTCGTGCAGCGACCTGTCCGCCAACCTGTGCGAGATCGAGGACTCGGAGGCGGAGGGCGAGGAGGCGCCGGCAGTGCCGCCGCCGCCGCCGCGCCATACGGACGTGTGACGCAGGCGCGCGGCCGCCGAGCCGCCGCCGCTGCCCTCGCCCGCCCCGCGTGCCTTCCGCGCACGCGGCTTTTAGCCCGAGCTCATTGTGTGCCCCGTTGCACACATATAATAATCAACGAATTGACGACGATTCGTGGACTAGATTGTTCAAATTTGAGGGAATAATAACAGCAAAATAATGCTTGAAAAAAATACCGTAAAAGTATCTAATATTTGTGTGTGGAGTGTCAGAAAATTATTTTAGAAACGATTAGACATAATGTACTCTGTTCCTTGTACAAAATAAGAAACAAAATGTACCTAAGTGAGTGCCGGCTCTTGCATTGTAGTATGTTATGTATACGATAACACGAAGCGAAAGTACTTCGTGTGTGTGCGTCGGTCGGCTGATAGCTGAGGTGTATCTGAGTCACGTAGTGACGTAACATAAGTGCTGTACATTATAGCGCGCCGCCCGCCGCCGCCGCGACGCTCGCGCGTGTACATATGAGGCGGCGAGCGAGTCTCTGTATATAATGCAGCGGCACGCGGCGAGCGGCCACATTGTATAAATAAAAATATGGTGCTCCGACTATAGTTTCATATCATGACTAAACTATGCATTTACAGACCTCTCTCCTTCTAGGTTAGTCGTTGTAGTTAAGGAATCTATTTTTATATGTGTACAGTAGGTTAGGGCGACCGCCGGCGAACTCGACTGACTGCTAACGATCGCCGCCCGGTGCGCGTCGGTTTTGTTACTGCTGATATTCGCAAATATTGAATGATTGATAATTTATTTAACTATTGTTATAAGTTTTGACACGACTAATGATGCGAATAAAAGTACAAGTAATACTTTTACAATAAAAATATTTCTTTTATTTAAATTATCCTACATGTAAGTCCTAATCTATCCTACTCAGAGATATTTAGAGTCAGGACACTACTTAACCGAGTTTCAAAAAGGTGGAGTTATTATTTACTAGGAGCTCTCCATGTAACGTCATCATAAATACTAGGCGATTAAGGAGTGCATGTAGTAAGTAGTTCTATGTATTTAGACGTCAATATATAGATTATATTATTGATGTTTATGATACATCATACAATCTAGTATAGTATTATATGATCTGTGATACAATATAATTTCTAAGAACTAATTAATTATGCACTCCCATGATATGAATACCAAATGAAAGGGATTGATGAGCGAAACACAATAGGCAAAGTGACGTCATTGTAAGCCCAATAAGGCGGACTCCCAAAGATGGCAGACTGTTTTTTTTATTGCCCCCATGATATGTATATCAAATGAAAGGGTTTGCTGAGAAGAATATGAAAGAAATAAAATGAAAAACATTAAAAAAAATAAACATTTCAAAAAGAAGCTTTAATTTAAATGCTCTTAAAAACAAGTAGGTAAGTATAACTTCTCACGTACGTATTCTCACGTACATAAGTATTTTTTTACCCGACTGCGCGACGCAAAGGAGGGTAATGTGTGCCTATGTATGTATTCAAATTAAAAATATTTTATTCAGCATTTAATTATTACATTTTTTTTACTAAACGTCATGAGTCTACTACCAGTTTGGAAAGAAGAAGCCTCAGACCTGAGAAGAACTGGCGAAAGAACCTCAATAATGTTACGTATGTATGTGGGTTTGTACCTTAGTGGCACTATTTAGACCAAACGCGTGTGCCGATTTTGATAAGTGGGACGTCGTTTGATTCGTTATGACGGTGCAAATGTCATAGAAAGCATAAAAATTTGGAAAAACCAAAATTTCCGGTACCTATTATTATATACGCAAAAGTTGTCTTAAAATGTCACCAATTGTTTAGGTAATTATTCTAGTTGAAATGTAAAACAATGTAAATTGAACCTTAAGTGCAATGCTTAAAGTTGTTTTCACAATAATTTTATCCTCAAAAATTGAAATTTTGAAAATTAAATTTCTCGAAAACTACTAGCCTCCGCGGTTTTTCTTTTTAAGGGGGTGTCCCTCTCACACCCTCCTCTCCTCCCCCACCCTCTCTCCTCCCTTAAATCGATGTCATAGATTGTACAGTTCAACCCTTAATTGCAACAACACAATAGTTTCACACTTTAATACGATAACTTCGTGCATTTGTTTTTAAATTAAATGTTTAGTCATAATATTATTATTATACAATAATAGGCTACGTATATAATATATTATATATAACATAATATAACACATAACGTTTACAATAAAGTTGATAAAAAATATCGACGTGAATAATGAATGTTTAATATTTAATAAAAAAACAATTTCTATACAAAATCTTATTCAATTGTGCTATCTTTGCAATTGAAACTGTTCATTATTTACCCAGTAATAATGTAAATCCATTTTATGATCACTTTCATTTCACATCACAATTAAGTACACATGAGAGCAGGAGAGGAATAATTTATAATTTCTAAAAATCGCATTTTTGTCATAAATGTTAAGCTGGAGGTCACAGGTGTGGCTTGTGATCGAAGAATACCGTCCAAGCTCAAGGAACAGGTAAACAAGAGCATCATCCGACCAGTCTTTTTATACGGAGGCGAGTGCTGGGCAGCGCTATCTCAACACACTCCAGAGCTTCACGTCACAGTCAAGTTCAGTTGAAGAGCATCTTCTGAAGTGGTGTGGCCATGGATTTTATCTACTAAATATATATATTTTTATTAGGTTTTAACCACTACCTTCAATTGTACTCATTTCTTGTTAACTTATTTGTACTTAACACTGCAATTCAGACCTGGTTATATTTTGTATTTAAAAAAATATTACGGAGCATATTCTAAACGTTAGCACAGTTGCGCCCGCACTCCCCGCGGGACGGTTTCCGAAAGTTAAGATTCTTTTCTTTATTGGTGCGGGTTATAATAAGTGATCATAAGTTTTAGGGCAAAACGGTATACGAGCACTGCTATCCCCTGAACATCATTGTGAATAGGTATTAAATACACTAAATTATATTATAAGTTGTTTATATAATAGACGATAAATATTAAATATTTTGAACCTACATGACAATTTCAGATGACAATATTTTCTTGTTTCATACTTTTAAGAGCGTGATGTTTCAGTAGTAGGGTTTTGCGGGTCGCACTTTTAGTTGGTCTACCCAAGCTTATGATATGATATTCATATCTTAACGCATTGTCGGTTGGCACCGACTTCGAAAATATCTGATTACTGATTAGGTATATGTATGTAGTAGGTACCCAAATGAAAACCGCCTTTCAGTTGTGAGGTTTTTATTTATTTAATTTCATAATAATATTGGATTTGAAAATATAAGTGTCGATATTAACGGATCACATGACAATAGTATATTATAAATATTACACAGGAATAGAAACTTAAACAATATCCTCAAAAAAAATGACAGTCATGAAACATCTCATAAAAGTCTCGTTATTGATAGGTTCACATGTCGACATTTAATTATTACTTGCATCATTGAGATTCATCGTAGTCGATGTCCCTCGGGCGGACGCGCGCTCGCTCGTGGGCGGGCTCGCGTGCGGGCGCGCGCTGCACGTCGCCGTCCTCGAGGCGCGGGTAGGAGGGACGCGACAGCACGCCACACGTGTTGGCGCGCGCCTGCACGCGGACGTACCCGCGCTCGCCCCACGCCTCCGACCAGGAGTTCTTAAGAATGAAATGAGGCTCGCCTTTCCGTTCTCCCCATCCGACCGCCAGAACGGCGTGGTTCAACTTATTCTTGGCGCTAAAAATTAAATAAAGTATGTTTTAGAATAATTTTAACTTACATATTTAATTTTAATGAGTCGTCTTGTTTTTTAAAATAAATAATATTAATTAACAATAAATATACTTTTCTTTACATATACTTATAATGAAAATACAAATTAAGCAATAAACACAAAATCCTATATCTTTTAACGAGCAATTCTTGTATATATATTCGGGGGTTTCAGGGGCGATAAATCGATCTAGATTAGTCTTAGAGTTTTCATGCAGTTTTCTTTTACATTATTCCACGCAAAATATGGTCGGTAATTTGCACGCTCGGACATAAGCGTCGTGGTCAAGCGGCCAAGGTGCAAGATCAACAATCACAGGGGTTCAGGTTTGAATCTCGGTCGCATACAAAGTTTTTACTTTTGTTCTTTTTTTTAATATTTATTCAAGTTTTTAGTTTAAAAAAACGAAAGAAAATTTTACTTTAGGCCAAAAACTCCGAGCGAAGCTCGGTAGCCCAGGTACTTTGAATAAAACGTCCTATTACTATCCTATACTTACCATCTGTCGTCATATAAAACACCTTTTTTGTAGAATACAAAGCTCTTAGCTTTACCGTCAACAAGGACTACAGACGGCGCGTGTCGTCGTATCGCCACCTATCAAAGATATCCATACTAATATTATAAATGTGAAAGTGTGTTTGTTTGTTTGTCTTTCTTTCGTGTCGAAACGGAGTGACAGATAGTCGTATTTTTTTGTGTGGAAATAGTTGGAACACTGGAGAGTGAAATAGGTTACTTTTTACCGCGCGAGATTATCTAATTCCCACGGGAAAATACGTTATAATACAATCCAAAAAAATATTTATGATCAGAATTACTTAAAACTTGGTATTTATACTCGTCAATAAATAATACACTCTTAAATTTACGCGAATATTTGACATTTTAAATAAAACTATCTTTTCGGATTATTTCGAGGATTTATTTTGATTTTTGGTTCCCGACGTTTCGAATGCTTTACAGCAATCATGGTCACGGGAGAGACTAAGGTGTTACATTCTCAAACACATACTTGTTACAGACAGTGCCTACCCATTATTTTACAAAAATGATTTCAAAAATTCAAAAATAAAGTACCTTACAATATTTGTTGATTATTATTTCTAAACATTAAAAAAAAATAAGTATTATAACTAAATATAGCAATATTATATATTTAATTTTAGCTTAAAATTAAATAAATAATATTTTAATATAATTAATATTTATTTAATAAAGTTAAATCAAAACGTATTTTAGCATTTTTCAAAATTCATCGTTTAAGAGGGTAAAACAGGGGATGACAGTTTGTATGAAACCTTTTCAGAGATTATTTTGTAGTTTTAGCACGAGCAAAGCCGCTATGGTATGGTTCTATACTAACCGCGGTAAATTATAATAATTTTTTTTTTCGAATATATCCAACATTGCAATGTCTGTCAATAATTCATTCGACAAATGAATGACGACACGTTTGGCTCAGTTTGTTGGTTCTCTAATTGCGGTGCCAGCGGTCCAGCGGGTTCGAGTCCCGTTGGGAGTATCCATTTGTGTGATGCACGAATGTTTGTTCTCCAGTCATGGGTGTTTATATTTTTATAATATGTATGTATTTAAAGTTATATATGTGTAGTGTATCAACTATCTGGTAAACACAAGCCTCGCAGCTTACAATGGAACTAGATGGTACTGTGTGTTAATGTCCCAGCATATTTATTATTATTTATTATATACATACTTTTTGCTTATGCAACCACATTAGTCGTATTTACCTTAAGCGCGGGAACACTGTTGATCGTAACGTTGACGTGCGCACTGATGCGTGTAATAGCAGGCACTTTATCCTCCGCACATTTATCTACCTATAAGGTTATTTTTTTACAATTATACCAAAGCATAACACATACTACTGAGTATTTATTATATATGATATCCGCTCTATTATTAAATCAGTTTCATTTTAATTGTTTATGGTTTAACAAATATTAACTTGACAGTCTACAGTCTAGTCACATACGCACTCGAACATAAATCTACCAGTTAATGATGAAAGGAAATATATAATAATAGAAGCTATATAATATAGAATGCTACTCGCCGCAAATTTTCTATTACATTTTATAAATAAAAAAACAATAAAATACCTTTGGCTCGTAAGGTGGATACTCCTCGAGTGCTGGCAAGCCACGATTTTGGACATAATCATAAGCGTGGCTCGGCCAGGTGCCCTTGCAACCGTTACCTCCAAACCTTTTAAATTTAAAAACACTTAATAACAGAACTTATCTTACTACCATTATTAATTTAGTTATTTAAATACGTACGGATGAGCACAGTCCACAAGACACTTCTCAGACAGCGGCACGAGGCGACGTGTACGTATAAATAGCGCCCCCTCCACAGCTCCAGCGACTGCGAACGCCCAGCATGACGAGCACGAGCCCTGGTCTGTGATTGTATTATATTTTAATATGATTGTATTAAATTTAATTTTATATTATTTATAACCAATAATTGCTTTCAGAATCCTGAATGGCTCAAAGTACAAAATTGTTAGTAAACATCTGCTACTCAGCACTGGATAAAAATATTTCATATACTTACATCTTACTGGCGAGACACCTCCACGTGGACGCCAATCGAATCTGTTTGGCAAGCGTGCTTCTTCAGACTGTACTGAGCTGCGATTGTGCGGAAAATGCTCTGCGCGAATATTTTCCGCAGACAGATTCACTCCCAGTAAATTTTCCAACTCATCGTTGAGACGGTCGCCGAGGAAGTTGACGCCCAGCTCAAAGGTAGCACCTTCGCGATTTCCAGATGATATGAAACGGCTATGTTGAATTAACAAATTTTTCCGCACCGCTTCTTCAATATTATCTATGTATTGCCGATTGAATTCCTGTTTAAACCTATTGGTAAGAAAATAAGTAAAAGTAATATTAATACTCCTTCAGTATTTGTAAGATCCAAACAAACATAATCTAATTACAACGTATTGCTGTAATGATGTTCGTCACGCGTCGCTCCTCAATCATAAGAAACTAAAACTAAGTATAGATGTTTTTAATTTAAATTACAATTATACCTTTGTAAGACTTCATTGTATCGTAGATCACGCAGGGGTAGAGTAAATTCACGTAAAGGTTCGAGACGCGCTAGATCATCAGGTTTTGAAGCATTTAAGATCTCTACGGAATCACAAATCTCATCTGTAAAGAAGCGAATGTAAGTTAGCATTTACGAAATAGTATCGAAATTAAGAATACAATGAGTTGTTCTCAGGACCGATAGTTTCACGTTCTCTCCGAGACTTACATCCCAATAACGAAACCAACTTCCAACTATGAGCTTACATTATTAGGAATTTTTAACAGGAAAAATCCATAACTATTTTTAGCTCGTGATTAGACTTTCTTAGTCCACTTCATACGCGCACATTCGAGGCAATACCTAAAAATTGCTGTATGGTAGGGGAATGAGGGGGGAAACCGGATAGGGGGTGAAAACAGATAGTTCCTATTTCATTGCTCCACGTACAGCTGTCTCATTCTAGCTAGTGGAGAAATACGCGCGAACGCTTACTCAGTGCGGTTGCAAATCGCGGAGACGGTATCATCTCGGCGCGTGAGTCTTTATAACGAAATTTAAAAACAAGGGTAAGTTATCTAATATTTAATTTTTTTTAAAGTGTTATTATTAAACTTAGCTGTGTGCTATCTTAAACAGTTGTATTTTTTAAGAAGTAATACATATTTAACCTTTTAAAACGGTATTGGTTGTTGCTGTGAGTGTAAACATAACCTGTTAGTTATTACAATTTCAAACATGGTACTTGTGGGGTACTAGCGGACGGGGTGAAACCGGGTAGTCGGATTCACCCCGTCCGCTCGATCGTCCGATCGATTTTATATGTAGGTATTGTGGGTGTTTGTTTTAAATCCTCTTCTTAATTACTATTTATTTTTTACAGAGTGCGAGCGACAACATGCCACGAACATATGTGAAAAAGTCAGATAAGTTGCAATGGTCGGAGTCAGACATGCTTTTAGCCCTAAATTCGGTGATAGAAGGTAGAATGGGATATCTTTTAGCGTTACATAAAGTGTACCCAAAAGTTCCTTAGAAGATCGTGTAAAGAAGATCAAGTGTGAAAAATCCAAAGACGAAGTGTTTAGAAAGTACCCCGTTACTGCAAAATGCGTTTTCACTGATGAGCTGGAAAGTATGCTAGTCGATCATATCAAAACTATGGAATCTCTACTATTTGGATTGACTAAAACAGATCTGCGACGTTTGGCATTCCAATTAGCTGAAAGAAATAATTTAAAGCATCCTTTTAATAGAGAAACTGAACTGGCTGGCTTAGATTGGGTTAGTGGATTTCTTAAACGACATTCTGAATTATCATTAAGATCACCTGAAGCAACGTCAGTTGCAAGAGCAATGAGCTTTAATAGAGCTGTAGTGTCATCATTTTTTAATGTTTTAGATACCATTTACGCTAAGCACGCTTTCAATCCCACGCAAATTTATTACATGGACGAGACTGGATTGACCTCTGTACCACAATACAATCTTAAAAAACCGACTTCCAGGCACTAAAATGTAAAAAATAACTAAACGATGGTTTTCATTAAGAATAGATACCTAATCAGATATTTTCGAATCGGTAAAAAGACGAATAAAAACTATCAGGAGGATTCGGATTGAGAAGAAAAGTACAGTCAAACTAAGTCCTCAAATGAATGGTACCAATGCACTGCTTGACTTAAATGGGCTCACGAAGTTGCATCGGTTGTTCTGAGCAAGAAATAATATTTTTTGTATGCAAAAACTGCGAATAATTTGAATATTTAGTTTTATTGTTAGTATCTGTATTCACCCCTAGAATATAAAATACCTATCCGGTTTGACCCATAGGTATGGGGTGAATTCGGATTTATAATTTTTAATTAAAATTGTTCTATTTTATAGTTATTAACATTGATCTCAAACATTTTCATACCAAAGTTATGCCTAAGGTATACTTAAACGTTTATAATATTGATTATCTCTATAAATAACATAGTGATTTATTTATTGTGTCTTCTTCTTAACTATCCGGTGTCCCCCCACCTTCCCCTATATGTATATTGTATATATGGTAAAGAATTCATACCAATTTTTGGTGTAAAAAAATCTAAGTCTTTTGTGTGTTCACGCACGTCGATGTAGCGATGTTCATACCCATCGCAGTTAGCGCCGAGCACGGAGCTATCAACATTCACAATGTACCTGAAATCCATAAAAAAACACTGATATATATCTACTCGTATGTTATAGATTTGGAAATGGGAAATCCCCTTTCCAAGCCCAAATTTATTAGTCCACAACATTTATGAACAAATTGTCTAAAATAGAAGCTCGATATTTATAAGTTTTGAAAGTGTAGATCGATCACACCGGTGAGAACACATTCGTCGTAATTGAAGGTTATATTAATTAAGGTTGCACAAGTTACTTTTGAAAATTAAGTGTTAAATAACGCGTATAAATCTATAACTAATACTATCATATTGACTTTTTAACAAAATAAATACACTGATGGAATATAAAAAATATTCATCTTCCCCTCATTGGAATTTGGGGTATAGATTACATTTCAATAGGAAATATAAACGCACACAAAATAAACATACCAATTAAGAACTGACCTCTTTTGTAAAGCCAGTTTAAAAAATAATAATTTATAATATCACCTCCAGAACTTCTTCTTTCAAATTAAAGATAAATTAACAAGTAACTTTACCAAAAGATATAAAAAAAGTGTAAACAGGTATAATGTCACTCCTATGGCCTACTCATATTTATATTTAATTTTATGACTGAATTTATTGATCCGGTTACTAGATCAATGGTGATATTATACTATTCCCTCTAAAATAATTTTCTATCACGTTGCTGGCTATTTTAGTAAAAAGTCATAAATCATTTAATGGCTTAATTTAATTTGATGGGTAGCTCTTAGCGTTTTGTTGCAGCCTATATTTTAATTTATTTTATAATTTTGCTTTGTTTGGTATTTATTTAGATTTGATAAGGAATTGGCAACGGCTACTGACTGCAGAGGGCGCGCGGAGTCGTCCGGCAGGCGCTGCAGTAGCAGCTCGTGGCGCAGCGTGAGTGCCTCGCCCCGCGCGCCGCCCAGCTCGCCCGCCCGCCCGGTCACGCTGTGCCGCCAGCGCTCCAGCCGCCCGCCCTCGCCCTGCTCATACCCTGCGCAACAAACGAAACGATGCTGATAATATTAACATTTAAGAAATTTCCTCCTCCTTACTTTAAAGGCATGACTATTTTAGATATATACCTATTTCGATACATTTATTCTTCCAATTGTAAAGTTTTTTTTTATTTAAGCAAATAAGTCTTAAGCATCAATTTTCCTTACCAGCAAAGGAAAACAATTCCATGTCGGGCAGCGCGGGTTGTGCAAGATCTGCCGGTTGGCTCGTTCGTGATGTTGCTTTTGCGCAGCGTCGAATTCCTCGATCCCCGGAACGATCTATCCGCATCTGAAAAAATATATTTATTATATTTTCAAGATTTCAAAAACCTCTACCTCATGCTTCTAGTGTCTAACTGCTATTAGGAAATTTCTATGTTTTTTTTGTGTAAGCTTGACTTAAATTTAAAAATGTTTAGATATATTTTATTACCTTTTACATGATAAATGTTATTTCATAATAATTCGAGATCATTCTTCATAAGTAACATGTAAAAATATATTTTCAATATTTATTGCACTTATGTGTATTTTGCTTGCGCATCACACTATATTAATTTCATTCCTAAACTGAAACTTACTTCTAAACGCTGCACACCACCATCAGGCATCACAGTCCGATATGTGGAGGTGGAACCGCCGTGAAAGTCAATTTTTGAGGATCCAGTTTTGGCATCCCACCTGCATAGTCATAGAAATATGTATACAATTTAAACACTTATTTGATAAATAATTTAATAGTATAAGAGTAGAGTGGCAAGTAGTGATCCAATTATTATTATTTTTATACAAAAAGATATTCTTACCATACAGTGTAAGCTTCAGTAAAATCTGCTCGCGGGACGGTGAGCTCGCCGTGCAATAAAAGCGGGCGGTCAAAGCGGGGCCGGGGGGGGTCGCGATTCCTTACATTTGCTCCAATGAATCCGCCGTACGCTCTCGATGGAAACGAGTTAGTGCTTTGGGCTGAAGTAGGTTGTTGTGAAGGTGAGATATCCGGTATCTGATTTGGACCCTCAACGTAGGAACTATCGACATCTTCAGGAATTGGCAACCGTTCGCTGCTGTCATATGATGACAAAAGTACAGGCGGCAGTCTTGGTTCTTGCGCAACTTGTGCGCGGAATTTTTCAACTAACTCTTTAGATGATACTACAAAAAAACATATTTGATACAATTTTAACAATAACATTAATCATTAACTAAATTACATCATATTATAAATAACATACTCGTTTTGTCAATAGGCGGGCTAGTAGGAGTTTCGTCGAGTTTTTCTACTTGTACGTAAGAAGGAAATGAAGGTTGTTCTTTTTTATGTGGTCGTCTGGGAGGTTCATCGTCGTTGGTATCACTAAACCTATCCTCAGGCCTCGGCTTCGGACGTCGACCCGTGCTGGGCGGGCGTCGAGTGGACGGTTCCCGCGGCCTTTCATGTGGCACATTATAATAATTGTCTTCATAATCTTCATCTTTGTTGGGATTGAACTTATTCGCAGTAGAACCAGTGTCACACTCTACGATTTACAATAAATATAATATAATAATATAATATAATAATAGCTTTAAATCTTTATGGTTTTCAATTATTTTCTTTTAATATTACTTACCTGGTCGTGGGGTCGGACGTGATGGAGAAAGTGATACTGGCAGTACTATTATAGGTATAATAGTATTTCGCGGCCGCAAACTGTCTACGAAACATATATTACAGTCATAATATGTAAATATTGTTATAACAGACAAAACTAATTTTGATTACACCTTGTATAGCTTACCTAAAACCATTTCATATGGATAGGCCGGAATCGGCCATCCGCCAACAGCCCGCCCCGAAGTTCGGGGAACAGGTTCATCCTGACTACCGACTCCGATTGCTAAAAATAGTAAATCTTCGTTATTATAATATTATCTAAAAATATAGACTTATTCATGTAATAAATTTTTATAAAATCTGGAAGTTCCTGGAGTCAACAGGACTAAGCGGAGAACTTTGAACTCACTATAAAGGGAGCTACAATGGACCAAAACTGGTCGACGTAGCTAGGGCCGACCTCGGCACCACACCCAACATTAATAATAATAATAATAATATTCATGTAATGATTATCATGTTCATGTTATCCAGCATCATTTTTGACCTGACAACAGTTGCAGCAGTGACTGATTGGGGGAGCGCTGCTCGCGCGCCGCCTCGGACAGTCGCTCCGTCTCCGCAGCCTTCACTGGGTCGAAACTCACTCTTGCAGGTTCAGCGTCCCCTAACGCCACACCTGTAAATCGATATAATATAAACCAATGATACATTTATATTACAAATAAGTATATAATAATATTCATATAAATATCTTTTTGGATTTTTTCGCGGATTTATTTTGATATTTTTGGTCCCCGACGTTCCGAATGCTCTATAGCAATCATCGTCACGGGAGAGACTAAGGTTTTAGGTGTCTCAAATGCATTATATAGTTGTTACAGGCCCACCCATTCAAACATTGAAAAATGGCACTGAAGTACATTACAATATTTGATAATTTTAATTTTAAACATTTTTATAATTTTAATAAGTATTATAATTGAATATGGGTTATTATTATAATTATTACATTTTAACGGTTCCATTCCATTCCAACTTCAAAAGGTAAAAAAAGGAACCCTTATAAGATCACTCTCTTGTCCGTCTGTCTGTCTGTCCGTGTGTCACCACCGATTTTCTCAGGAACGGGTGGACCTAGCAAGTTAAAATTTATACCAGATACTGAAGTATATAGTCCCTATTAGGTGTATAAAAATCAAGGTCCTGAGTTAACACCATAAAAAGATATGGTCAAATTTAGATTTTCGCGAAAACTTGTAAGTACCAAAATTTACCTTAATTTTCAATTTTTTTTTTCAGAATTTTCCCTGTAAGACTTTGCTTTTAACCAAAATTGACAATTCTAGGACAACCGAAAGTACTCTATAGGTTTTGAGTTGAAAACTTTTATGGTAGTTCTCGTTGACCTAGAATAACGAAATTTGGCAAAAAGCAAGGTCTTACAGCATAAATAAAAGAAAAATTCCAAAAAATAAAAAGAGTTGAAAATTAAAGTTAAACATGTTTCTACAAAGTACGGAACCCTCGGTGGGCGAGTCCGACTCAGACTTACCCAGATTTATTTAAAAAAACTTTATTAATTAATAATCTATATTTAGTGTTGCCATTATTATATTTATAAATATAAAAAAAAAATTAAATATTAATTATTCAAGCCACATTATTATTCTATGTGTAATTTAAAAAACTTAAAATTAATTAACACCTCCAGGTAAATTTTTAAGAAATTAATTAAATATCTAAGAAATCTATTGTTAACTGTAACGCCGCGCCGGCGCGTCCGCGTTCGTTGAGGGATTTAGAATATAATTTTTTTTTAGTTTGCTATTATTTAAAAAAATATTAAACAACACTATTACTACATGAAAAAATATAAATTTGAAATACATTCTGTGATTTTGATGCGCACAGTAAGAACTTACTACATCTGTCTGATATGTTTAATTTTTTACCTATTTTATTTTATTATAGTAATTACAGGATCCTACGACGATGGTAGTACCATATTTCCTATTGAAATTTGGATGTTTTTTAATTTCAATGGCTTCTCGAATCATCCTAAGGCGATATCGGGTTTTTATCACGAGGATTTGGTGTCTATCGAAGCAAATGTAGTTAGTGGCTTGGGCGGTCCTCGCCATGTTTGCAGACAGCAGATGTTGTATTGCGACGGTGTTTCAATCAGCTATGTGTTCTTTGACCCGGGTTCTAATGGATCGCTTTGTATGTCCGATGTAAGAGAGCCCACAATCAAATCTTGTAAATCAAAGAAAGCGTGTAAAAAAGCTTGTAAATCTTGTAAATCCGCGAAAAAATCCGGAAAGATAGATAATTTAAAATTCCAAATATTCGCGTAAATGTGAAACAATACATCTACATTTTTTTAAATAAAATATAATAAAAGTACTGGTTCTAAACCACATAATATCGTGCCGTTTTTTATTCGAGCCGCTCAAGAGGTAGACTCTTGCTGTAAGTATTATCATGTAATGTCCACGTTACGTAGCGTTCCTAATACAGTTTAGTGTAGCGTTACTTTTTACCAACTCATACAAACCATACAGTAGATAATAGGTATAGAGCTCAAGCTATGACTGCATATCCATTTGAGAACATGGCATTCTCACTCTACATTACATTAGGCATATTATGTAACACACATACAAAAAGGAGTCACAAATAAAGTCACGACTAAATATTTTATTATTGATATTATATTATTGTTTGTCATCTTCGGCCTTGGAATCGTATCGTTGACATTAACACGCCGCGTCCGCCTTAACTTTGAGCATTGCACTTGACCTTCCTTCAGAGCTTAAAAAGTTGTTTCATTTAATATTTATTAGATATTGTTTGTTCACGTTCTCTTTGCCAACGAAAACGTCGAATACAACTATTAACACTCCAACAAATATCGTTATTAACAAAACGTGGTTTCTTAGTTCATTTTAATAAAGCTCAATGTTTTTGAGAGCGCAGAAATGGAACCTTAATTATATTTCCTCATGTTCGTACATATTATTATTTGTACAATAAAATATGATCATTTACATATCTAATTTGTATTTTTGTATATAAACCCTTAAATGCAATAATTATAATTTTAATTAAAATTGTTTACTAGTTTACAACATTTTATACATATCTTTAAAAACCAAAGGCAATGAATGTTAAGTTCGTTGAATCGTTATGTATTAAAGGGAAAATTTGCTTTCTAAACTATCTATTGGGCGTTGCCGCAAAAAGCTCAACATAAATATTTCGTAACATAATGATCTTATAATTGTTTGAGTTACATACATACATACTCGTATGTAAGTCGTGTCATTCGTCTAAATGTCTCTGCCTACTGCGTCTCACTCTCAGTTAGGTTACAGGTTCAATTCCTACAAAATTCTTTTCCATATTATGAACTATATATTCGTATATATTTCAAATTAGTAGGAAACCATGTGTTATTTCAGTTTAGTTGTATAAGATTAGTGTAATAATGTAAAAGCAAGCATTGTCTTGACATTTTTGTTGTCACAATATAACTTAATTTACACATAACATAATAAAATTAAAACCTTACCGCGAGATGTATTTACATTGTACATACTCGTATGTACATATGTCTCCGACTGCATAATACTATGTTCCTTGGTGAATTTGTTTTCATCTTTTTAGTTATCTTTTATGCAGTCGGTTTTTTTTTATAATATATTTAATTATTTTTTTAGTTAAAAAACGACATGTTTTTTTATGACTAAAATCAGCCCACGCGTTTGGTCTAAATAGTGACACAAAGGTACAAACCCACATACATATGTACATACATACATACATAGGCTGATAAACACATTACCCTCCTTTGCGTCGCGCAGTTGGGTAAAATAGGTAAGACCAATATTGTTTTTTAAGCTTTAAAAAATTAAATTTTTGCGTAAATAGAAGTTAACTTAAAAGCTATAAAATTAAATTATAAAGGATATAAATGATATAATAAAAATTACATATTTTACCTTAAAAACATCAAAGAGTACTTTTTTGTTTGATGATTAAAAATGTATTTTAATATATTTTTATATTATATAACAATTTTCAAGATTCAAAATGTAAAGATTAAAAAAAATATTTTAAATAAACATTGTAGAGTATATATTAAACAATGCTAACAATTAAACATAATATACAACTCACCGAGGACGGCGAGAGCCAGCGTCACGCTGAGCCACATGTTGAATTCAGCTTGTTCCTTCACTTCACTGGGCGCCGTCACGCCGCCTCTATCACGTCAGTTCACGTCGATGGTCACGTCGGTGGTCACGTCGGTGGCCGCGACCGTTGCCACTCGCGTGCTACGACACTGTCTCACAGATGCGTGTCCTCTCGATACATCTCTGCCCCACCTCTATTATAATGACTTATGACTTTTAACCTTTATCTTTACTGGCCATTTCTAACTGCGAATTTTATAAATTTTGAAATTAATTCTCCATTAGTGTTCCGCTTCAGCTTCGGCGATTAAATGTTTTCGAATGATAAGGCATTTGAAGGAGGTCTTTACTCCAGGTACATACTTAAGTACTATTTATTTATTTATTTATTTACTATATACTTATACTTTAAAATACATAAAATTCATTTAATTTTCAACCGACTTCCTCAAAAAGGAGGAGGTTCTCAATTCGCCTGTATTTTTTTTTATGTTTGTTACCTAGAACTTTGTCATTTATTAACCAATTTTTGTTTTATTTAAAAGTGTATACTTCCAGATTGGTCCCATTTAAATTTAAAAAAAAAATACCACCCCTAAGGGTGGAAAAATAGCTAATGATGAATTTCACCTACTTCTAATTGTCATATTGACTTGAAACTTTGCAAGTGTTTCTATTTCCGTTGATAGTACAGTGGTTCGGTATTGTTGACCTGATCTGATGAGGTGGATAGGTGGAGCTCTTCAACGAATGATGAAGGTGGATAGGTGGATTTCTTCAACGGCTAATAGTAGATACTTTGAGTTTGGGCTTATTTTGTTTGATATGACAAGCCTAGCCTTGCCTTGTATGGGCTGGCACCGATTTCGAAAATATTTGATTAGGTATGTATTTAATAGATAGACTTTAATTACTTAGCCAAAGCACACCGACTTCGAAAAATATTTGATTAGGTATGTATAGTAAATGAAAACTACCAATCAGTTATTTTTTACTTTTTAGTGCTTTTGTTTGATGTCGGTTTTTATTTTTTTGTTAAAAAGTTTTTATCTAAAAATTATGTTGTATATATTTTTACTATAGAATTAATGCTTCAGGACCTTTTGCCGTGAATTGAGAACTTCCTCCTTTTGTTTAAATCAGTACAAATATATTGAAATTTTTCAAATTGAAAAGAAAATTAATAATGTTCTGTTCTACATTTCAAAATACATATCTGACAGAATCCAATGTAAATATAAAAGAAACAAACATAAAAAGTGAATAAATCGATTGTCACTATACAATCTACATCGGTACCTATAAATTTATACAATAATATTAAATCAAAGTAATAAAAAATTACTTTTTACATTTTTTTACAACACACAAAATATACGTATAATGCATAACCTACAAAAAAAATTTGTAGGTTAGGAAATTAGCAAAATGTTTTAATTTAATGTTATTGAATGATGCCACATGCACCAACAATTTTGTGTACGTTTCCGTACTCACATATTATGTATAGGTACATATATTTTGTCTTCTTTTTATTTAAAGCAACTAGTTAATACTCTTAATTATCATATATCGCAACAAGTTGATGAACTTAAACTTGATGGCAACAAGTTTCGTGGGACGTTGAGTTTCACAACCGCGCGCCGCGACGACGGCGTGTCACAACGTTAACATTAAACATCGGCTGGGCCATCTCGGCATCGACGACTTGAGTATATCGGTGGATGGATTTTGATAGAATTCTTTTATCGTAAAGGTAATAATCCAATTCAAAAAAAAGCTGAATATCATTTAAATTGGTCCAGCAGCTTGATATGGCCGTTTTGTACTTAACCTACTAGATATCTATATCTATAAATATCAAGTAGATATAATGTAGCCCCTATTATGTAGAACAGACGGACTGATGACGGACAGGTAACTAATAGAGTTCCATGGCGACTGTCCATGGAAATTCTAAGAAAATACTTTTTACTCACCTGATGTTTCAAAAAATTCTTTCATTATTAGTGGATGTATTGGAATGAACACTTTGTTTAAACGATGTTAATGTGAAGTAAATTATTATGGTATACACCATCACACAAAGATGTTGAAGTCTGCGCGGGACACGACCCGGGCCTGGCGGAGGGAGTGCGGGTATTACGTGAGATGTAACTATGAGTTAGCATAACATTCGAACATAAAAGTCGAACAAAAAAACAAATCGAGATGCTATCATCACTATTATTTACGATGTATTTTATTGTATATCTACCGGATATATATTATATTCGTGCAAATAATATTACAGTCAAGGAGAACTTTTAGAAGCCGGCAGCTTCAGCAGTGATCGTGTGGGTCTGAGAATGAGTGCGCCTCACTCGCTATCCACAAAGCTAATATTGTTCACTACGTCATCTGTCATTGTAAATTAAATTTATATGAACCATGAAAAATAAAGATATGAACCTATTAAATATGCTAACTTACTAAAACTTTAATTTCTCTATCTATTGAATTCGTAGAAAATTGTCAGTGCCAATCGTTCTGACGAGTGATGAGGGTCTCGTAAAACATTAAACCAGCTCCTTTGAGCTCTTCGTTGTATAGGCCCTCATATAAAGCGCGGGTCATGTTCACTAAACGTAGACCATAATTAATTGAACACACGGGCGAATCCGCACGCAGAGGCTAGTAGCCAATGAAATCAAACACCAACCCCGCAATATTTTAGTTGTTTTGTATAAAATCTTGTTTTATACAGGTTTTTTTACTTCTATGTGATACACGAGTATTGCTTAAACAGAATAACACAAGTTGTTTAAAATTGATAATGGTTTGTTTAGAAGTACATATTTATTTACACAGTTGTTTTATTTATAATGTAAACGCTTTATATACTTTTATCTAGTTGCTAGTTTAGCTGGATCAAGATTTTATTTTATAACTTTATTTAGTCAAAAATTATATGCGAAACAATTACTTGTAATTTATATATAATACCAGCAACTTACCCTCGCTTCGCTCGGGTGCGTCCCTGCTTGCTTTAATTTTTTTGAGCGGACGCAATTTTTTTTTTAAATAAATGTAACTTAAGTTACTCCTTATAACATCAGCTATCTGCCAGTGATAGTCCCGTCAAAATCAGTCCATTTGTTCCGGAAACGAGTTGGAAGAAACAGACATACAGACAAATAGACAGACAAACATTTTAAAAATTTTGTTTTTCTTTTAAGTACCGTATATATATATATATATATATATATATATATATATATATATATATATGTATATATATATATATATATATATAACATAATAATACCGTATATAAATAAATAAACACTGGAATTTTATTTATCTGTACCTATGGATATTTAATTAAAACAGAGTAGGTAATAATAATCTACGAAAATCGTTCGCCATCGCCACGCCCGGACGGCCCGGAACAAAACACCGCGTTGACCCCTTGCTGCGTGATGAAAGGGCACACCAAGATAAAAAAAAATCTATGTGAGCATTAGTCACTAAATTGACCTGTACTTTAACAATTGCGGATTTGATTCTGTAGAATAAATGTTAGAATTTACCATGCAGTTAACAGACAGTGCAAGTTTCAGTGTTTGTAATTGTTTCTAATGTTTTGTATCCGATCGTGGCAATGTAGAGGAAAAATTAGTGAACATTTAAAACGAAAACTTATGAGAGAGCGTCGCACGGGCGCCGCGGTTCCATAAAAATAACATTAATATCATCAACGATGGACCAATAGAGCCGTGAATAAAATATTATGAAACCGGTCAAGGATCTTATAATCGTAAATCTTAAAGATCTTATACATCTCTATGTAGAGCGATACTAAGAAAATCGCCGCGAATTTAGACTCAAATTATTTTCATTACAAAGACATCAACGCGCACACATCAACAGTCAACACATCGCCACGCGGCGGCCGACGTGAATGCGAGCCTTTATAGCATTCGCTTTGATTAGTTTTTTATAATTCGTTGATTTATTTACATGTAATAATATGATGTATATTATAATTCAAACATTTTAGGTTACTTTGGTATGTTACCATGAACACACTCTTTTAATATAGGTATATATTTTAATTTATAGCTTTTAGATGCCTGAAGATCTTTTCAAGCGAAATAAATATTTTTAATCTTAATATTAAAACTGCCAACTTTTTCGATATTTTTTGTAAACTTAAATAAATATATGTAATTTTTATGAAACATATGTATTATAGGTACCTACTTACAAACCTATACAATAAAATATTAGCAAAGTGAAATCTGTACATGAAATATTTTTTGAAAACAACTAATATAATGTATTATGTACAAATTCTATTCAATTCTTTTTCTGTGACTAATCTAAGGGTAAGTATACAAATTCAAAATATTTTATTCACCATTAAATTATTCCATTTTTTTATGGAACGCCATAAATCTACTTACTAGTCGAAAAGAAGAAGCCTCACACCTGAGAAGAATTGGCGAAAGAAACTCAACGGGACAACACTTTTTTATCTGTTTTGTAAATTAATTATTAACTACAATAATAATTCTAAATAAATTGAAGTTACCTAGAGGCGATCACATCATTCTCAAGGCGTGCCATCTCCTACAAAATCATTAATTGCGTTATAATTGTGTAATTTTTACCACACAAATCTTCTTAACATTTTTTTTTATTTAGAAATACATGGAAGCTTTTGAACGTTTTCTGGGTTCCTCTTGTAAAAACGTATACGTTGTCCATAAAAAAAGAAAAACTGACTGTATAAATGAGTCGCAAGCATAACAAGTTTGTACGTGCTCCTAGTATCAATGTTATATGTCATACTTCTTGAGAAATTCGTGTATATTTTTACGTACACATACTAAGAAGAAACAGTCAATATTTATATAAACTAATATCTTAATCATACTCTAGGACCTAAACTATAAATTGCACACATAGCTCTTTTCTGCAGGACAAAATCGTTTTAATAGCGACTGCGTTTCGGTGTCGAGGATTTTATTAATTTAGTCTTTTGCTTATTTAATAATAGGTTATTAGAATCGAACCAAGAGACAACCTTTAAGAGAGCATCGTGTACATCTTCGTATATTAATAAATTACACTTTGCTTTAAAAATAAGTGAAGCGTCATCAGCGAACAATACTACTCGTATGTATCTCATGTTTGTCCTGTACAAAAAATGACGAATCATTAATATAGATGAGAGAGAGAAAGGGGTCAAATAATAAATATAGACCTTTGTGGAATCCATATTTAATGGAGCACCAAGAGATCTCCTACCATTTACGTAACCCTCTATATTCTATTATTTAAATACGAATCCAGAAGGTCCAGTGCCTTTTTTCTAATACCATTGTGATGCAGTTTCCTGATCATTGTCTCTTGATGCCCACAATCAAACCTTGGATAAGTCACAGAATATCCCAAGTGCATCCTGTGTTTGTGTGTGTGTGCGTGCGTGCGTGCGTGTACGTGTGTGTGTATGTATGTATGTATGTCACCCCGTCAAATGACAAATCACCCGTAACGAGAACTCCATGGAACGATTGGTAGTGCAAGGGAAAGTCGAGGGCAAAAGATCTCGTGGACGTTCTCAAACACGGTGACCTACTCCAGCACTCCACGTCCACTCTGTAAAAAGTGCACGACTAAGAAGAAGAATCCTGTTACCTTTCCCAAGCCTCAAACTCAACACTAGCATCTATTGTGGAGGAGCGGCCTTTCGTAAAGTCCTATCGTAAGTAGATTGCTCATTGAAATTTTCCATAGAAACTTGATTAAAGAAGTACCTAGAGACGCACCGAGCGGAGCGAGGGTAAGTCGCTAGTATATTTAAAAATTCATAAATGGCTTATAAAACAAGTGTTACTTACGTCGGTAGTATAATCTTAAAATGTAAATAAACTTTTGAATTTTGCAACGTTTAAAATTTAAATGGTAATTGAGATAGGCAATAGGCATTATACGTGTATTGCAACACGCGCTGCGACATCACGCATCCACTCGTAACAATCTTTCTAACGAGCAATGAGTATTATAGTGAGCTCCACTACTACTGGTTATGAGTGATACATCTCAAAACTATTAGAAATTAGGAAGGATGATTTGAGTATTCAATTTAATGGTAGGGGAGATTTAATGGAGGTGCGTTGAGCCCGTCAGATTAGTAAAAAAAGATTTTAAAAACTATTGTTTTGTGCTCTATATTATGTACATAATACGTTACAAACAAAAACAAATCTATCCCACGAGAGCCGTACATTTTTCAGGGATAAATAGTAGCCTATTTGTTATTGTGATGTATGAACTATATTATTGTAAAGTTTAATTAAAATCCAATCAGTAGTTTTTGTGTACTAAGCTGTATAAGTTACGATAGTTTTTTAACTATCCCACAGGAACTCTTTACTTTTCCGGGATGAAAAGTATCTAGGATGTAGACCGGGGATATAAGGTACCACCATGCAAAATTTCATTTAAATCGGTCTAATAGATTCGGAGATTAGTCCGTACAAACAGACAAACAGACAGAGAAACAAGAAATTTGAAAAAAATCTGGATTTGTTCTATTTCTTTTCTTACATCTCTCTGACTCTGTTTTTAGCAAAAAAAAATTCTATGTACAGACATTCGACCTCGACACTTTTATTATAGTATAGATTAAAATAGCGCAACCCTACTTTTTTTCGTTTTAGAACCTAATTTTCATTCTTCACAACCCAATAGGTCCCATGACTCCAGGCTCCCCTACTGTAATTTATGTGAATGAAATAAACAAAACATTTTATGTATACATATAGTAATATTCTGAGTCGAATCTGTACATTAAATATTTTTTGGAAAACCTTATTAAAATAGACAATATTTTCGATACAGAGGCCGAGGAATCTATAGTTTTTAGATTTTTTGTCTGTCTGTCTGTAACCGAATCACAGAAATACCACAGGAGGGATTTTGAAGAAATTTGACATGGTAATAGATGGTTATCCGGCTCAACATATAGGGGAAATCACTGCCATCATTTAAGAACCATGCGATGAAATTATTGTATGTATGTAAGAGTATACTAATATATATAAAACCTAAGAATTTGGTTTTTGGCCATCTAAACGCGGCGGGAGCCCGCAGGCAATGCTAGTAAATTGTAACTTTATAGCTACTAGCAGGAGTTTTGTCTAAATATTTATTTATTTAATTTCCACAATTTATATAAAACTGTAACCTTTTTGTTGCTTGTAGGCTTGATATAGGATTTTATTATAATTCGTCCACAGGGGTGTTGCAGTGAGTGCGCAAGCGATCCTGCACGCCCCATTGCAATGCGGCGAAGGGTTCCGCTGTGGGTTTTAGTGAGTAGGAGTCTAACAGTACCTTGTCCGTTATGACGGCGGGCAGGGTCCCCATGATGGGTTTCCCCAGCGACAACAAAAAAAAGGGATTTTATTATAATAGGCATGTACTGTGTATATGTATTTGATATTTCACTGTTGACTAAAACTCTCATAAAATTGCTTAGTATATCTGCATTTTTAATCAAAAACATATAATATACTAAGGATTTACACTTGCTTCATTCAGGTTGTCTCTAGGTCCCTAACAATAGGCCCTGTGTTACTCCAGGCCCTAGTTATACTAAATTTCATACAAATCCATTGAGCTGTTTTAGAATGACACACACACACACACGCAACTTCTACATTTATATTAGTAGTCCAAAGTTCCATTACTTGCAATAGGCATAACTATAAATTTATTATTTTTAAACATACAAAATCATAATAAAAATCAAGTCTTCCAAAAATGTATTATTTTTATTTATACAAATAATGAGATATGAAACTATTGCTTCATGTTATATGTACAACTCAAGTCAATATTTACAGTAAAAATACTAAGAATGATTGAGATCAAATGCTAGTACTGAATACAAATGAATCAATTCATAAATATTACATATATTACATTACATATTTCCCCCATTCAGCAAAAACTAGGTTCTATTTGATTACATTACAGTTTGAAATTAAATACAATTTTGTTTATCATACAATTACTTTATTCACAATGTTTTGTTTGATAGATTTGTTGCAACATTTTACTTAATCTTATATATATACTAAAAATTATATTCTGTTAGTATTACCATACCATTACCATTAAAATACAATCACAGTAATGCAATCATACCAATCATATCTCAAACTTTAATGAAAACCTAGAACTAAGATGTATGTGGTGACAGTTACCTCCTGCTATTTCCTCTTTGATGACCACGGCCACGCACATAAGTTTTATGTTGGTGTTTGCTGTTGTGTTCTTGATTGTTCTGTGAAAAGCGCTCATTCTTGGGTGCCATTTGTTGAGTGCCAGGAGCAGACGGTTGAGAAGTAGGAACCATATTTCGTGCTGGAGCATGGGCACCATTTGTGCGATCCGGAGGTGGTGCGGATACGGCAGGCGGTGGGGTCGGCTGTGGCTCACTCATGTTAACTTGTTCATTGAACAGCATACAGAACTCTCCAACTTTCTGAATATCGCCAGATTTACCAGAATAGAGGGTGAGTGCAGATCGCCAGAGAGAAGCATAGCCGCGCGTCAGGCGCACGATGTCGCCCGGCTGCAGCAGCGCGCCAGGCTCGTCCCATACAGACAGATTGACGGACGCCGTAGCGTCCGCCACGCGCAACGTGCGCACTTCGCGCGCCTCCTTCGTCAGCGTCGGCGGGCCTACCTCTAATACTATAAAAATAGCGTTAATATTCTTCATTCCAGGTTTCAGATCCTTTATTTGTACATATTCTGTGCTACTCATTGTACTGTAGTTTTAAAATTATGTAAATAAAATATTAAAGTCAACTTTGGCTTCTTCCTTAATTATTAATTGTAAGTTTAAATTATAAATTGTATGTATAAGTAAAAAAACTAAAAAATCTTTTGAATCAACAACTGCATTAGTAATATACAATTCATAATTCATTGATTTCAATTTGATAGCTTTCAATTTTGTAACAGACATTGGCACTTGGCAGTCAGCTGTTGTGACAGTATCAGTTTATTAATTAATTGAAACTTTATATGTACTGATTAAATTTTAATAAATGTAAATACTATCATTATTTTTTTAATAAATTAAAGTGCCTCCACTAATGCTAAACAGTCATTGTTAAACATTAAATCTAATATTATATAATTTTTCCAGTCCATCAAAGCTGCCTTTTTGACAGATGTCAGTAATCTGTGGTGAATTGTGATATGATAACTGAGAAGTGACAAAAAACAGTCAACAGAAAACAAATGTAATTTGAAATTTATTTTATTTACTAATTCAAATTACTTGCTTTTGCAATGTTGTGAAATTCCTTCTAGTGCGTTCACGAATTATAAAGCTATTATTGTATGATTTCAATTACAATTACTAATAAAAAAAAAGGTACCGGTAAAACAATTCAATCGAATAAATCCCATTTTAGGTTATATTTTTAGTAGAAGAAAGCAATAAAATGTTTAATCAACTTGGCGGTGGGAGTAGTAACCCAAATAAAGATGTGGAAGTAGCATCACCTCCTGACGGCACTGTATCTGCTCTAGAATTCTCACCACCCTCAGTCCCACAGACATTTCTTGTTGCTGGCAGTTGGGATTGTCAGGTAAGTATTTTGTATTTATTAGTTGTAGAATCGAATTCAAATAAAATAAGAATATGCATTTTTACTAATTTGTAGGTAAGATGCTGGGAAGTTGAAGCTTCTGGTAAAACAGTGCCAAAGGCGGCACAAGGCATGGATGGACCAATATTAGATGTAGCCTGGCATGATGTAAGTGTTGTTCTTAAATCAATGTGTTTACATTTTATGATAATTAATGTAGGGTTCATTTAAATTATTATTTTTATCAACAAATTTATTATTTTATTTAATCTGAAAATATCTATTATTATGATAACTTAATTAATGTAGGGATCATTTAAATTATTATTTTTATCAACAAATTTATTATTTTATTTAATCTGAATATATCTATTATATAAATATTCATTCTTGCCTGTAATGTAAATAATATCATCCTTTTTCCTTCTAGTTCTTAATGCATTGCTACTATGGATTTACATACTTTTGCATTAATAACATTACTATTAAAATGTTATATTTTAGGATGGCACAAAGGTGTTCATGGCATCTACAGACAAGAGTGTTAAATGCTGGGATCTAGCAGCAAATCAGACAATACAGGTACTATATTATATTTAATATGTATAATTATCATTGCTCATAATAATTATTCATAAAAAAATGACAATATTATTAATATTAGGTATAGATCTCATATTTTTCGTTTTCTTGAACATAATCTTAAAGTTTTTTAAGTAAGCGAATACTTGCAGGTAGCGGCTCATGATGCTCCAGTTAAAACCTGTCATTGGGTCAAGGCACCTAATTATACATGTCTTATGACAGCATCCTGGGATAAAACTCTTAAGGTTTGTGTTGTTGTGAGTGTACATTTAACTTTAACATTTGTAATTAATTTATCATGTCTGAGCAAAGTGAGGGTGGGCTGTAATATTGTAAATGCAAAAGGCACTTATTAATACAGTCAAGCAATTGTCAGTTACTAGTTTTTCGCATCAGCGGTATAGCAATGGGATGGCAGGTGTGGTCCATCCCACTGTAAAAATCAACAAACTCATTGGTTAAATATTTCATGATGACAATCATCCATTAAATAATAAATATATAATGTGTACACTTCCTTTCACGTCATTTAGTTGGTGGTGGGTATTTTGTTACCATTACAGTTTGTTTAGGAAAAGGTGTCCTTGTATTTTTTTTGGAAGGGGTGACACCATCTGTCACATCATGGGTGTCACTTGTGCATCACTACCTACACTACCAGCTGGACTACTACAATTATTAGCAAAGTTAATAGTATAAAATCAATGCATGTTACAGTTCTGGGACACGAGGAGCTCAGTGCCAATTATGAACATGAATTTATCGGAGAGATGCTATTGTGCTGATGTTGTAAGTATTCAGGGAAATATAGCATTATTCAATAATTTGAAAAATAAAAGATTTAAATCATTTACTGAGATTTTTATATTATTTAATATTTCAATATAAATATCAAACAAAATAATGTGTGTGGTATACTGCTTGTGTAGCACACTTAACAAAATATATACACTCAAGATTTCCATATATGAATATTTTAACTAACAAAATGCAAACATATATTAGCTGTAAATAACTCGCAAATAATTGAATTAAAAAATATATCTAGGATTACCCAATGGCAGTAGTGGGTACTGCAGACCGAGGCATTTGCCTCTATACCCTGGAGGGTAAACCAGCAGAGTTCAAACGTGTGGAGTCCCCACTCAAATACCAGCACCGCTGCATCGCTATATTCCGCGACAAGAAGACGAAGCAGCCCACGGGCTTCGCCCTCGGTAGCGTGGAGGGACGCGTGGCAATCCAATACGTCAATCCCACCAATCCTAAGGATAACTTCACTTTCAAGTGCCACCGGTCGGCCGGCACTACAGGAGGCTACCAGGTTAACCTTTATAACAAACAGTTTCTGCTTACGGCTTTGCGCGCGAAGTACAGTCATAGTAAAATAGCCTTTTCAACAAAATTCTAGTTTAAAAGAGAAAAAAAATAGCAAACAAACTTACTTTCTTTATAATATTAACATAAGGATTATTTTCATTTGATTGATTGACAATATCATTACAGGACATTTACGCAGTGAATGACATAGCGTTCCACCCGGCGCACGGCACGCTGGCCACCGTGGGCTCGGACGGCTCGTTCTCCTTCTGGGACAAAGACGCGCGCACCAAGCTCAAGTCCTCCGAGCTGATCGACCAGTCGCTCACCAAATGTGCCTTCAACCACAATGGACAGATATTTGCCTATTCTGTTGGCTACGATTGGTCTAAGGTTTGTTCAGTTCATTTTATAACAAAAAATTGAATTTATCTCTACTACATGTTTATTGTCAGTCTTCGGGCTTATTGTTAGATGATTAGATCAATAAGGACTGAAAAACTGACTTTGTAACATGGGTAATATAAACACCATCTACAAACAATGTTTTTATAATTATATGTATCTATTTATTATATTTTTATTGAACCTACTGATACCAGTAAATAACTGTAGCAAGCTCCATCCACCAAGTGTCCTCAGTTTGGGCTGTGTGAAGTGCGAACTTAGCAACCGACTTTGGATTTTTTTTTTGGGTTTGAAAGATTTCAGTAAGTAGTAGATAGTAGTGAAGCTAACTTTGTTTGTAGTAGTGCCTAAAAATGATGATGATGCTCTCCTAGCCGATTCCGGCCACGGCGGCCAATCTCAATGAGATTAGCCAACTGCGCGCGCAGGAGATATTATAGTGCTCAAGTGTACGCGCAGACACAAGTGCACTCTCTATTCCTATCACTCTCATACTCCGGTGGGACGACCACTCGACACGACCGGTGAGAGTTAATGCACAGGACCGACGGCTTTACGTGCTCACCGAGGCACGGGCCTAAAAATACATACAACATAAAAAATGTCACCATTCTAAATTGAAAAAGTCACCACTTACCGAAATCTTTCGAACAATTTTTCCGAAGTTGGATACTAAGTTCACACAGCCCTCGGTTTGCATCTATCTATCCAGTATATATATTACTACTACTATCTAAATTGGATATTATTTAGAAACAATGTGCCTGCCCCGCTCGTTCTTACGAGACAGGCGGTTTTGTTATATACTAGAGAGTAGACTTACCGTCGCTTCGTTCGGGTGCGTCTCTAGGCAGGGGTACGCGGATTTTGTTCACAATTTCATGGGCTCTGTTTTTTTTCGCGGAATCCTAATTTTTTTCTAAAATAATAGTAGCCTAAGTTACTCCTTATCTATATTAATATTATAATGAGGTAGTGTGTGAGATTGTGACGTTGTATGGGGTAATCTCTGGATCTACTGAACCCATTTAGATGAAATTTGGTAAGAAGGTAGTTCGAGACCCTGGGAAGGATATAGATACTTTTATCTCGGAAATCATCCCTTAAGGGGTTGAATATTGGGATGAAAGTTTGTATTTGGAAGCAAGCGGCTAGGGACGAACCCGAGCGAAGAGAGGATGACTCACTAGTAACAATAAGAAAGTATGTGAAAGTGAAGGTTTGTCAAAATCTACGATTAGCCTGAACCAGAACAGACGGGTAAAAATTTTAAAAATCGTTTTTTTTCCTATAAGCACCGTAAAACATGCATCTAGTAAAAAGCTGTTACTTTGACATTATAAATAGACACTCCAATTTTATTTATTTGTATAGATTTTTCTTATATAAAAATCAAATAGGAAACTATGTGTCAATGATTCTATCTGTCATCATGAAACTATGTGTCAATGATTCTATTTTTCTATATATAACTACACATAGTAAGCATATGCAGTAAATTTAACTATTTTTTTAACTATTTTACTTTGTACCTAGGGCCATGAGCATTACAATCCAGCCAAGAAGAACTTTATATTCCTTCGACCCTGCTTTGAAGACTTGAAGCCTCGCTCGACATAGCTGTCAATGCCTATTATTTTAAACAATTTTTTTTAATACCTGTTACAGAAATTACAATTAACATAAAGTAATAGAAATGAGAGCTCTTTATTCTCATTGAATATTTAGATCAATAAAGAAAATATCCAGAATAAAAATACACTTTGATTGATTAAATACTTAGTCTTTTTTTTATTAGTATCCTTAATATCCTCACAAACATTTTTATTTATAAAGAAATGAGATCACTTTGTTTCCTGTAACTGTACACTTATTGTTTTTCTCTGCTTAGAATTAGCTTTTCGCAGATTCTATTTTGTGGGTTTTTATATGAAGTATATCTCAGGTGATTAAATAATGAGTGCTGCATTATATTTATCTAAAACTCAAATGTGGTAACAGAATAACATGTTCATTGATTCTTAACTAATAATAAAAATAATCATAAAGTTTGAATTTGTATTCAAGAAAATATATACTAATAAAAGTGTAGGGAATAATATTTTATTTATGTATTCACATTATTAATTAAGAAAATATTATTAATATATGTAAACTATGTGTGAATTAAAATTATAAAATATGTAAAATCATTTCCAACATGATTACCACTTGTCTTAACGGTGAAGGAAAACATCGTGAGGAAACCTGCATGTCTTAGAGAACTTAGCAAGTTTTCGAAAGACATGTGAAGTCCGCCAACCCGCACTTGGTCAGCGTGGTGGACTATGGCCTGATCCCCTTCGTATTGAAGGGAGGCCCGTGCTCAGCAGTGGGACGTTAAAAAGGACTGAATTAAAATAAAAATATTTAAAATAAAATCTGTACTTACAATAAAAGTGTAACTGATCGCTGTCTGTACATGGAAGATATTTGAGAAAAACTATCATCGGGGGTGTTTATTTACACAATAAAACCCAAAACAATGATTTTAGGAATTTTTGTCTGTGCGTTTGTGCGCGCTAATCTCAGAAACGGCTAAACCGATTTGGATGTAGTTTTTACTAATATATTGTGGTAAGCTTCACTTATCATTTAGTATTTGCTTTATTTCAATTGGTTCATAAATAAAAAAGTTACATCAATTTAAAGAATCACCTAGGGACGAACCCGAGCAGAGCGAGGGTGAGTCGCTAGCTATATAATAAAATTGTTCAACGAACACTTGGACTTGTTCAACAAACACTTAATATTATTTAATCGCTATCGCTTGTGGACGGAGCCAACTGCCCGCCAGAATTACCACACAGGCTGCTCACACCCGCTATCGACGCTAGGCTTGTATCTCTTTGTACTCCACTGTTTTAATTTGCTCTTTCATATAACTTATGCCATCTTCCTTTGTTTTATATGTTACGTGTACAAACTGTCTTAACTGTGCTGTCTTCCACACCTTCTGATACTTCTAACCTTAAGTATACTACATATTGTGCAATATATCGCATTCAAGAGATGGTGGTTTAATTTAACGCCTCATAGAATAACTTTATATCACTTGCTACCACGACTTCCACACTGGCAGCCACCCCTACACTGGTGACCCTGACGTGATTCAACCTTCCGGGAATTAATTCACTTATAGTTTACATATTAATAATATTTTCATAATTAATAATGTGATTACATAAACAAATATTGTTCCCTACAAATGTATTAATTTAAAATATATTTATGTATAGAGAAATAGAGGCATTAAAAAAGGATATTTTAAATGATTAAAATAATTATATTATCATATCATTATATATAATAAAAAAATGGTCTAACAATCAATTGTGTAATAGTGAAATTCACATTCTAATTAAATATGGCTATCTAGTGATGGTCACCATGGCCATGGCCATGTCCATGTTTATCTTCACCTGTCATTTTATCAAAAGCAACAGTGGCTACTGTAAGGGCTAAGCCGAGGGGAAGGCCTCTGAAAAACAATTTGCGAGCACGTTGCCAACGGGTGCCAAATCCAGGGTGATACCTCCAAGCCTCATTCCTGTAAAGTTTGATACTCATTGTAGTGTATGCATAAACATATGCATAACAGTGCAATTAGATCATTAAGGCAGTATTAAATCTACAGTCAAGATAACTAGATGTGTTATTTATTCCCTAACCTCCCAACCTTATACTCATATTTAAGGTTTTTTTTTATAATTTTGAAAATAATATTAGTATTTACGAAATTACTTTCTGAAAGCTTATAGTTCATTCATGTTAAGAAAATAGTGAGCCATCAGTGTCCACCGGCCTAGCCACACCCCCGACCAATTAGATTGCATAAAATTATAAAGTCATATTTTACAATGACCAGATGAAGGCAGACTTAAATATAGGTATTATTAATGACTTTATTTTGATTAGAGATAATTATGTTCATTAATTATCTCAAAGCAAAATATAGTCATTATCATTATAAGATAACTTTATTTTGATTTAAGATAATATGTATATTAATTACTAGCGGCTCACCCTCGCTTCGCTCGGGTTCACCTCTAGAAAAGCACAAACAGATCTATCCCACAGGAACCGTTTATTTTTCCGGGATGAAAAGTAACCTGTTGTTTGACCGGTAATATAAGGTATCAGCATGCCAAATTTAACTAAGTTAGGTGCGTAAGTTGTTGTGTACTAAGCTGTATAAGGTACTATAGTTTTTTAAATATTCCACGGAAACTCTTTAATTTTCTAGAATGAAAAGTATCTTAGATGTTGACTGGGGATATAAGGTAGTACCATGAAAAATTTCATTTAAATCGGTTCAATAGTTTCGGAGATTAGCCCGTACATACAGACAAACAGACAGAGAAATAACCTCTACAGTTTTATTATATGTATAGATAGAATAAATAACGTATAATAAAACAGTAATATATATAATATATAATAATGAAAATAGTTATAGCGAGTGTACCTTAGGAGATAGACATACTATGTAGAACTTTTCTATAGACCTTTTTAAGACTTACAATTTTCTTGCACAATGTTTTGATCTATCTCTTAAGGTTGAGCCAACGTTAGCCATATAAATTTCTTCCCCCCCAATGTGCGTTCATCTTGTCGTGGGGGAGGGGGGCTCAGTAGTGCCCGGCAATTCAGCCGGGCGCAAAGCCAAGAAACGCACAGGGAGGTGGCCCACTTCGGTGGGCGATGGAAGGTGGCCCTCTTAGGTGGGCGGTGTACCATGCGGGGATTCTCCTGGTACTTCTCTGATAGCAGAGTGGACCTTGGAGCAACCCCATGGTTGTGGTGTCTGCTTTGGCAGACCTGCCGTTGTTGGGTTTTACTGGGTAGTACTGGCTTGGCCGGTGAGTCCCACACCTCGTACGTAAATGCATTTCCCAACGTTAAAAAAAAATATAAATTTCTAAGGACGATTCGATAGAACCAGTTATTGTGTTTTCCCGTGGGAATGAATAATTTGCCTGTCGTAAAAGGTATCCTAAATATTGACCCGAGTACTAAGTTTTATCACTATACAAAATTTAGTTAAAATCGGTTGAGTACTTTTTGCGTGAAACGCGCACATCGATTTGACTAAGTTATTTTTATTATACGTATAGATAAGAATAAATATTGCGAGTGTAACTTAGTAGATAGACATATACAATTCAGAACTTTTTTGTAGGACTTTTCAATACCTACAATTTTTTAGTATATTGTCTTAAGGCTTAGCCAACGGTAGGTTTCTAGGGAGGACTCGATAAAATCAGTTATTGTATTTTCCCGTAGGAAAGAAAGATTTTCTTGAAGTAAAAGGTATCTAGGCAGTGGTATCCTAGTGGTAACGCGCTCACTTGGGAAACCGAGTGAAGCAAGTTCAAATCCCGGGTCTCGCACCTCTGATATTTTCATGTGCGAATCATTTCTAACACAATTACCATTTGTCTTAACGGTGAAGTAAAACATCGTGAGGAAACCTGCATGTCTGAGAGAACCTAGCAAGTTTTCAAAAGACATGTGAAGTCCGCCAACCTGCACTTGGCCAGCGTGGTGGACTATGGCCTGATCCCCCTCGTACTGAAGGGAGGCCCGTGCCCAGCAGTGGGACGTTAAACAGGGCTGAATACGTATGTACATACATAAATAAATACAAAAGGTATCCTAAATGTTCACCCGAGTAATAAGTTATCACTTCACCAAATTTCGTTGAAATCGGTACATTACTTTTCGCGTGAAACGCTCACGCAAAAACAGACAAACAGATATACAGGCAAACAGACAAACAGACAATTTAATAACTATTGTTTTGGTGTCTATGTTGTGTACGTTACAAATAAACAAAAACATCTATCCCACGGGAACAGTACATTTTTCCGGGATAAAAAGTAACCTGTTTGTTATTCTGATGTATGAACTATATATATATATATATATATATATATATATATATATATATATATATATATATATATATATATATATATATATTATATATATAGTTCATACATATATATATATATATATATATATATATATATATATATATATATATATATTATTGTAAAGTTTCATCAAAATCCAATCAGTTGTTTTTGTGTACTAAGCTGTATAAGTTACTATAGTTTTTAGACTATCCCACGGAAACTCTTTAATTTCCCGGGATGAAAAGTAGCTGATTTGTTTTTATCATGTATGAACTATATTATTGTAAAGTTTCATTAAAATCCAATCTGTAGTTTTTGTGTACTAATCTGTATAAGTTGTTATAGTTTTTTTTTCTATCCCACGGGAACTCTTTAAATTTCCGGGATGAAAAGTATCTAAGATGTTGCCCGGGGATATAAGGTACCACCATGCAAAATTTTATTCAAATCGGTTCAATAAATTCGGAGATTAGCCCGTACAAACAGAAAAACAGACAAACAGCTCGCACGGGTTCGTCTATACCTACAAATACGTTGTATTATCTCTTTAACCATTTGTCCAAATTATATACAGTAAAAGAGAAAAGTCTTTTGTTTTAAGCATTTTAGACGATAAACTTACTTATTTTGATAAGAATTCATAATTGTTGATAATATGACCAATAAACATGACCTACCGATTTAAATATTTTTTTTAATATAAAAAACTACTTTTTGTGACTTAAATATAAAAGTTAGACATATGCTGTCGGTGACTTTTTTGAAGGCATTATTAAGCTCTACAACTTTTCTCTAGAACATAATCATATATCTCTCATTGTTAAGGCAGCATTCGTAAGAAACGTTTTCGTTCGACCGTTTTTTCTCCGACTTACTTTGCAAATCCGACTACCACGAAAAAGCCTTTTCATTCTTCGGGTTAACATATAGCCTATGACACTCAAAAAGAACGTGGCTTTCTATTGGTAAAAGAATTTTGTAAATCGGTTCAGTAGATCCAGAGATTAGCCCCTACAACATCACAAACTCACAAACTCACAAGATCACAAACTTTACCTCTTTATAATATTAGTATAGATATCAAATCAAATCAAAATAAAGTCACTATAATTATATAATGACTTAATTTTAATTTAAGATAATTAAGTTGATTAAATATCTCAAATGAAAATAAAGTCATTATCATCTCAAATCAAGATTCGAAATAAGTAAGATAATTAAGTAGATTTTTATCCAATAACTTAATCTTTTGAAATATTGAATTTGAATTGAATTTTTACTCCCACTTTGCATATACCTTGACCTGCCGCTGCACTTGATGACTCACAATTTTCTTAACGCGAATGGGCTATAGTTACTTATTATACTAAATAAAAACAAAGACATTTTAACCTGATCCATGGATCCTTCAATCCTTTCTGTGCAAGTGCTTGCTCCAATTCTTCGAGCTGAGGAATTCCTTTAATTTGAAAATCGGTGTACTTTGGGATGGTATAAGGTGGTTCATGACCGTGGCCGCCCATCTCTGTAACACGAGATAAAACTTAATCGAATCTAACCTTAGCTGATTACATAATTAAAAGTTACCATAGCATTTATATTTTGAATCGTTTAAACATAAACATTACTCCAAATACTATTTTCCCGAATGACATAACTTACCTCTAAAGTCAATTTAACTTCTTCCAATACCAATTTGCAGATATTGATGAAAATTTCAGATTTATTTACTACTATTATTAAATATTAACTTTTGACAATTGGCATTTGACATTGACGTATTGGATTTTGTCTATTGTTTTTTATATGAATTCGGAATTGAGATATTTGCATTACCTACATGCTATATGGAAACTCATTCACAAATCAGTTATTTGTATAAGTATAAAATTAGTAAAATTGATATATATATATACATATATATATATATATATACATATATATATATATATATATATATATATATATATATATATATAATACTTTGGAAAACTTAAAATAGTTTAGGTATATAAAAAGTTATATTTTATACTAGCGCCACACCCGCGCTTCGCTCGGGTTCGCCTCTAGAAAAGCACAAATAGATCTATCCCACAGAAACCGTTCATTTTTCCGGGACAAAAAGTAATCTGTTCTTTGACCGGCAATATAAGGTCTCAGCATGCCAAATTTAACTAAATTAGGTGTATATGTTGTTGTGTACTACGCTGTATAAGTTATTATAGGTTTTTAACTATCCCATGGGAACTCTTTAAGTTTCCGGGATAAAAAGTATCTAAAATGTTGACCGGAGATATAAGGTACCACCATGAAAAATTTCATTTAAATCGTTTCAACAGTCTCGGAGATTAGCCCGTATAAACAGACAAACAGACAGACAGGAACAAAAAAATGAAAAAAATCTGGATTTGTTCTATTTCTCTCCTTAAATCCCCCTGACTCGGTTTATGGCATTTTTATTTCTATATACAAACATTCGACCTCTACAGTTTTATTATATGTATAGATTAAACAATGTTGTATGCCCTATAATAATCAAATGAAGCTTGCGGTAAGCGCTTGTGGCGTATTTACACGTTGGTGCGTGTTTATTGTCGCTCTCGCTCACGAGCTCATAATGTTTATTTCAATAAGATTTTAAGTAAATGGCGTTTGTAAAGGCTTGGAGCTTGTAGAAATGTAGACGTTTGCCAAGCCTAGGCAAATGTGTAAATGTCGCATTAGTAAAGTTAAAGTCTTGTTGTTCCTGGTCTATGGTATTAGTCATCCAAGCGTAAAAGACAAAACCTACACCATAGGTAAAAACAAAACATTTTTATTTTTTAATCTGTGACAGTGTTCTCCAAGCTGTTGAAAGAATCGAGCGTGTGCGTTTGATGCGCGGGTTGCGGCGCGCTTCGAGTGTTTTATTTATGTTTTTATCGTATGTCGACTAACATTCTGAAATAGATCATTTTAAATAAGTGAACTCTGTTATAATTATTTGTGAAGATTTCTCGGATACGTTAAAGTGTTTTGATATTCTTTTTAGGAGGTTTCCCTCTGGATTGCAGAGTTATTTGTGTACAAAAAGTGGTGTTTGTCGGAGAAACCGGCAGTAGCTACAGCTTAATTTGTAAAGACGATAGTAGTGATTCACTTTGAACGTAAATTTTGAATTAATTAATTGAAGATACATCTTTTTCGAGTAAACAATCGTACGGAGTGTGGGATGAGTCCGGACAATGTTATACTCTGTTCGTAAAGGCGGTTTCTAGATGCCGACCATGGTTCCGGCGGCCGAAGCAGCCCCGGCACTGCTCCTGGCAGTGCTGCTGGTGGCGTCGGCTGTTTCTGCCCATTGGCCCATTTCAGAGTCTAGTAGTGGTGAGTTCATTGTACTCAAAACCATTTTGCCGTGTAATTAATTATAATTTATTTAATACCGATCCTTTTGAACAAAAGCATTTTCTTTGTTATGGATTATTTGTTCACTTTAATTCTTCTAAAATCATTTATTTAATAACAAAAATAACAGTTTGTGGATGTTTTATTTACTTAAATAAAATTTTATAACTGCTCATTTCTTTCAATTTTTTTTAGTGTAAACAAACAATAATTTTCTCATCTACATTGTAAAAATTTGTTTGGCCTGTTTTATCAGCGTTTAGACCAAGCTAACGAACTCGAAATTTCTGCAGCCTGTTCCTTTATGGACATAATGTAGGTACGCGGTAAAGAGGGGCTAATGGCTTATAAAGGAAGCATCGTTTTAAATCAAATAAAAAAAAACAAGTAAACTAGTGGAGCCGCTTTAAATTTCAACAACAATAAACGTGATTCGAAACACAACGCACATAAGAGAGTGCTTGATCCCTTTGCCCGTGGAAACCACAAAACTCAACTCTCTCAAGTCAGAGTCAAGGTTCTATTATTTATGGGGCGAAAATGTAAGGCAAAAAGTATGTGCATAGTTTTACTGCAATAACTCTAACCGAGTATTTTCCAAATAATAAAGCTTTATAGCATACATTAACACCTCCAGGTAAATTTCTAAGAAATTAATTAAAATTCTAAGAAATGTATTGTTAACTGACACGCCGGCGTGTCCGCGCTCGTGGAGGGATTAAAAAATAAAATATTCGTTGTGCAGGAAACCTTACCACCAAGTTGATTTAAATAAGGTGTCTAGAAGGGGATGTTGTAAAGAGGCCCTGTCCGTGTAACCGGAGCCGGCGCGGGCGCAGCGGCGCATGCAGCCTGCGCTTATATACAAATTACACTTTTGTTCCTTTAGTTCTATTTAGCCGAAACATTTGACGACATCTTCACTATTGTTTAGTAAATAAATATTTTATACTGAACGTTAGTAAAGTGTGACAATTTATAAAATTTTAATTAGTCTAAGCCATTTTTCTGCTCATGTACTCATAATCTTTATATACATATGTCGTGATGCGAAATCTTAATGCTGATCTTCATAATGGAACCTTCTCTATCTACCGCGGAAATGATATCGTATTCATAATAGAGCTGGCTTTGAACATTTGACCAAACGTATAATACATTGTTATTCATATATTATTTTTACACACATATATCTGGATTAAAAACTACGACATCGTCCGCGTGAACTTATTAACAGAAATCATAATATTTTTAGTGACATACTAAGATTTAGTAGAACTTCTGTACATAAGTTCTACTAAATCTTAGTATGTCACTATGGGACAGCATACATAGGAATCATTTTTATGAGGAAGAACAACCTATATTTAATTCCTGTTAAAGCATCCAATGTGTCTCAAACTTTATTAAATCAATCTCATTTTGGTCGTCAAATGTTATTTTTCGCATTTATTTATACATATAATAAAATTGTAAATAAGTCGAATCTGTACATTAAATATTTTTTGGAAAATCTAATTGAAATAGACATTATTATCGATAAAGATTCCGAATCTATAGTTTTTAGAATTTTTGTATGTCTATCTGTCTGTCTTTTACCGCATCACGATAAAACCACTGGACAGATTTTGATGAAATTTGGTATGATGATAGCTGGTTATCATATATGATACTTTTTACCGCGGGAAAATATAAGCGTGTAAATATGTAAGCGTATACTAATATGTAAAACCTAAGAATTTGGTTTTTGCTCATCTGAACGCGGGCGGAGCCACGGGCAATGCTACTATATTATTATATTTTAAGTAAGAAACTAGAAAGTAAAGTACTTATATATGGTTTATTTTTTTAAATAACACAGTAGAGAACTACACTATAGAGAACTACATCTTCAGGAAAAGGTAGTACTTTAGTTTATCGCTTGTCGGCTGATAATAGGCATAATAGAAAACCATTAAGCAATCTGCCATCAGAATATACACATGTTTACTATGTGGCTTAATTAATTACAATTAATGTGATTATTATGGAGTCCATCCCACTCACTTGAGTACACACGCACACATGTCAAGTTGTAGTTTCGATGCCACATTGACCGGCGGCCGCAGGCTGATGCTACCGACTACCGAGTAGGTACTCGCTACTAATAAAGTTACAAATAGACTCTGTTCGAGAGCAGCTCTTGATCGATCATACATACATTACATTATAATATGTCTCGCGACGCTGTCCGTTCGTATATATTCGCTCCGAGTAGTTGCTGGTCCTGGACCCTGGTACATAATGTTACAATACTGGTACAGTAAACTCTGCGCATCAGATGATCAGACATGGACCTACAAGTACTTACTAATATTTGAAATGTTAAAAGATAAGCGAATATTTTCCTATAACCTCTTCTCTATATATATTTAGAAGAATCCTTTAAATCGTGCCATTAATGCAGTTCATTCTTGCAATATCCTTGCACGCAAACAATGAATTCCGGGAAGGTCCGCCCTGACCGGTAAAAAGCCTCTGGCCAGAGGGCGGCGGAGCGCGGGGGCCGGCAACAAGTGTGGTCGGCGCGGGCGCCGGAACCTGAACGGTTTTTATGTCCATCTGCTGCACGGACCGGTCGTCCACCGGCCGCGCTAGTCGCTATGATTGACTTGTGTCACACACAAGCCGTGTGTTTTTCCTTCCTTTTATGGTAATTATAACTTATAAGGCATGTGTACGTATAACATAAAAGTTGGTTCTTCTTTACGTTGCAAATGCAAACTCATCTAACGTTAGAGAAGCCTTTTATGTGTTCTAAGCGATTATCTGATGATGTATCTTTTAAGTTCAAGGGTATTTCTCCGAGATGACATGCTAAATGTTATTTAGCATGTCTTTAATCATAAGAGTATGTTGAATAGAGCCAAAAATGAAAATAATTTTTGGCCACATTAATCAGATGAAGAACGCAATCTCGGAAAAATACCCTCAAAACAGTGATTAACCCGGCCGGGCCGGGAGTGTTTGAGGCTAGATTGAATCAATACTATACTTTTACATAATATATACGTAATATACATAATATTAAAAAAAAACTTGACAATTATTCGATCAAATATAATACGCTTAGTACGTTTTAACGGTTAGTATAGATTTCTCAGAAATGAGATATATTCCCGCAGTAAAAAGTACCCTATATGTTGACCCGGATAACCAGCTATCATAATACTAAATTTCATCAAAACCTGTCGAACAGTTTTCTCGTGATGCTGTCACAGACAGACAAAAATTCTAAGAACTATACATTCGGTCTCTGTATCGATAATAATGTCTATTTCAATAAATTTTTCCAATAAATATTTAATATACAGATTATACTCAGAATTTTATTATATGTATAATAATGTTATTTATCTTATTTGAAAAATAAAGACTTAACTGCGTTTCTGTAATAATAAAAGATTTATTTCACTATTAGAATTTAAATACAAAAAACATTTTAAAAATTACACTTACAATAAAATATTAACTCACCTGTAATAATAAAAGAAACAACATTTAAAGCCTGTATTTCAATCTAAATAACAATAAACTAATAAATAAACTCTACAAGGAAAATTTTATAATTACTTATTGTATCAATTATTTTATTAAATGTCAAAGTTAAAAAACTGAAAAAAATAAAGTAAATTTGAAATCAATCAAAAAGTATTTATGTAAATAAAATAAACTTAAAAAGAGCACATGCATATGAAGTGGTTTTCTTTTCATATGTATAGATTACAATAAAATGTAATTTTCAACTTTATCAGTATCGTATGCTCATTGCACCTTAGGTTACTTAGGTCATCATTAACACATTCATTATCTACTAGTGACATGCTCTCGCTTGGCTTGGGACCGTCCCTAGGTACGTTTTAAATAGATATGAATAGTTATATTGCGAGTCTATCTTAGGAGAAAGAGTTAGCTATGCTATTGCAGGTTTTTCTATAGACCTTATTAAAGCCTACATTTTTTACCGACTTCCAAAAAGGAGGATGTTCTATGTTCGTCTGTATACATTTTTTTTATGTACACAGATTTCTCGGAGATGAAATTTGAATCTAATTAGACTTTTTTACACTTCTACACGTAATTGTCATATCGACTTGAAACTTGACAACTTAAAAAAGGAGGGAAAGGAACGATACTTAAGTTTTGTTTGTACATAAGTAACATTGCGCCTTTAAAAATAACGCACATGTTAGCCTGTTAGTTTATAAATAAATAAATAAATAAATGTTGGGACATTAACACAGCGCCATCTAGTTCCATGGTAAGCTACGAGGCTTGTGTTATGGACACCAGATAGTTGATACACTACATATATATAACTTTTTTTAAATACATACATATTATAAATATAAACACCCATGACTGGAGTACAAACATTCGTGCTCATCACACAAATGAATGCCCCCAGCGGGACTCGAACCCGCGACCGCTGGCACATCAAGTAGGGTCACTACCAACTGAGCCAAACGTGTCGTCAGTTTGTTACTTAAAAGCTCATATTAGCCGAGTGACTACACGATTCTTATGTCGTAAACATTGTTTGTATTGCGACTTGTATTATTGTAATCTCTTTCTCTAAGTTTGAAAAGATGGAGTATAAAATGTGAAAATAATATCTTTAAGAACTAAAGAATTTTAAATATGTTAGTATAAACAATACAATTTTCGGTGTTTCGGAACTCTCGATGCGCGAGTCAAAATCATGCTCATTCAGAATCATAAACATTTGAATATCATTATAGCCATCAAATTATTACTAATATCATAAGCCAAAGATATTTTTTTGTAGTTTAGCGCACACGAAGCCGCGGTTTCTGCTAGTGTAATACTATAAATGCGAAAGTTTGGATGGATGATTGTTACTCAACCACGCCAGAACGGCTCTACGGTTCTGGATGAAATTTGACACAGTGATAGATTATAGTCACATAGCTTACTTT